CGTGGAGTCCGCTTGAGATTCTCTCTCCCTCTGCCCCTCCCGCTTGTGCTCTCTCTCTCTCCCTAAAATAAATAAATCTAAAAAAAAGAGAGAGAGAGAAAAGAAAAGAAAAAGGAAAAGTATCTTAGCAAAGATATGCATTCATTCCTTCTTTCCCATTGTTCATCCTCTACCCGAGTATGATGATAAATAACAGGTATCAACTTAACATTAACCTTCCACTTTTCCACAATTATCCCTTTCTCTCTACCCACCCCACCCAGCATCATACTCCATAAGGAATCCAGTGAAAATTTGAGAGAAGGAGGGTTGTTAGAATTTTCTATTATTTGCCTCTTCATTGTTCACTAAAACTGTGCCAGCATAGCCTGAGGAAAAATGGAAAGAGCTGGCACAGACCCATATAAGAGCATTGTATTCACAAATAGCTCTGAGATAAGTAATCCCTGTCCAAAAAAATCCTAAACAGCTGCTTCCTCATTCCCAGGGGATAAATTCTAAAGTCTTCCTCAAATGAAAAAATTTGAGCATCTGATCAGCTGCCACTTTTTTTTATTTTTCTATTTTAGGAAGACTTAAATGGGTGTCAATACCTACCAAACTCTCTTCTCTCAGTCAGGGCAGGATTAGGTAACAGAATAATCAGAAGAGTATACTCTGTAAAGTTTAGTGATTTATGGTTTAGTTCATCTTATTTAGGGCACTGAAAGCACCTTACAAATAAAATAATGAAAATTTTTTTCTTCCAGCATTCCCAAGATGATTTCTGGCATTCTTGAAAGCACAGTGATTAATCATGTCATTGGGGACAAGCAGTAGTAATGTGATTGTCAAACTATGGATATTGATCAAACTGTGCTTCTTTCGTGTGTGTGTGTGTGTGTGTGTGTGTGTGTTGGGAGATGGTGGGAGAATCAGTACTTTCAACATTGTCCCTGAGAGATTAGCAGAAATAATTAAATATTCTTACATTTTATAAAAATCCAAAAATAATGAGCAACTCATACTCCAGTCCTTACATTCAAAATCAGAAGATTCTGAATCTGGGGTCCATAGATGAAAATTCAGACCATCTGTAAATCACCTGCCATTGTTTGATTTTACAAAAATTTTTTTTCAGAGAGGAAGGAAGAAAGGAATACTTTTTGTGTGTCCATTGCTTGGAGTTTACTAGTTTACTGCTATGTTGATATTCACTCTTATATAGAGAGAAGAGAGGGGGGAAAGAGGGGGAATAAGGACAAATCATCAATTCTGTCCCAAATCAGATCAACCAACCACATGAACGTGCGATCTGTACAAGGTGTTTATCTGTTAACTTTTATATTGTATTATATTAAAAGTTAACAATATTATGATCATCTTTCCTTTCAAAAGCCTCTGAGGCTTCAAACTGATTTAGACTGCATTTTCAGAGTCCATGGTATCAACAAAAATGTAGATGTTAATTAAATTCAGGGAAACTGTTTAGAATAAACACGTGTCAAAAAATTTCCCTAGTATAAATTTCTGATCATTTATGTTAAATCCTTCAGAAGTGATTGCAATGAAATGGTTATGCCATTTCCAGCAATATGATTTTTTTATTGAAAGGCGCTATTTAAAAAGACAAAATGGTAATAAAAAGACGTAATTCTACATTTTTAGAATACTAGTTTCAGCATATAAAAGCCCATATAATTCCAATACTAATTATAATGGAATGCTAGTCTTGCTTAAGTAAAGAATAGAAAGCTTTCAAGTGAAGCCCAATTCTTCTTATCATGTTCCCAAACCCCACAAAGAGTTTAGAATTAAGTTTCACTAATGTCCCTGTGTAATTAATCAGCACACATTATTCGGTACATAGCAGTGTGAACTCTGATAGAATCCTCTGTCCCTCTTCTGTGTCACAAAAGACATTCCTAATCTTTTTTATCCTTTATTCTTAATCCCAAAGAGGCATATACATGTTGGGTTTATCAGTCTTGTAAATCGAGAATCCTGTCGTCTTTAAGATTACTCTCAAAATCTAACTCTGCTTCAAATTAATACATAAATATCCCACACTCTTCAGTCCCCAAACACTTCATTAGTTGACAACTTGCAAAGGCAGATTATGGTATAATTTAAAAATTAAGCAAGAAAATAAATGAATGTTTTACAAATTGTTATAACTTTTAAATAGTTACTTCTTTTAAATGGCTACCTTAAATTAATGTCAGCGTGGCTTGAAGCTGAATTAGTAAGGATATATGGGATTTCTTCCTTTATGAAAATATTTCCCCTCTCAACATCTTTCAAAGCTTATAAAAGCACACACTTACCCCATGTTGCTTGCTGTGGTTATATCATCCTCAGATCAAGGCTTATCTGGAGTCTAAATTAATTTAAAGGTTATTAAAAAAAAAAAAAGCAGGGGAGGTTTGACTTCCCTGGAAACGAGACTGTCATATGCTAACTAGGCTTTTAAATGAGGAAAACTAGTGTCTCTTCTAATTATATAAGCTTCAGGTCAAATTCTAGCATCAACTAATCAACTGAACTGCATTTACTTTCAAGAAGTAAAAGAAAGAAAACTTTAAATGAAATGACTTTGTTATCTTAGAAAACTGGAAATTTGAGCATTAAAAAGTTATTCCTCTATCAATAAAAAGTTAAAGATTTTAAAAGCAAAGTATTTATCTTGTTACCTTAAATACTTTTAAAGGAAAATATTGGGAAAAATTAGGTTTGCAATAAAACAGATATTTTTCTATATTTTCCAGAAATTTTGAAATTGAATTATATGTCCTGGTCCCTGAAAACATCCCCCTCTTACTTTATCTTAATTTGTATAAATTCCAGTATAATAATAATATTTAATTGTAAAACATACCAATTAATGCTAAACAACAAATCCAAAAGTGTCTAATTTTAAAAATGTGTCTTTGAACTGTTAAAAATGGGGTCTTTTGAAATTAAATACATAATATATGATTATGGAAAACTAACAAAAATATAATTTTTATTTATATTTTAAAGACATCTCAAGCCAGATTTATGGTAGTATAAGAAATTTTTAAAAATTTAGCAATGATATATTGAGAAGTACAAATTTCCACAAGATTTTGAATGAAGAAATATGATATGGAAGTTATTGTTTACAGCATTTTGTCATTTTCAGAAAAACAATTTCAGCAAACTCAGCTCTTTATTATAATTTTTAATATGTAGCTGTCATGTACTCTTCTGGCCATTTTAAAACTGTTATCTAGAACTTGAAGAAGCTTCCTTGGCACAGAATACGTGAGGACACAAAAAATTGAAATATACTTTTTAAAAAATTGAAATATAATTCACATACCAAACATAACATTTGCCCTTTTATTGTGAATAATTCAGTGGTTTTAATATTCACAAAGGTTGTATAACCATCACCACTAATTCTAAAATATTTCCATCACCCCCAAAAAGAAACCCCATGCCTCCCAGTTCCTTCCTCCCATGGCAACCACTGATCTACTTCCTGTCTCTATGAATTTGCCTATTCTGGGTGTTTCACATAAGGGCTGTAAATGTGTGGCCTTTTGCAATTGGCTTCTTTCACTTAGCATAATGTTTTCAAGGTTCATTCATGTTGTAGCATGTGTCAGTACTTCATTCCTTTTTATGGCTGAAAATAATCCTTTATATGGATATACCACATTTTTTTATACATTCAACAGTTGATGGATATTTGGGTTGTTTCCAATATTGAACTGTTATGAATAATGCTGCCAGGAATATTCCTATACAGGTCAATTATTTGGGGAACATAGTTAGGAATTCCTGGGTCATATGGTAACTCTATGCCTAACTTTTTGAAAAACTTTTCCATAGCAGCTGTACCATCTTATATTCGCAGCAGAAATGTTGGCAGTTTCCAATTTCTCCCTATCATTGCCAATCTTTCTTATTGTATTTTTAAATATAGCCAGCTGAGTGATTGTGAAGTGCTATCTTACTATAGCACTATATTACTATATTACTTCTTTCCTAAAGAGTAATGATTTCATTTGCTTATTAGACATTTGCATATCTTCTTTGAAGACATGTCTATTCAAATCCTTTGGGAAACCTGGGTGGCTTAGCGGTTTGGTGCCTGCCTTCAGACCAGGGCGTGATCCTGGAGACTGGGGATCGAGTCCCATGTCAGGCTTCCTGTGTGGAGCCTGCTTCTCCCTCTGCCTGTGTCTTTGCCTCTCTCTCTCTGTGTCTCTTATGAATAAATAAATAAAATCTTTTAAAAAACCAACCAAACACACAAAAAACAAATCCTTTGCCCATTTTTAAATTGGGTTATATTTTTATTTTATTTATATATACTTACATATGAGTTATTTATATACTCTGGAATCTAAACCTGCATCAGATAGAAGACTTTCTTCCCATTCTGTGGATTCTTTTCAATTCCTTGGTAGTTCCCTTTAACATAGAGATATGCTTTTTAAAGATGACAAAACTCAGGCACAGGATTGGAAATTGACTTTGCCAAGATTTAGATAGTTCTGCTGTGTTTATTAAAATGAATCACAGGGCAGCCCCGATGGCCCATAGGTTTGGCACTTCCTTTAGCCTGGGGTATGATCCTAGAGATCGGGGATTGAGTTCCACATCGGCCTCCCTGCATCGAGCCTGCTTCTCCCTCTGCCTGTCTCTGCCTCTCTCTCTCTGTGTCTGTCATGAATAAATAAATAAAATCTTTAAAAAAAAAAAAAAGAATCACATAATTTATTTTAGTTAAAAAAAAAAAAGATTTGTTTATTTTAGAGAGAAAGAAAGAGAGAGTGTGCATGTAAGCAGGGGGAGAGCCAGAGGGAGAGGGAGAATCTATCTTAAGGAGGCTCCACACCCAGTGCAGAGCTTGACACAGGGCTTGATCTCATGACCCTGAGATTATGATCTGAGCCCAAATCAAGAATTGGATGCTCAACTGGCTGAGCCACCCAGCCATCCTCACATAATTTATTTCAAACTAATTATAAGATAATGAAAATAAAGTTCAAAAAGATGTTGAATGATGGTTTTATTGGCAAAATTATGATACAGAGGTAGTGTATGAAGTTATTTCAGATGACTAAGTTTTCTTTATAACTAAAAGCTTCAGTTACCACATTAAAACTTTAATGCAGAATATACTACATGTGGAGCTTTAGTTTCAGGCCTGGAGCAGCAGTGAAATGAAAGTTACCACACCATTCTAGTCCTTGGATATCAGTATATTGTCCTTCACCTTCCACCCTGCAATAGTAAAAAATAAATTTGTTCATTAGCCAAGAATTTACAGTCTAGGTATAAGATTGTCTAGCATATTATACTCTATGCCTGAAGAATTATATCTTCCCACTTTCAAACTTTGATTTAAAATTCAGCATCCAGGGATCCCTGGGTGGCTCAGCGGTTTAGCGCCTGCCTTTTGCCCAGGGGGCGCGATCCTGGAGTCCTGGGATGGAGTCCCACGTTGGGCTCCCGGCATGGAGCCTGCTTCTCCCTCCTCCTGTGTCTCTGCCTCTCTCTCTCTCTCTCTCTCTCTCTCTCTCTCTGTGTCTATCATAAATAAGTATATAAATAAATAAATCTTAAAAAAAAAGAAAAAAGAAAAAGAAATAAAATTCAGCATCCTCGGGCAACCTGGGTGGCTCAGCGGTTTGGCACCGCCTTCGGCCCAGGGCCTGATCCTGGAGACCCAGGGTCGAGTCCCACGTCGGCTCCCTTGCTCCCTTGCATGGAGCCTGCTTCTCCCTCTGCCTGTGTCTCTGCCTCTCTCTCTCTCTCTGATGAATAAATAAATAATATCTTAAAAAAATAATAAAAAATAAATAAAATTCAGCACCCTAAAAATAAAATAAAATAAAATAAAATAAAATTCAGCATCCTGCTTTCATATCCTACCAAAACCATTACTATCCCAAACAAACCTTGTTATTATACAAATGTTGGTGTCCAAGATTTTTGGATCTCATACACTAAGTTTATACAAAACTTAAATAATCAGTTAAAAAATGAAAAATTCATATTAGTTCATTCATTTATTCAACAAATATTTATTGACTATCAACTATGTGTGAGGTGCTGTATTCTATGTGGGGGGTTTTCTTGGACTCTTAGAAGTAGTGAAAATGTACTTCACATATAAAATAGACTTTAATACCATGGGTTAGAATTTTTCCCTTCATTAACATCAGTGGAAAAAGTTTGTGTTATCAGCACAGACTTGGAATAAAAAAAGGTGAATACTTTTCTACCTTCCTCAAAATGTATTTATATCAACAACTTCATAACAATTAGTCTGCATTTTCAATTCTGGAAATAATAAAGAGATATTTATAAATAAACATGAATCTCTGGATGACATGGCATAATATTCATTGTGAAGATTATTAAGCTATAAAAGTGTGCTTTTGTTTCATTTCACTTTTATTTTTCCTTCAAGCATAAGTTCAGAAAGGTAACAATGGGTACATTTTGCTTACATTTTAAAAATTATCTTAGTAAAATACATACATATATCAGGTCAAAATCCAATAAACAGTTATGAATTATCTCCCAAGACTTCCTTTTTAAAAGTTTATCAGGATGGGGTGCCTGAGTGGCTCAGCTGTTTAAGCATCCAACTCTTGGTTTTGACTCAGGTCATGGTCTCAAGGTTGTGAGATGGAGCCCTATATCAGGCTCCATGCTGGGTGTGGAGTCTGCTTAAGATTCTCTTGCTTCCTCTCCTTCTCCCCCATCTCCCTCGCTCCCTCTTAAAAAAAAAAAAAAAGTTTATCTGGATATTTTAAGTGAAAGTAATTTTTGGCCTAAATTTTCTCAATAATTCTGACTATTTTCCATTTTCAAGTTGACTTCAAAAGGTTCCATAGTAATACGAAAGGTAAGAGGAAATAAATGAAAAGTCTAATAGATTAGTACCAAGAATATTTTCTTTTGGAGGCTCATGATGGTCTTAGCCTCTCATGACATTTTCCCCCTCAAATAACCCAACGATTCTTTTTTTTTTTTTTAATAGAGAGAGAGGGAGAGGGGCAGAGTGAGGGGCAGAGAGAGAGAGAGAGACAGAGAGAATTTTAAGCAGCTTCCACGCCCAGCTTGGAGGTCAATGCAGGGCTCGATCTCACAACTCAGATCATGACCTGAGCTGAAATCAAGAGTCAGACACTTAACCCACCGAGCCACCCAGGTGCCTCTAATCCAGTAATTCTTAATAAATATATTATAAATATATTTTAATGAAATATATTACAAAAGAATATTTAGCATTTTAGTATTAACTAAATATAATATTTAAGCAAATATGCCTGGGAAGAATCTTTTATAACTACGATGACTTTATTTTAAGCCTACCTATTTTCATTGAAGTTTCCAGTATACTTTGCCCCAGTTGGAAATGTATATGTCCCCAGTCCATGAAACATATTGTCCTTAAAGTGTCCTTCATACACTGCTCCCGAAAAATGCTCAAGTCTTCCAAAACCATTCATCTGTTTATAACAAAGGAAATGATCTCAGTAACTAACATTCAGTTACCTAGAATACTTCAAAAATGTACATAAATAGGTCTATCATCCACTTAGTTATTATTTAATCTATCATTGTATCACCCTTTATTTCTACAAAAATAAAATAAGACATTTACCATTTATCATTGTCCTTCAAATGCATCTCTCTCTGAAGCCCACCAAGTCAAATGTTCCTGATCTGGATCATCTGAATATCTAGGGGGTCCATGATGATGATAATAGAGTCCTCAAGATATCGTGAATATGTCAAAGATCTTAAAGGACAACCAGTTTAATTAGCCCAGGAAACAGTACAAATTAGTTATGAGCAACAAAAATTTGTATTCAGGCAGACCCGGGTATATATTTGGTTTCATTACTCCCTGGGCAAGTAACCTGAGCCTGATTTCCCTCATTTGTAAAATAGGAGCATTAATTTTCACCTATGTCATGAGGTTGCTATGAGGATTAGATGAGTAAATTATGTAATGAGTTTAACTACTAAGGGAATAGGAGATGAGAAAGATAATAATAAAGATGACAGGGAGCCTCTATGGCTTGCTCAGAGGAGCATGAGACTCTTGATCTCAGGGTGGTGGGTGGTGGGAGGTTGTGAGTTTAAGCCTCACATTGGGTGTAGAGATTACTTAAATAAATAAAACTTTAAAAAAAGATGATAAACCTTTTATGACTTTAGTATCACTCCTATGTCCATATCAGTTATTTTTATTGTATAGTCTACTCATATGTGTTTTTCATTAATGGTGAAATGCCAGGAATCATTTAAGCAACAGGTTTACTTATCCACTGTCAATATTATAATAACAACAATACCTTGTCATCTTTCCAGCTTCCTGTGTAGACAATCCCATTAGGAGTGGTATGAATACCTATTCCATTTCTCTCAAAGATTCCAGAAGATGTTCTTGTACAGTCACCATCTAAACAAGAGATAAATATATTATAACTCATTATGAATGGGAACCTTGTTTGACTAGGTGATAAAGTATGTTCAGGCCTAATCACAACTGCACCCCTATGGGTCTCTTTGGCTCTCTAGCACTGAAACTAATGTGACCAGAGATAAGGAGCTCTATGGACTTAAAAGGTCTTGGGGTTTGTTGTTGTTGTTTTAAATTTATGTATGTATGTAAGTAATCTCTACATCCTTCATGGGTCTTGAACTCATGACCCTGAGATCAAGAGTTGTATGCTCTTCTGACTGAGCAAGACAGGTGCCCCTTAGGTCCTGTAACCATTAAAACATACCAGCCAGGAAGACTGACAGATCCCATATATAGGTTTCAAGGCATACAGCCTAGACTTAACATTAGAGTTTAAATTTAAAATCTGTCCATCTATTGTATTTCTGTGTCATTTTATTTAATGGAATTAATATCCCAATAGTAGTTTTACAAAATTTACAGTCTCTTTTTCTTTTACTCTTAAGCTATTTAATTTAAATCGAGATAGAAAAAGTAATTGAAATATGTGCTTACCATACTTGTCTCCATTTGGAAATATGAAGTTTATCTTATACACTTCAGCAGCTGTTTTAAAAGAGTTAAGAAAAGTCACGTAAACTTAAATATTTTTATGTTAGAAGACCAAATGTGCTTTAAGGGCTAACCAAACTGACTCACTTCATATGATCATAAACGTATCATGATTTTTTTTAAAGAGTTTATTTATTTATTCATGAGAAACACAGAGAGAGAGAAGGAGAGAGAAAGAGGCAGAGACACAAGCAGAGGGAGAAGCAGACTCCATGCAGGGAGCCCGACGTGGGACTCAATCCCGGGTCTCCAGGATCAGGCCCTGAGCTGAATGCAGTGCTAAACCGCTGAGCCACCTGGGGTGCTCACGTATCATGATTACTTGGCATTTCCATCATCTAGTGTAGGGTCTTGAGGAAATTAATAATTTTGTCTAGATGATCTATTTTTATTTATTTATTATAATAGTTTTATTAATGTATAATTCACATACCATAAAACTTACCCTTTAAAAGTATACAATTTAATGTTTTTTAGCATATTCAGAGGTATGAAACTATCATCACAATCTAATTTTAGAATGTTAACAGTTAGTCTCCATTCCCCTAATTTCTACTCCCATCTCTTCTCTATCCCCAGCCCCACCTCAACTCCGCCCCAGCCCCTGGCAACCACTAATCTACTTTCTATCCCTATGGATTTGCCTATTTTGGCCGTTACATATAAATGGAGTCACACAGTATGTGGTCCTTTATGATTGGCTTCTTTTACTTAGCATGTTTTTAAGGTTCATCCATGTCATGTAGCAGTACTTCATCCCTTTTTACCAAATAACAGTCCACTGTACAGCAATAACAGTTTGTTTATCCATTTATCAATTGGTGGACAGTGGGGTTGTCTCCAGTTTGGACTGTTATGAAGAACTTTGCTATAGACATTCATGTATAAGTTTTTGTGTGGATATACGTTTCTATTTCTCTTGGGTAGCTTCTATGACCTGTTGATGCCCTCACAGAGGTAAAGTGGAGTGAGGAATTGGCACAAGGAGGGAATAGAAAATAAAGAAAGATAGTATATGATAGTGGGGAGAGGTAGGGGTGAGTCTGTCTAAACAGAATGAGATTGGAATGGAGACGAGATCAAAAGAAAGGACTGAGGGGAATCTATGCCTCAAAGCCCTGGGACATTTAGCGGACTAAATCATTAGAAGTTATTTTTTTCCAATAGCAAAGAACACATAAATATGGAGAAGATAAGTAAATTCTAACTTCTGGGACCATAGAGTCTACCAGAATGTTACTCAAAGTGTGGCTCGTGCATCAGAATTACCTAGGATGCTTGCAAGTTCCTATATTACTGAATCAGAATCTCTGCGGGTGGGGCAAAAGAACTAAATTTTCATTTAAAAATTAATTTAGGGGCAGCCCCGATGGTTCAGGGGTTTAGCGCCGCGATCAGCCTGGGCCTGATCCTGGAGACCTGGGATCGAGTCCCGCGACGGGCTCTCTGCATGGAGCCTACCTGCTTCTCTCTCTCTCTCTCTGTCTCTAATAAATAAATAAAATCTTAAAAAAATAAAAAATATAAAAACATAAAAATTAATTTAGGTGCTAATTGAAAAAGACCGGAGGCTCATCCCCTTTGAGGAAACATAACACAATAGGTAGAAGACCTCAGAATACTGTAACATCCTCAGAGAGGATGGAGGGAGGGTATAGTATCCTTGAGACAGGTTATGAAAAAGAACCAATTAGCAATCTTGGAAATGAATAACATAATTGGTGTAATGACTGAATAGCATAATGGATACAACAGAAAAGTAAATTGGTGAACTGGGATACGAAGTTGCAATTTTTTCCCAGAAAAAAAGCACAAAGAAAAAGACAGGTATGAGCAAAGCCTTTCTTATCTCCCCTCACCCCAGACTCATCTAGGCGTCTCCACACACTTAGACCCCTGTTAAAACAACTCTTTTGTGCTGGAATCCCCAATCACAATACCCAGCTCGCCCAGGTCAGGAATCAGGGATTAGTCAAATCTTTTTTTTCTCACTCTAGTGTCCAGCTTAGCACGTAGTGGTAGGTGCTTAGTACTTGTTCGTAGGAACTGAATGTCTAGTGAATGAATGGCACTTGGGAAGCAGGCATTAAGTGCTTACCAAGCAGTGCTTTATCATACAAAAAAAAAAAAAAACAACAAACCTGTTTTTTTTTTTTAAGATTTTATTTATTTATTCATGAAAGACACAGAGAGGGAGGCAGAGACAGAAGCAGGCTCCATGCAGGGAGCCCGACGTGGGACTCGATCCCAGGTCTCCAGGATCACACCCTGGGCTGAAGGCAGCGCTAAACTGCTGAGCCACCCAAGGATTCCCAAAAAACCTGTTTTCAAATGCCCTTAAATTGCTCCACATTTGAAACTTTGTAATGTTAGAGCTAGGGAGAACCTAAGAGATGTGGAGACCATCTGGCACCACAGAGGAAACTGAAACCCAGAGATGATGGCACTTGACTAAGATTTCACAACAGCCAATCGATGGCCGAATCAGAGGTAGAATCCAGGTGTTCTGATCCCAGGCCAGGCGGGTTCTCCGTGTGCCCCACGCCATCCCCAGTGTAGCCGATCAGGAAGTAAGTCACAGCCACACCGGAGCTACCAGGAGCCACGCTGTGGCGTAAGGTGAGTTCTACTTAGGGCAGCCCTGTGCCCTTCCGCGCTCGGGGCATTGGGAGGAGGGGCACTCACTCGACAGAGGTGTGTGGCAGAGATTTTCTTGACTCCGCGATTCCTCCTGGGCCGCCAGCTCTACGGCATTGAGGGAACCAAGTGCTAAGTGGGTGCGGAGCGCGCCCTGGTTGCCGGGGCGACGAGGCACCTCTCACCCGGAAGTGAATATGCGAGGGGCCGAAGCGGAGCCAATCAGAAGACAGCAGGTTGTGCTGCTGCAGAAGGGCCGCGGCGGAGCCGCTCCAGGTGAGGTCGCGGTGGGTGGCGAAGCCCTGGCGGGACCCCTCGCCTTTGGGCGCTGCCTCCGACCGCCGCCCCGGGAAGCAGGCTGCGAACCCACCACGGCCTCCCGTTCCGCGGACCAGGGATGTGTGCCTGTGTGCGTGGTCGGCTCGCCGCCGTGGTTGTCGGTGTGCGGAGCCGTCCCCCGCCTCCCTCCGCGGCGTGGTCGGGGTGTGAGGAGCGTCCGGCCGGGTGGGATCCAGGCAGGCCGCCCGGGGCCGGTGGGTCTGCACCAGCAGGATCCCGGGTTGTCCGCGTCCCGGCTGGAGGGGTAAAGAGTTGCATTGGAGAGGCTCGGGTTTCCTTTCTTGTCCCTTGTCATCTGGGTCTGAGTGTTTGCTGGAAGAAAGGTACCAGGTGTGGGCATCTGCGTGGAGCTGGCTCTATGGGGCCAGAGGTTTGCTGGGAAGGGAGTGGTGTGTGATCGGTTTTAAGTATCCCGTTTGGTGATTCTGCTCCTGGGGGCCTGTTTTGGGTGTGAAACAGAGGATCCTCTTTGAGCCCAACTTAGGTCCCTGTGTCCACGGTGAAGAAAAAGTAGTTGGAATCTTCCCAGGCTAAATGGAATAAAATAGTAGACTTATCCGTGTAGATGATACAACCCAATTCCCATTCCCTCGAGAACATCTGGAATGAGTCGTATTGGATACAGCCAGCAAGTCTTCCTTCAACATTTTGAGAGCAGATCGCAGATCAGGTTGTGAAGGTGACTTTTTTTTTTTTTTTTTTTTTTTTTTTTTTGGATGGGTGTGAGACAGGTTGTTGATCGTTGTTAGCCAAGCTGGCTGGGGCTTGCTCTGGTTGGCTACGCACTCTTTAAAAGTCAGAGCACGGTAACTTCTTGCTTTTTTCCTAATGTATTTTACTTACACAAACTTACCTGGTCTGGGTGTTTTTTGAGCCGAAGTACTGATCTTTCTGTCTGATTTGTATATCCTTTCCCTTTTTCTGAGTTCTAGAAATAATAAGTAATTATTGATGCACAACTTTACAGAATTCAGTTTGTCCTATTTTTTTGACCTCTTGTTACGCTTTTAATGACCCTACATTTTTGTGAGTATATATATACATATAAGCACCACTGTTTTTACAGAAGAATTTGAGGTAGTTGGGCTTTTTAGGATATTCTTATCTAAGAGATCTGGAGTCAGGAAACTTGCAATGAAGGGATTTACATTTTTTTTTTTTTTTATTTAATCATGAGACACAGAGAGAGAGAGAGGCAGAGACACAGGCAGGGAAGAAGCCGGCTCTTTACAGCAGGCTGGTCCCTGGGATCCTGCTGGTCCAGACTCACCGGGCCCAGTCAGCCTGCCTGGATCCCACCTGGCCTATGCAGGACTAGATCCCAGATCCCAGAATCACAACCTGAGCCAAAGGCAGCCACCCAAACACTGAGCCACCCAGGTGTCACGGGATTTTAAATTTGGATTGGAAAAGTGTATTAATCATTTTTTATTTTCCATATTTTATTATATTTTGACACCTTAGGGGCCTGGCTGGCCAAGAAACTGCCCTTGCCAGGGATAGTTAACGGACCTTGACCTGTGAACATGCTTTTCATATGCAGACCGACCCCCAACCACCTACCTGCTTTAAGTAATTTTTGCCCACCAAGCCAATTTTTCCCTACCCCCAAATCAACCCAGGGTCAGGTCACAGGCAACCGGGACAGCCCCTATGCCCTAAGCCTGCTGGAATTATTTTAACTGGCCAATCCTAAACTGTTTATTCTGCCTGCCTTTCCTGTGGAAACCCTAAGAAGGACTATGGCTTTGCCTTCCCCTGGCTCCTTTGTGCCTCCTGACTGACACTTGGTGCTTCCTCCTGTGGCCTGGCCTGGCGTGGCATGATGTACTTCTCTCCTTTCTGGCCAAACGGGGAATAACGTTACACTTTTCTTTTGGTGGCATTGACCTCTCCTTGTCACTTTTATAAATTAAGACCCAGGCACAAATCTAAAGAAGTCTGGTTTATCATTGAACTTTGCATTGACGATACAAGGTACATGTTGATGGTGAGGAGGAGGAGATACCGTAGAAACAATTTTGGCTGGGACGCCCAGGTGGCTCAGGGCGTGGAGTCCCAGGATTGAGTCCCGCATTGGGCTCCCTGCATGGAGCCTGCTTCTCCCTCTGCCTGTGCCTCTGCCTCTCTCTCTGTGTTTCTCATGAATAAATAAATAAAATCTTTAAAAAAAAAAAAAAAAGAAAATTTTGGCTTTGATGTCAAACAGATTGTTTCAAACCCTGGCTCCAGACTTTGCTTCTACACATTAGGTGACATTAGACAAGTCATATAATTTACTTGTCCTCTAAGCTCCTCCTCTGTAAAATATAGATAATAATATTTACTGTACTAGATTTTTAGAGGGTTACATGAAATAATCTTACCTTTCCCCTCAAAGCAGACTGGTATATTCAATTACCTTCAGTATGTCTCCATGTAAGTATCTAATTGGCATCTCAAAGGCAACATATCCAATCTGCATTTGTGACGCCCTCCCCAGATCTTTTCCTCCCCAATATTCCAATTCTGAGCACATGACACCACTATTTACCCAGTTAACCTAGGCCAAAACTAGACATTTCTTTCTCATACTTTTCGTCTAATTCATCTACATTTAAAATACATTCACAATCTGTGACCAGTTTTCAACTCTACTACTCCCACTCTAGTCCAAACCACCTTATTTTTCCTGTATTTGTTCTGCCTGAACAACTGCAGTAATCTCCTAGTTGGCCTCCTGGCTTCTCCTCACTCCCTCCCCCAGGCTTTTTATTCTTCACAAAGCAGCTAGCCTAATTGTTTTAAAACATGAGTCAGTCATAACAATCTTTTGCCTCAGCTCTTTAGTGACTTCCTATCATATTCAGAATTTAAAAAATTTTTCCAAATTACTTTTAGTAAACAGAGTAGATTCTAGCTTTTTAAGAATCTAAAGATACATAAAACCCAAAGCAATCTATTTTTCTGAGATCAAAACAAGCTTCTTTTTTCCTCTCTAAACATAATTCTTGGCATTGAGGTAAAATCCAAATTCACGTGATACACTGTCAGACTTTTCCAAAATACTTTAACTCCTGCTTTAGAAAGTCTCATGTGACACGTACATATTTACATATTTTTTTCTTCAAAGACTAATAACAAATTTATGAGGTGAATAAGCATGTAATTGAACCATGACATTACTAATAATGTGAAAATAAAAAGCAATTTGTTCATACAAAGTGTTTATGGTGCAGTATGAAATGGGATCACAGAATCTATGCACATACGTGAATCACCAAAAAGTTCAGAAACTAAGCTTACTTTAAGAAAATTCATCCTATTGTTTGGAGCAAAGGTGGCCAAGTTGTGATGTACAAGAATATTGTGTGTAAAATCGTCAAAGCCAGGTATTAGCCTAAATTGGCAGCAACTGCAACTTAAAAACTAAACCCAACCAGATCTTTACCGTGGCAATGCAATGTTAGCTTTGTGGCCTGCAGGTTTTCCTGAGGTCACAGCCTCTTCTCTCTTGCCTCTCCTCCTGGGGCACCCCCTGTCTCCAGAGTTCTTGGCTTTTTCTGCTCTCTGACCTCACTGCTGTTCTTCACTTTCGTACCGACCCCTTAGACTTCTTACTTTTTGTCCAGCTCAGTGCATTGAAGATGTACTGGACTTGGCACCTTGCCCTCAGAATATTATTTTCACAAATATTTCATGGCTCATTCTCTGTTTGTTCAGGTGTCTGTTCAAACATGATCTCAGAGAGGCCTTACCTGACCACTCTATTTAAAATAACAGTCTTAGGCATTTTCTTTTTCTGTATAGCACTTAACTGATATTATCTATTTATTGTTTTTCTTTCCCTTTGGAAGGTAAGCTTCATGAGGAATTTTGTCTTCTTTGCTGTCATATCCCTAGGATCTGGCACATAATAAGTGCTCAAAAAAATATTTGTGGAAAGAATGAATCTCCAGTCTCATATCAGCCATTTATTCAGCCTTCAATCATTCATTACCCAAGTATATATTGAATTCCTACTGTATACAAGACACTGTAAGAGGTACTGTGTTACTCAAAATAGACCGAATTCTTGCCTTCAGAGAGCTTTTTGAGAGGAGGAAAGGGCAGATAAACATAAAATAAACACTGTATAAATATGTATTATTATGAAGGATTTTGAAGAAAGGAATACCAAGAGGCCTAGTTTAATTTCCACATAACAATGAGTTTCCCAAAATTTTTCCTGCTTTTATTTCTAATTTCATTTTTTTTCTATGGTTGTAAAACACATTTTGCATTATATCTTTTTAAATTTATTGAGGTGTGCTTTATAACCTAGGATACGATTTGTCCCAGAAAATTTTCCTTGTGCAAACAAGAAAAATATAGATGGTGTTGGGTAGAGTGTCCTATAGATGTCTCTTAGGTCTTAGTTGGTGTATACTGTGTTTTATTTTATTTTTTTCAAAGATTTCATTTATTTATTCATGAGAGACACAGAGAGAGAGGCAGAGACACAGGCAGAGGGAGAAGCAGGCTCCATGCAGGGAGCCTGACATGGGATTTGATCCGAGGACTCCAGGATCACGCCCTGGGCTGAATGCAGCATTAAACCACTGAGCCACCCAGGGATCCCAGTATACTGTGTTTTAAATCTAATGTTTCCTTATTGATCTTCTATCTAGTTGTTCTTCCACCACTATTGGAAGTGGGGTATTGAAGTTTCCAACTGTTACTTTTTTTTTCTTTTAAAGATTTTATTTATTTATTCATGAGAGACACAGAGAGAACAAGGCAGAGACACAGGCAGAGAGAGAAGCAGGCTCCATGCAGGGAGCCCGATGTGGGACTCGATCCCAAAACCCTGGGATCACACTCTGAACCAAAGACAGATGCTCAACTGCCGAGCCACCCAGGCGTCCCCCAACTGTTACTTTTGAAGTGTCTGTCTCTCCCTTCATTTGTCAGTTGGTTCGTGTATTTTGGTGCTGTTATTAGGTGCATATATGTTTATCACTGTTACATCTTCCTGATAGATCAACTCCTTTAACATTATGAAATGTCCTTTATTTCTAGTAACTTTTTTTTTCCTTTAAAGTCTGTTTTGTCTGATATTAGCATAGTCACTCCAGCTTTCTTGTGGTTGCTGTATGCATAATTTATCTTTTACCATCTGTTTACTTTTCATTTATTTGTTTCTTTGAATTTAAAGTGATGAATAAATAGCATATAGTTGGATAATTTTTTAAATTGAGGTATAACTGACATATAGCATTATATTAGTTTCAGGTATACAACATAATGATTTGTCATTTGTATATATTGTGAAACAATCACCACAGTAAGTCTAGCACCAAACCCATACATAGTTAAAAGATTTTTTTCTTGTGATGAAGACTTTTAAGATTACTCTCTTAGCAACTTTCAAATATGCAATAGGGTATTATTAACTATAGTCACCATGCTGTATATTATATCTCCATAACTTATTTATTTTACAACTGGAAGTTTGTACCTTTTGACCCCGTTTACCCATTTTACCCACCCTCTACCCCCATCTCTGGTGACCACCAATCTGTTCTCTTATCTGTGAGCCTGTGTTTTGGTTTATAAATTCCACATACAAATGAGATTGTATAGTATTTGCTTTCTGTCTCTGACTAATTTCACTTAGCAAAATGCCCTCACTGTCCATCCTTGTCACAAATAACAGACTTTCATTCTCTTTTATGGCTGAGTAGTATCCCATTGTGCGTGTATATATATATCTATATATCTTACATATTCTATATCCATTCATCCATCATGGATACTTAGGTTATTTCCATATCTTGGCTATTGTAAATAATGCTTCAGTCAATATAGTGGTGTATTTATCTTTTTGAACTAGTGTTTTCATTTTCTTTGGATAAATACCCAGAAGTGGAATTAATAAATTGTATGCTAGTTCTAATTTGAATTTTTTGAAGAACCTCCATACTGTTTTCCATAGTGGCTGCACCAATTTACATTCCTACCAACAGTGAGTGCACAAGAGTTCCCTTTTCTCCACATCCTTGCCAACACTTGTTAATTCTTGTCTTTTTGATAATAGCCATTCTCAGAAGTGTGAGGTGATATTTCATTATGGTTTTGGTTTTGGTTTGTATTGCCCTGATAATTAGTGATGTTGAGCATTTTTTCATGTACCCGTTAGCCATCTGTATGTTCTCTTTGGAAAAATGTCTCTTCCGATTCTTTGCTAATGTTTTGATTGGATTTTTTTCTGTTAAGTTGTATGAGCTCTTTATATATTTTAGATATTTAACGCATTATCAGATATATGATTTGCAAATGTTTTCTCCAATTTAGTAGGTTGCCTTTTCATTTTGATGTTTTCCTTTTTTGTGCAGAAACTTTTTAGTTTGATGTAGTCCCACTTTTTATTTTTGCTTTTGTTGCCTTTGATTTTGAAGCCGAAGTCACAAAAATCATCACCAACACTGATGTCAGAGTTTACCACCCGTGTTTTCTTCTAGGAGTTGTATAGCATCAAGTCTTACATTCAAGTCAATAATCCATTTGAGTTCATTTTTGTGTGTGGTATAAGATAATAGTCTAATTTCATTCTTTTGCATGTGGCTGTCCAGTTTTCCCAACACGATTTATTCAAGAAACTTCTTTGCTCATTGTATAGTCTTGGTTCCTTTGTTGCGAATTAATTGACCCTATGTTTGGGTTTGTTTCTGGGGTCCCTATTCTGTTCCATTCATCTGTGTGTCTGCTATTATGCCAATACTATGCTGTTTCTATTCCCACAGCTTTGTAATATAGTTTGAAATCAGAGATTTTGATGCCTCCAGCTTTGTTCTTTCTCAAGATTGCTTTGGCTATTCAGGGTCGTTTGTGGCTCCATGCAACTTTTAGGATTATTTGTTCTATTTCTGTGAAAAATGCCATTGGAGGGGATCCCTGGGTGGCGCAGCGGTTTGGCGCCTGCCTTTGGCCCAGGGCGCGATCCTGGAGACCCGGGATCGAATCCCACGTCGGGCTCCCGGTGCATGGAGCCTGCTTCTCTCTCTCTCTCTCATCTCTCTCTCATAAATAAATAAATAAAAATTAAAAAAAAATGCCATTGGAATTTTGATAGATGTTGCATTGAATCTGGAGATTACTTGGGGTAGTATGGACATTCTAATAATATCAATTCTTCCAATCCACGAACACAGACTATCTTTCCATTTATGTGTCTTCTTTAGTTTCTTTCATCAATGTTTATAGTTTTCAGTATACAGTTCTTTTACCTCCTTGGTTAAATTTATTCCTAGGTATTCTTTTTAATTCAGCTTATTACTTCTTGAGTTAAAACTATTTTCTCCTAACATAGGAATATGTAAGTCTAAGAAAATATCTTAAATCTAGCTTTAGCTATATTTTATAATTTTAATGTATCATTTTCATTTTTACTTCCTTTTTGGTCTATAAATTGTTTTGCTTTATATATTTAGGTGTACTGATGTTGGATGTGTAAATATTTACAATTGTTAGATCCTCTTGATGAATCAGTCCCCTTACCATTATATAATGACCATCTTTCTCCGTTGTTAGCTTTTGCCATAAAGTCTATTTTGCCCAATAAAAGTATAGTTGCCCCTGCTCTCTTTTGGTTTCCATTTGCATGAAATAGCTTTTTCCATCCCTTCACTTTCAGTCTGTGTCTTTAAAGCCAAAGCACTTCTGTTGTAGGAAGGATATAGTTGGGTCTTGTTTTCTCATCTATTCATCCATCCTGTGTCTTTTGATTGGAGAAGTTAATCTATTTATATTTAAAGTAATTATTAATAGGTAAGGGCTTAATATTGACATTTTGTTAATTGTTTCTTAGGTGTTTTACACTTCCTTTGTTCCTTTCTTCCTCTATTGCTGTCTTTGTGATTTGATGATTTTCTGTGGTGGTATGCTTTGATTCCTTTCTCTTTTGTATATATATACTTTTTTCTTTTCTTTGTAGTTTCCATGAAGCTTACATAAAACATCTTACAGTTATATCATTCTGTTTTAAACTGGTTAACAACTTCATCTGCATGCAAAAGCGCTGTACTTTTACTCTACACAGGCAAAATCTCTGAATCAAGTCTGTGGCTCTGCAAGTGATTATGTAAATTAAAATTTTGTTTATCAAATCACATATATACATGAAAATAGTGTCTTTTCAACTAGAGTTTTTTAAACCCTACAGCAAATCTAACCTAGTCAGAATGTAAGATTGGGGCTTAAGCATGTGTGTTTTGAAACTTCTCCATGTATTTCTGTTGCATATCCTTGGTTAAGACATCTGTGTCCGAGAAAGTCACTAAATATTAATCCTCAGAGGGATGGGCTTGTAAGGCTTTTGTAAAACAGTTACCTATGCTTCACCTAGACTGACCTTTTTTAAAATGTATGTTTCCTTATTTCTTTATAATGGGCTATATTTGTAACTTTGACAAAGGATTGTTATACTTGTCTGGTTTTTTTTTTTCTCTTGCAGGTGAAAATGAGTTCTTCAGTAAGAAGAAAAGGCAAGCCAGGCAAAGGAGGTGGAAAAGGGTCTTCTAGAGGAGGAAGAGGAGGCAGAAGTCACACTAGTAAATCTCATGGGGGTGGCAGCAGTGGCGGTGGCAGTGCTGGCAATAGAAAGGCCTCAAGTAGAATTTGGGATGAAGGTGATGACTTTTGTATCTTCACTGAATCAAGGCGCTTATCCAGGTCATTATACTTTTTTAATGTTTCAATATAGAAACGGTATCAATCTCTAATCTGTGGGACAGCAGAGAGCTAAGAGAAAGGGGGGGAAATGCCAAGAAACTCTGGTCAAGTTAATTGTTCCTCTTGTTTTAAAACCTTGCAGTCCTCTACTTTGTAACCTTTTCTTAAAGACATGATGGCAAATAACAGCTTTTTTTTAAGAAGATGGAAATCTGAAGTTAACTTCAACTTACATGACACTATGAATTGAATATAATACTGTTATTGTAACTAATGTTACCAGGAAAGTAAATACTGGAAATAGTGAAAGACATTTTGGCAAAAGTTATTTTAAGTATTTCTTACACACTTACACACTGTAGTTTGAAAAACTTAAAATGCTACTTGGCTGTACTCTGTCTTTTTAGTTGATGAATTTTCTATTTTCTAGACACATCAGCCAACTCTTTACTGGTGCTTCACGTGATGACCAGTGACAGAGTCATATCCAGGCTTCTTTCATATTCAACTTTTAAATAATGAATAGATACTGATAATTCTAATCAATATTTAATGAAAGTAAAGCTTCTATTGCTGCATGTTATGCAGTATAGATAGAGGATTCTCATTGTCAAATGGCAACGCAGGCTGTACTGGAATCTTTGAGACAAAAAAGATTTCTTTAAAGCTACGTGTACACTTTCTTTTATGGGAATAACTCTCAACTAAATATTAGTTAGAAAGGAATATAAGTGAGTGATGGAAGTTTAACTGCATAATACATGCTTTTAACTTAAATGGATACAATTACATGCACTCAAGAAAAGAAAAAGAAAAGCAAATAGCATTTAAGTGGTTTAAACTTGCCACTAAATGAATCTGGGCCCCACAGTGAGCAAGATATGGAAGAAGAAGGACAATTCCCTCCATTATCCTCAGTATCCAAGTACTTTTTGTACTTGAAGCCACTTGATGCACTAAGTATATGATTTTAGAGTTTAAATATATAGGGTTTTGTTTTTCAAAGATTTTATTTATTTATTTGAGAGAGAAAGTGAGAGAGCACAAGCAGGGGTAGGGACAGAGGGAGAGGGAGAAGCAGACTCCCCACTGAGCAGGGAGCCTGATACAGGACTTGATCCCAGGAACTTGGGATTATGACCTGAGTCAAAGGCAAACATGTAATCTACTGAGCCACCCAAGTGCCCCTAAATATATGCTTTTATACATGGTCTGTAACATAATCAAATACATCATCTGATAACCAGAGAATCTATAATTTTTTTTTTGTTGTTGTTCAAGAAGAAAAACAGTCATTTTGGACATATTGAGAGCTAATATATCAATATCAAACTTGACATCTTTTTTTAAAAGAATCTTCCAAGGTAATTTTAAGATATGTTTTCACCTTACCTGCTGACTTAATAACCTAACTTCTGAGTTAGATGCAGCTCCCTTGTTTTTGAAAACATAGACATAATTGGAGGTTCTTACAGTCTTAGATGTTCATTCACACAGCGAGTATATACTGAGTGCCTACTATGCACCAGGCACTGTTTTGGGGACTAGAATTGTAACACTGAATAAAATATTGTCCTTGTCTTCCTAGAAGGAAGTCTGAGGTATAAAGACCATAAATAATATATATCCAGGTAGAAAGTGCCCTGGAGAAAAAGAAAGGAAGATAAAAGAGGTAAAAAATGCCAAAATAAACTCCTGTTATTTTTAAACAGTTGCTGTTTTATATAGAGTGATCAGGGAAGGCTTCTCTAATAACATGTCCTTTAAGCAGGGAAAAGAAGGATATGAAGGGGAGCGCTATGAAACTACCTGAGGGAAGAACATTGAAGGCAGAGGGAGCACCAAATACAAAGTCTCTCAGCTAAGAGAGTGCCTGGAAGGGTTAGGAAGTGGCAGAAAAGGACATGGCTAGAGTGGATGAGTAAGAAGGAGAGTAACGGTTAGATCCAAGAGGCTCACGCTGTGTAGCTTTTGGTCAGCCTTTGGAAGCCATTGCCAGGTTTGAGGCAAAGGTGTGTGACATCAGTTCCTCAGGCCAGAATTGCTACTATTCAGCATATGCCTTTGTGTGAGTTAGAATATGATGCTTTTCTCTTGGGGCAGTGATAGCCCCAGAATGCATGGCTTGATAAGCTAGCATGGATTGGATTCAAGCTCTTGCCAACTCATCCTCCCTCATTGTCTTCCCATCCCAACAGGAACTTTTGAACAGCGTACAGTCTGTGCAACTATGCTCAGTAGCCCTGACTCAGTATTCTGTGTGGAAAATAGACTACAAGGACGTCTGGGTGGCTCAGTAATTGAGCGTCTGCCTTCGGCTCAGATCATGATCCTAGGGTCCCGGGCCCGAGTCTGGCATCAGGATCCCTGCGGGAACCTTCTCCCTCTGTCTGTGTCTCTGCCTCTCTCATGAATAAATATATAAAATCATTTTTTTTAAAAAAAAAAAAGGAAAATAGACTACAGGGGAACATGGGTTGGAAGCAGGAAGAGTAGTTGGGAGATACTCTCCGAGAAGAAATGTCATAGACGATTTACATATTAGTCTGGAGTTCAAAGAAAAGATCTAAGCTAGAAAAGTAAATGTGTGAGTTGTCTGAATAACCGCTATTTAAAACTATGAGATTGGGGGAATCCCTGGGTGGCTCAGCGGTTTAGCACCTGCCTTCGGCCCAGGACGTGATCCTGGGGTCCCGGGATCGAGTTCCACATCAGGCTCCCTGCATGGAGCCTGCTTCTCCCTCTGCCTGTGTCTCTGTCTCTGTCTCTCTCTCTCTCTCATATGAATAAATAAATAAAATCTTTAAAAAATGAATAAATAAAAAAAATAAAACTAAGATTGGGTGGGATAGACTATACAGATAGAGAAGAGGTCTGAACTTTGAGCACAGGGATACTCTGGTCCTTAGAGCTGAGGAAGATTAGGAGAATCTGACAGAGGGGATAGCGTAGTTGCCAGTGAAGTAGGAGGAAAGCTAAGAGAATTTAGTTTCTGGACTTAGGAAATAAAGTTGCTTTAAAGGGAATTATCCAGTCAGATAGGATTGGATACCTAAAGGGGACACTCAGTTGTAAAGGAATACTTGTGAGAGGTCAAGAGAGACAGCTGTCCCCTGAATTTGGCAATGTGGATATCATAGGTAACTTTTCATTTTAGGTTTCACATCTATTGCCTTATATATTAACAGTTTATTTATTTTTGGTGTGAACTTTTTTCTTTATCCAAGTATAATTAATATACAATCTTGTATTATTTTCAATTGTACAGTATAATTGTTCAACAGTTTTATTCATTTCTCAGTATTCATCAGGATAAGTGTACTCTTAATCTGCTTTGTCTAGTTCACACATTTCCTCACCCTCCTCCCCTCTGGCAACCACCAGTTTGTTCTGTGTGTTTAGGAGTCTGCTTTTCCATCTGTCTCTTTTTCTTTCTTTGTTTATTTGTTTTATTTCTTAAATTTTATATATGGGTGAACTTTTAAGAACTATTGTCTTAGCTAATTCAAATATGTAAAACATTATAGTTAACTCTGTCTTGGCAAATTCAAATATATAAAACATTATAGTTAACTATGGTAACAATATTGTACACTACGTCTCCAGAACACACTCCTCTTGTTACTATATCTGTTCTCTTTGACTTCCTTTACCCATTTGCCCCAGCTCCCCTTCTGCCCCATCGGAATGATCACTTCCCCTAAATAGGACTAGAAAATGCAGCATTTTGTTCATTCCCATGAAGGTGCTGTATAATCTAGTTATGACTCTCAGACTCCCGGAGAACACATTTGAAAGCCACCAGGAATTTTTTGAACCAGTGGGATAAATTGGAAATTTTTACATGGTGTTTATTCATTTGAATTCAGGATTATTGGAGACTTCTGTTTTATTGAGAAGGACTTGAGATTATGCAGGCACCAAGCTAAGATTAACTGATACATGGAAAAGTTTACAATCCAGATGTTCCTCACATGTTGTTTCCCAAGAATCAGGTAATTTCAGTTTTTAACTGATAACTCCCCTTTCTATGAATCCCAAAGCCAGATCTCACACTGCTTCCATGGGTGGCATGACAATTACATGCCTAGAGAAAAATAAACTAACAGCATCTCTTCTCTGTGGCCCCAGTTTGGTCTTATCTCACATGTAGCTTTATTCCAAAGCCTCAGCTGGTGAATGTCTGCACCTTAGCTTCATTAACAATAGTGTTCAAGACTCCTGATGGGTGGTGAGATGAGGCAGGGTTTTCTTAGTGTAGTATATGAGTTTTCTCATAATTTTGGTTTTAGGCCTCATTGAGTTATCTATAGCATACATAACCTTGACAAGAGCTGTTTTATATACTTGGTGTGGAGAAACCCTGATTTTAGTGTCTGTCAAAGAGAAAAAGAAAGTGGAGACAAAAATAATGATGTAGATAACCCTTTTTAGGAGTTTTATGATAAAGGGCAGAGGAAGAAAGAAAGATAAGTATAGTTTGAGAGGGTGTGCACTCAAGGGGAGAATTTGGTTTGGTTTTTTTAAGATGGTGGACATTATACAGCATGTGTATATGCTGATAGAAATGCTCCATGGGGAATAAAGAACTGATGATGTAGAGGGAGAGGTAAATGCTAGAATAATTTCCTTGAGGAGACTGAAGAGATTGAGATACAGTATACAAATAGAGGGGTTGCCTTTAGGATCTAGGATCATTCTTCCCTAGTAACAGGAAAGAAGGCAAAGTAAAGGGGTATAGGGATGCCTGGGTGGCACAGCGGTTGAGCATCTGCCTTTGGCTCAGGGTATGATTCCGGGATCCGGGATCGAGTCCCGCTTCGGGCTCCCTGCATAGAGCCTGCTTCTCCCTCTGCCTGTCTCTCTCTCTCTCTCTCTCTCTCTCTGAGTCTCTCATGAATAAATAAATAAGATCTTAAAAAAAGTAAAGGGGTATAAAGATAAGTGGTGAGTTAGGAGCATGTAGTCCCCCTCATGTACTTTTTTTTTTAGCGAATCATGAGGAAACAATCAGACAAATCCAAATTGTGAGAATTTCTCCAAGATGACTGACCTGAGCTCTTCAAAAAAGACAATGTCAGGAAATAGGTAAGGGAACTTAAGGGAATTCGAAAAAAAAAAAAAGCTAAATATCATTTTTAATTAGATAATCAAAATCTATAGAGGACATGACTGAAACAATTGGGGGCTTTGAATATAGATTATATTTCAGAAGATATTGTGTCAATATAAAGTATCTTGTGAGTTATAATAGTATTGTGGTTATATAAGAATTTGTCTCTGTTCTTAGAAAATAAATGCCAAAGGGGCACCTGGGTGACTCGATTGGCATCTGCCTTTGGCTCAGTCATGATCCCAGGGTCCTGAGATCGAGCCCCGCATCAGACTTCCTGCTCAGCAGAGAACCTGCTTCTCCCTCTCTTCTGCTACTTACCCTGCTTGTGCTCTCTCTCTGTCAAATAAATAAATAAAATATTTTTAAAAAAGAGAGAGAAAGAAAACACATGTTGAAATATTTAAAAGTGAACATGATCTCTTCATGGTGTCTGCAGCTTATGTTCAGATGTTCAGCAATATGTATATAAAATAGAGGGGGCATATAATAGGCATATATGTGTATACGTAGAGAGAGAGAGGAAGAGGCTGCATAAATGTATATATGCATTAATGTATGGCAGATGTTAACTATTGGTGAATCTAGGTAAAGGATGTTTATTTCTATAGATTTCAATTTTTCAAAACAAAAATCTCTTCACTTGCTGGCTTCGTCAATAGAGCATGCAACTCTTGATCTCGGGGTTATGAGTTTGAGCCCCCTGTTGGGTGTAAAGATTACTGGGGGAAAAAAATCCTAAAATTAACCCTCTAAAGTGTGGGTTCCATTTGTGTGTGTGTGTTTGTGTTCCATTATTAAGGAGTGCCTGGTTTGCTCAGTTGACAGAGCATGCAACTCTTAATGTCAGGGTCATGAGTTCAAGCTTCACATGGGCATGAAGCCTACATTAAAAAAAAAAAAAGAGGAAATGATAGATTTGAGTCAATATTTCTTTAAAGAAATTTGTACTAAGTGGCTAAAACCACAATCGATTATATTTTCTCCTTTGCTACACAATGTTGCAAGTATAAATGTGTGGTTCTTTTCAAGGTCTCAATATTATGGATTGCAATTTTAAACACAAAAAAAGTTTCTTCCATTTTCCTAGTTTTGTGAAAATTTATAATGAAACATGCCAAACCAAAAAAAAAAAAAAGAAAAAGAAAAGAAATTTAATGAACAATGTTAAACTTTAGATTTATTTATTTATTTATTTATTTATTTTTAAAAGATTTTATTTATTTATTCATGAGAGACTCAGAGAGAGAGAGGCAGAGACACAGGCAGAGGTAGAAGCAGGCTCCATGTAGGGAGCCTAATGTGGGACTCGATCCTGGGTCTTCAGGATCAGGCCCTGGGCTGAAGGCAGCGCTAAACCGCTGAGCCACCCGGGCTGCCCAGAATTTATTATTATTTTAAATACTAAAAAGAGTTTCTAAAAAATCTAAAATCCAATAATGAAAGATTAGTGAAATAAATTCCAGTGCGTCTATAACTATATGTAACCATTTTAAAAATATGTTGTAGGAGAATAAGCTTAGGGAAATGCCAGTTTTATTTTGATAAGGAAATAAAGCAAATTATAAAAGATTATATATGCTGTATAATTTTATTAAAAATGTGTCTGAAAAGAATTGATGTGAATTAGGATGACTTCTGTTTTCTACTTTGCGCCAGTGAACATGTATTTATTATTTTGTAATTAAGAAATAATGATAATTTAGGTAAATATTTCAAAAGCATGGCCTAATATGCACCAGTAAGATGAGACCCTTCATTGTTTTCAGATTGGGAACCTAAAATAGAATAAAATAATTCTTTGCGTGTAATGTTTTTCTTTTGAAAGTCCTCTATTCCAATAGGAGTCATCATGGCATTACTTTTTCTAGATGATTCTTGAGTTAGTGAAGCCAGATTTAATGATTAAGAATCTAACAGGCATTTTTTTCCAGCAGTTGCAAGATAATGAAGTCTGGTAAGTACTGTAGTAAACAGTCCAGTACTAGACAGTCCAGTTCATGTTCTATATGTTGGGGGCTGTGAGGTGAGTGTCAAAGTTCTGGTCACAGGTAAATGTGTCCTTTGCAGACCTAGCAACAGTAGCACAAGAAAAGGAGAGGCACGCCCCAAATGGAAGCCTGAAGCCAAAGTGCCACTTCAGACCCTGCATATGACTTCTGAGAATCAAGAGAAAGTGAAAGCTCTTCTCCGGGACTTGCAGGAACAAGATGCAGATGCTGGATCTGAGTAAATTATTTTATTTAAGTAAATTAGTATATTAAGGAAGTTATATTGGCAGTGGGAAGGTCCTGTGTGTCTTTGGAACACTTTTCAATACTGATCCTATTGTGACAATGTAATTAGTTGAAGGTGAGCCAAAAGAAATACAAGAATAATTATTCAGCAGCAATTTTAGAATGAGTTTGTTTTGCAATATCTGTGAGCAGTACAGATTCCCTTTTCATCTTTTTTTTCTGAGGACAATGCTCAAATGGATTCCATAATTGCTTTATTGAGAGCCTTTCAAATAAAACCTTGTAGTGAACAAATAGCAGTATTGTTCTAGGAGCAAGTATTGAGTTGATCAGATGAAGTCTTAGGAGTATACTTTCTCATAACCATCTGCTTAAGAGAAACAACTTTTACTCTTTTGGCTGTTTTGCTTTGTGATTTCAGTCAAAGAAGTCAATTCATTCCATTTGCCAGAATTAATGGATGATCAGTCATGAACAGCTCAATTTCCATCCTATCTACAAATCTCTTTATCTGTTTTAGATTTAGGAAAGGTGGTGATGCAGCAAAGCAAAAACTTAGGGATGGTTTTTATGAGTGAGGAGAGAGGATAGCCAGAGCTTCTGTAGTTAAGAATACAGGCTCTGGGATCAGACTGCCTTGGTGGAAAGCTCTAGTTGCTCTTTACTGTATAACCTTTGGCAGTTACTAATTCTGAGTTTTAGTTGGTCATCGGAAAAATGGCGATTCCAATAGTATCTGATTAAGGGTTAGTAGAAAGATTTTTAAAGAAATAGAACATATAAAACACTTCACCTAGTACTTGGCATGTAATAAATGCCTGATAAATATTAATTGCCAAGATATAAATGAAGAGATCAGTAAACATTTAAATCAGTGACTGAAGAATGGTTAGGATCCTATGTCCTTTGGCTCCTTGAACTAAATTCTTAGACACTTGCTAAATTTTTCTTTGACATATGTGGAAATTAATCTAATAAATGAAAATGTTATCTTTGTCAGAAGAAGCATTTCTGGGGAGGAGGAAGATGATGAGCCTGATTGTGATGATGAACAGTACTGGTCTGCTGGACGAGAAGCTTCCCTTGTTCCAGACTGTGAGCCATTGGAATATGCTGGCTCAGGCCCAGTGGAGCCTCATAATCCAGAATTTACAGTCTCAACATTTGCAGTGCAGAAACTTTCCAGGTGATTGCTTTCAACATTTATAGGAGTTAGGGGAGAACTGAAGAAACTGAAATCATACTATAAACCCAACTACCCCCCACCTTGAATACTTTCCTATTGTGTGGGTTTCAGTGGTGCCTGATAGGTCTAATATCCTCTTTCATGTTTTTTTTAAAAAATATTTTATTTATTTATTTAGGAGGGACACAGAGAGAGAGAGGGAGAGACATAGGTAGAGGGAGAAGCAGGCTCCATGCAGGAAGCCAGATGTGGGACTTGATCCCAGGACTCAGGGATCACGCCCTGAGCCAAAAGCAGATGCCCAACCACCGAGCCACCCAGGCGTCCCAATATCCTCTCTTTTAGAACAAACTGATTAGGGAATATTACCAGAAACTTTCAAAATACAGATCCTGCCTATAACTTACAACTTCACATAAACATTTAACTGAATCTTGCTTTTGTGATTTGATACTACTTAATATTTTTTATCATGTTTCACCCTTGCTAGGTATGGTTTCAACACTGAACGCTGTCAGGCAGCCCTGAGGATTTGTGATGGAGATGTGGGGGCATCACTAGAACATCTGCTCACACAATGTTTTTCAGAGACATTTGGAGAGAAGATGAAGATCTCTGAGGCAGTTGCCCATGTAAGCGTGGAAGAGTGTGTAGAACAGCGGCAGGAAGAGGCATTTGCTCTCAAGTCAATCTGTGGAGAAAAATTTATAGAAAGAATTCAGAACCGAGTCTGGACCATTGGATTAGAACTGGAGTATTTGACGAGTAAATTCTGCAAATCCAAGCAAAAGGAAAGTACCAAAAATATACAGGAGACTACTCTTGAAATCTGTAAATTTTACCTCAAAGGAAATTGTAAATTTGGATCAAGATGCAAATTCAAACATGAAGTGCCCCCAAATCAAATTGTCGGAAGAGCAGAAAGAATTGTAGATGATTCTCATCTTAATGCTCATGAAGATGCCTCTTTTTTATATGAACTTGAAATCCGATTTTCTAAAGACCACAAATACCCTTACCAAGCTCCCCTTGTGGCATTTTATTCTACCAATGAGAATCTACCTCTGGCTTGTCGTTTACATATTTCTGAGTTCCTTTACGGCAAGGCCTTGACATTTGCAGAAACTTCAGAACCTGTTGTATATTCTTTGATAACCCTTTTAGAGGAAGAATCAGAAATATTCAATTTACTAACAAATACCCATCACAAGTACAGTGTCCCTCCTGTGAACTTTATGCCAGTATCCTCTGGAAGAATAAACAATCCTATCTGTCGTAAACCAGTGATCCCAAATAATTCTTTTACATCAAGTCAAATTGCTGAAGGTATGTAAGGCCTTGACTGAGTGGAGGGCTTTCTGGATTGGGCATTCAGAATGGTGGATTAAGGAAGTCAGAGTTTCCAAGGGCTGCTCTAGGATCTCTTGGTGATGTTAGGCAAGTCATTCTTCTTGGTCCATGGGCAAAAAGGAATGAGAATCCTCTGAACTGTGGCCTAACTTTAATTGTAAGTCCCAATTTTGTCACCATAATTGGGCTCTTTGTATTGAAAGTCTGTAGTGATGTATAAGTTGATTCTAGCAGTTGGGGATTGGAAGAACCTTAAAGCAACTTTCTAGGAAATGTTTCATTTAATTCATTTGTTTTACTTCTGATGCTTTACACAGAATTACTTTCAAATGAGTTTTTAGAGATATTTCTCTTTCTGGAGTACACTAGACCCCCAAAATTCATTATCTTAGGGCTATCTTTATGAACCCCTAAATCCTCAATTTAAAAAAATGTGTGTGCAAGCTTCTGGCTTTATCAAAATCCAGATTTGTTATACAGATTTTTACACTATAATTAAACAATTATATTACACTATAATTAAACTGCCAAAGAATTCTCTCTTGTTACCATCGTTCTTTGAGAGAAACAAGTTCTTATTATTTTACAAGATTTCTTAGGTAAACATCAATAAGTAAAGAACAATGAAATTGCATTGAGATGTGGATGATGGACAGTGGGTAGATGTACTCACTAGTTACTTGCTCCCAAATGGCAGCTTCTAGCATGTGAGATTCAAATATATTCCTTAAGAAATGACAAAATGTGTGGCATAGACTTTTTTTTTTAAGTAACAGCTTTATTGAGATAAAATTTACATACCATTAAATCTACCCTTAATTTTAAAGTGTACAATTCAGTGGGTTTTTAGTATATTCACAGGGTTGTACAACCGTGACCACTATCTAATTTCAGAACATTTTTATCAACCCTAAAAGAAACCTCATACTTACTTATTAGCAGTGAGTCCTCATTTCTTCCTTCCCTCAACCCCTGACAGTTATGAATTTACATTCTGTCTCTATGCATTTGCCTATTCTGTACACTTCACGGAAATGGAATCATACGATATATGGCTTTTGTGAGTGGCTTCTTTCACTTAGCATCATGTTTTTAGGTTCATTCATATTGTAGGGTGTATCAATACTTCATTTTACTGCTGACTAATATTCCATTACATAGACATGCCATATTTTGTTTATCAATATATCACTTAATAGACATTTGGGTTGTTGTATGTTAGAGGATTTTAGGAATACCTTGCAAGTAGTTGAAACTTTTGGTTAATTCCTTGAATGTAAAAAGTCTGTGGAATTAAGGTGTGTCATGATTTTTTTTCTTCGTTTTAAATTTGGTTTAGCAGCCACTTGTACTTGATTAAAGTTTATTTGAAGATCGATTTTAAGTTCTTGAGCAGTAGAAATAGTTGAATTTTTTGTTGTTACTTTATTAGATAGTGACTTCCCCCCTTTGCTAAAGAAAGGGCTCCATATCGAAAATGTTTCCTTTTATCCCCTTCAAGTTGAAAAAGAATCAGAACCTGAGGAGGAGACAGATGAGGATGAAGGTCCTGCACCAGTTATAGTGGAGAATGAAAGCTATGTGAACCTTAAGAAAAAGATTTCCAAAAGATATGACTGGCAGGCAAAATCAGTATATGCTGAAAATGCTAAAATCTGCAAGCAGTTCCGAATAAAACAGGTAGAGTATTCTGAGATAATGGCTAGCATTGCCTCCCTAATGTGTGGATGAATGGATTAGGCATTAGGAAACCTTGGCTACCCTCCCTAGTATACTTTTGGTTTTCTCTAACTCTGAGTGGTCAAAGTGTCTGCATGCCACAGCAAATATGGGTGCATGTTCTGGATAGTTTTGGAAAATCCAGTGGCTGGTGACAATGAAACACGCATATATACCAAATATTCTCAGAATCACGTGGCTTTGGTACTCTGATACAAGATCTGATAAGTGAAATAAAAGTTAATACTGTGATTTACATTAGAAAGAATAGGGGATCCCTGGGTGGCGCAGCGGATTGGCGCCTGCCTTTGGCCCAGGGCGCGATCCTAGAGACCCGGGATCGAGTCCCATGTCGGGCTCCCGGTGCATGGAGCCTGCTTCTCCCTCTGCCTGTGTCTCTGCCTCTCTCTCTCTCTCTGTGACTATCATAAATTAAAAAAAAAAAATTACATTAGAAAGAATAGCATAGAAAGGAGAAGGACAAGGAGAGACCCTTACCCCATTTCAGAGGATCACAGGATAAATAACTTGCCCAAAGTCACATAGCTAGTAGGTGGCAACACATGGGTTGGAGTTAATTCTCTGTTTCTAAAGTCCATGCTGTTTTTACTCCATTCACACAAAGATTATCTTAGAACCTAAAGTGAACTTTTAGGGCACAGTGGGGTGTTGGGTGTAGGACAAAAGCTTACCCATTTTGGGGATTGAATTAGATGCTGTTTAATGGCTCTTCTAATTATGAGGCTCTAATTCTGATTTTAACACAGTATAACACTATCGCATATTACAGTGCAATACCTGTAGGACATCAAAAGAAATAGGAATTCACACCATAAATAGTAAGGTGATAGAAACCAAAAATTGCACATTCCAATTTGATCAGTTTGTGTTCAGAGATGATTAGTTTATATGATAAAATTATATGCAGAAAATAATATATTAGTATGAATTTCTTTTTTTTTTTAATTTTTATTTATTTATGATAGTCACACAGAGAGAGAGGCAGAGACAGAGACATAGGCAGAGGGAGAAGCAGGCCCCATGCACCGGGAGCCCGACGTGGGATTCGATCCCGGGTCTCCAGGATCACGCCCTGGGCCAAAGGCAGGCGCTAAACCACTGCGCCACCCAGGGATCCCTAGTATGAATTTCTTATTCAAAAATACATCTTTAGTTTTAACATGCACTACAGTGTTTATTGGCCATTGGATGTCAGACTGAATTACATATATGTGATGCCTGGCCAAAAAGAACCCTTTCATGAGTGCTCTTACTGATTTTAGTAAAAATCTAATGCTGTCCAATATGGTAGCCCCTAGCTACGTGGGCTATTTAAATTTAAATTAATTAAATTGAAATTAAATAAAATTTATAATTCAGTTTATCAGTAGCACTGGCCACATTTTAAGTGCTCCCTAGCCACATGTAGCCAGAGGTTGTTATACTGGACAATACTAATATAGGACATTTCCACTAACAGGGAAAGTTCTATTGGATAGTGCTGATGCAGAGACTCTTGCTAGCACCATGTAGTGCTAAGCAGGATGGTTTATTTCTCTTGTAAGATCTTGCAGTTTATTCAGATATAGGAAAACCATGAAGATTTCACAACTTATTCTGGCTGATTCTCTGAGCAGCCTCCTGACTTTAAGTCATCAACACCTAATCCTAACAAATCTGCAGTTTCTATCTCTGAACAAATTATTAAAGAGCAAAAAGGGTGGGTCAAGCTATGGGATTCCACACTCAGAGTTTGTGAAAGATGATTCAAAGTAACCTAACTGATGCCTTATCTTTTATGTTGTTAGGCTTCCAGACAGTTCCAGTCAATTCTGCAAGAAAGACAATCACTCCCTGCGTGGGAAGAAAGAGAAACCATTCTTAAATTGTTGAGTGAGCACCAAGTGCTTGTTATAAGTGGTATGACTGGGTAAGAATGCAATTTATTTGTAATGTAGCTTTCAATCCATTAATATGGTGTGTACACTGGTTACCATAACCAGTTCTATGTGTAAAAAACTAGTAGCTGTTATTATTTGTGCTCTTTCTGGTATGATATGAAATAATATTTCACAGAACATAATATTGCAGGTCTGCAGCCATTTAAAACATTTTTTTTAAAGATTTATTTGAGAAAGAGAGAGAGAGAGAGCACAAATGCACAGTGGGGAAGGGCACAGGGAGGGAAAATCTTAAGCAGACTCCATGCTGAGCATAGAGTTGGACATGCACCATCCAGACATCCCTAACTGAAAGCTTTTAACAGGCCTATTTTTAAATGTAAAGGATAGATCCAGAACATTTATTTATTTTAAAAGATTTATTTATTTTAGAGCATGCATGCAAGGTGGGGAAGGGGCAGAGGGAGAGGGAGAGAGAATCCTCAAGCAGACTCCTCCCATTGAGCACAGAGCCCAATGGGGAGCTCAATCCCAGGACCCTGAGATCATGACCTGAGCTGAAATCAAGAGCTAGCTGCTTAACCAACTGAGCCACACAGATGCCCTTACAGAATATTTAACTTGGGAACTTTCATCTTCTAAATTTATTCTGACTTTCTTAGAGCTTTTATTTGTTCTTTTAAGAACAACTTAAGGCATATTTCTTTTCCTGTCTCACACTTTTCATATGTTATCCAAACTTATTTAACAGGGACAGGTCATAGGCTTAATTTAATTCTATATTCGTAGGTATTCAACCTAGTAATTACATTTGTGCCCAGACTCACTGATACAGTACTAATCTGAGATCTTCTGGCTTCTTATTTTTTAACCTCAGTCCACTTGTAGCCAAATCAGTAAGATAATACATAAAATCATAAGACAATACTCCTACTTCTTTAGGATTCAAATACAGAGTTTATATTCCTAGAGGTGTTTACAGAACTTAATCTATTGTTTACTCAATTGTCCCAATTTTACAATGATACTAAATTAATATATGATTGCTCTGTTCATCCAAGTGCAAGTTCCTAGCAGTTTTGGGCTGTAGGTAACAAGGCAGTAGGTTGGTTTAGAAGATAAATGAAGCTGAACAAGTTTTATTATAATTAGCTTTCTCACTTCTCACTTCCCTCATTGCACATAATTGCTTTTTTTTTTTTTTTTTTAACTAGCACTTGAAAACTCTCATTTTAGGACTTATTTGTTTTGACATACAGATGTGGGAAAACCACACAGATTCCTCAGTTTATTCTGGATGATTCTCTGAGCGGACCACCTGAGAAGGTGGCTAACATCATCTGTACCCAGCCCCGACGAATCTCAGCAATATCTGTTGCTGAACGTGTTGCTAAAGAAAGGACAGAAAGAGTGGGTCTGACTGTGGGGTACCAGATCCGGCTGGAAAGTGTCAAGGTTTGTATACTCTGCTGGTTTCCTGATAACAGAAATTTTGTTTCTGTTATCAGGAATTCTTGGGGCCTAGGGACTCATGGGCAAGTTGGGATACGTACCTCAGTACAACTTAAGACCTTTAAGAAATATTTTGGTATAAGAACTCTTATTTGAATGTATTTCATTTCTTCTATAAAGATCTTTTATTCTTTATTGGAAGAAATGATCTAGTAATTGCTGTTTTACTCTTAAACTTGGGACTTAATCCATTCAACCAAATAAGAAATGGACAAATTCAGAATTGAGTTCATCACTCATTGTTGCTTTTATGTTTTATAATAACTTTGAATGCTTTTATGAGTTGTAAACTTAAAATTTTGATATGAAGTAGAAAAGCTTTAAATGTTGTTGCCAATAAGAAACTATGCATTCAGTGCAGTTTCCTATTAAATGGAACTACTGAGGTTTTCAAGATTCTTTGTCCCTATCCATTCAAAATGGCTTTGCCATATTGGCCTTGAAAGTATTTCCTTTTTTCAAAAATTCCATGAATGCTTTCTGTGCCCTTTTACATGTAAGTCCTCAGCCACCAGACTGTTGTACTGCACCACAGGCGTGCTGCTGAGAAGGCTGGAAGGAGATACATCTCTCCAAGGAGTCACCCATATCATTGTTGATGAAGTTCATGAGAGGACAGAAGAAAGGTAAAACAAGGATCTTCCAAACAAACAGCCACATACTTAAAACAAAGACATCACTGAAATAATTTTGTTCTGTTTCTAATTCAGTTTTCATAGAGCAAAAGAGGAAGGCCACAGAGAAGGCCAAGTTAGAGAAGAGGAACTGCTTCCCTGATATCCAGGGTCTGGAACACTAGAAATGCTAGGAGGGCACATGTTCTTCACTAGAAGAGTTATCTTGTTACAGGGACATCTTCTACTAGGAGATACTTTACACCCTCCTGGGCCTCGTGCTGAGCTGGGCTTGGTACCTAGTAGAAATAGCAGTTGTAACATACACTGTAGTTGATAGATTGGTCAATATGTGCTTCCTTCTTAGTTCATTTGGTCTGTCATTCAGTCCTGACATTCATTCATTCATTTATTTATTGAGACTGGGTTAAGTGCAGAGTGAACTGTTAACTGTTGGGGATACTAGAGTGAATGAGCATATGTGATTCTCCTTTATCTCATGGTCTGGAAGGAAAAAGAAATAATGAACAAATAAATAAAGAGTTACAAATTGGAGTAAGTGCCATGAAGGAATAAACAGGATGCTCTCTTTTGGGAGGAGAGATTCATGAGATGGTCAGAGGTGATCTCTCTCAAGAGATGACGTTTAAATTAAAAATGGAAGTATGAGAAGGCATCCCATGTGACAGCTGGGGGCAAGGCTAGCATTTGCAGGCTCTGGTGGGAAAGGGTGTCATGAGCCCAGAAGCTGGAGGAAGGCCTGTGCAGAGCTGGTTGTAGTAAATGAGGGGAAAAGTAGTGGGTAGAAGAGGCAGGAGCCAGATCTTCCAGGACCTCGTATACCATGGACAATAAAGCATTTAGATTTTTTTTTTTTTTAAAGATTTTATTTATTTTGGGAAGCCTGAGTGGCTCAGCAGTTGAGCACCTGTCTGGCTCAGGGCACGATCCCGGATTCCTGGGTTTGAGTCCCACATTGGACTCCTTGCATGGAACCTGCTTCTCCCTCTACCTGTGTCTCTGCCTCTCTCTCTCTCTCTCTCTCTCTCTCTGTGTCTCATGAATAAATAAATAAAATCTTTAAAAAAAATTTTTTTTATTTATTCTTTTGAGAGAGTTGAAAGTACAAGAGCATGAGGGGGGCAGTACTGCAGAGGGAGAAGCAGACCCGAAGCAGGGCCCCATCACAGGACCCCAGGATCATGACCTGAGCCAAAGGCAGATGCTTAACTGACTGAGCCACCCAAGCACCCCTTAGATTTTATTTTAATGGAATTAGAAGTCATTAAGGGGTTGGGACATAAACTCAAAATCCTCAATATTTTAAAAGGAAGGGCTAATAGATGATATCAACCATAGTTTGTCATGTGGATCATGTTCGATAACAACAAAAAAAATTGTAGGGGAGAAAAAAGACCATAAAATTTTGAGACTTCCCCAAAAAGACTATCCTATTATCCTATTATATCCTATCTAGAAAAGAAGCAAAGTCTAAGTAAAGTTGTCAGACTGACAGAGAAGCAGAAAATAGCTAATAGCAAAATTTAAAAAAGAAACATGAAGAGTTCCCAACTATTGCTGATAAAAAATTTTTACAAACTGAATAGAGAAGACATGGCTAGAAGACTATTTGTTCAAAGAAATAAATACATTGATATGCTAGTAAACAAGAAATATGAAGTAATTAGACACTAAAGAAAAGCAGACTTAAAGAATACATCAAAATAGGGACGCCTGGGTGGCTCAGTGGTTGAGCGTCTGCCTTTGGCTCAGGGCCTGATCCCGCAGTCCCGGGATCAAGTCCCACATTGGGCTTCCTGCATGGAGCCTGCTTCTCCCTCTGTCTATGTCTCTGCCTCTCTCTCTCTGTGTGTGTCTCTCATGAATAAATAAATAAAATCTTAAAAAAAAAAAAAAGAATAGATCAAAATAAAGTGGGAGGCAGAGACATAGGCAGAGGGAGAAGCAGGCTCCCCTCAGGAAGCCTGATGCAGGACTTGATCCCAGGACCCCAGGTTCACAACCTGAGCCAAAGGCAGATGCTCAAGCACTGAGCCACCCATGGGTCCCAACAATAGTAAATTTTAAATGACTCTATAGAGTCATTTACACTCTGGGAATACAGAAAACACTGGGAATCTTTAAGGGGCAAATAATCTTTTTGTAGAGACTCCAGAAAACAGGAGGGAAAAAATAAATGGTAAGTCATTTCATTTTGCATGTAAATGTTCAAGTGAACATTTGAAAGAAGAAAATTTTTTCATTAAATAAGTTGGAGGAGGAAATCAAATATAACATTCAACCAGATTAATAATATTTAAATGATTATATTATGAAAATACATTTAAAACTTTAGGGGAAATTATATCCAGTATAATTTTAAGTATAAAGAATGGCTTTGGATTTCATAATATTTATATTTCCACATACCCAGAGAACTGAAAACTGAAGCATAGTTCTGGATCTGGTTTCTAGCGGTAATCATGTTCTCAAAAGTAAAAGATTTCATAAAACTTAATGTGGAATATCAACAGTTAAAAATTCAAAATATTTTAACATCTGAATAAAGATAAGTTACTGTAGAAGGGAGATCCAGACATACCAATCTATGGGAAAGCAGTATACAGATTAAAAGAAAAAGAAAAAGCAAGGGAATACTTGCTAGCTCAGATAGAAAAGGAGAAAAAATGAGAGTAAAATCTAGGAACTAAGATCGGTAAAAATATAGACAAAATTGAAGGTTGAATATACAAAAGTTACAGTTGTGTTAGTTTAAAATTTTAAATGAATTTCCTGGTCATAGAGGTAACCAAGTTTGATTTTTCTAAATATTTAGAAAGTATCAAAGAAATGTCAAGAATAGTTTCTGTACCCTATATAATAGTTTCCTGTTACAGTTTTGATCTGTTTTCTTCTGGGAATGTATTAGGAGTTAGGGGAGAGATGTGATAGAGAGAGATAATGTGTCTCTACAAACACTATTGGAGTTTTCTGTACTCCTTTTGATGTAATAGTTAACATAATAGCATGAGCTATCTTTGAAGTTAATAATTGCATAAGGAGATTTTAAAGCATGGATATACTATAAATTATTTAAGCTTTTCCTATTGACACATTATTTCCTTTTCCCTAAAAAAGAAAAAAAATCATTAATGCAATTACATTAGCTCATGAAATTAAAGAGAACTAAATAGTACAATAATATACTGTCATTGAAAAAGCAATACAGGGGGCACCTGCTGGCTCAGTTGATAGAACATGAGACTCTTGGTCTTGAGGTTGAAAGTTCGAGCCCCACATTGGGCTTGGGGCCTACTATACATATTTTTTAATTTTTCTTTTTCTTCAGGCAGTACAGATAAAATGGAAGTCCTCACCATTCTCTCCCCAGAGATAACTATGGGCATCAGACTGATGATATGTCCTTCTATACATTGACATGTATGTTTACTTTGTTAGAAATAGGTACTTTTATTTTCTGGCCTTTTTTGTCTTACACAAATGATATGCTCAATTAGTAAGTCAAAGAATATTTATTGGGCACTTACTATTCTCCAGACATTGTGCTAGATTACTTTTATTAGTGAACAAAGTAGACCAAAATCCTTGTCCTAATAAAGCTTATATTCTAATGGATGAGCTCAACAATAAGAAAGATAAATAAGTAGAATATGTTAACTGCTAAGAAAGGGTAACTGCTAAGGGTGATATGAAATGCAGAGAAGGGGAGCATTTGAATTTTTAAACAGGGTAGCCAGAGAAGAGAAGGCCTGGCTGAAAATGTATCTTTGAGTAAAGACTTGAAGGAAGTGAGGGAGCTACCTGTGAATGTCCAGGAGAAGCCCATTCCAGGCAGATTAATAACATGTGCAAAGTACATGAGGTACTCCTTAAGGACAGCAAGGAGTACAGTGTGGGTAGAGTGAGTGAATAAGGGGAGAGCAACAGGAGATGAGCGGTGGTGATGCAGATCATGTCATGTAGGACCTAACTTGTTAGTGAGGACTTTAATAAGTCATCAGAGGATTGTGAGAAGAGTGGCACAGTAAGATTTACATTGAATAGAATTGTTGGTCTGTTCTATTGAGAATAGAGTACAAAGGGGATGCTGAGGCAAGGATATTGCTTTTCTATGGTGCATATTATTCTACAACTTGGGTTTTTTTCACTATGTCTTAGAGATGTTTTCATATCAGTATCAAAGCTCTACCTTATTCCTTTTATCTGCCTGTTATTCCACAGAATGGGTGATTTTACTGTAGTTAATGACTTCTTGGTTGATGGATATTTAAGTAGTTTCCATTGTTATACTATTATAAACAATGCAATCATGAAAATCTTTGTATATTCTTCATTATGTACATGTAGATATCAAGAAGTAGAATTATCAAAGGCAATGATAGATCCTATTGGTATTTTGATTGGTACTACACGGATTTTAGTTTATTGCAGGGGGTATCTTTATAATTTTAAGTTCACATCTAGGATCATGACACATCTTTCTGTGAGATTTGTAGTTTTTTTCACATAGATCTTACACATTCCATGCTTAAAATTCACCAAAATTCATTTTTGAATGAATTTTAATTCATTTTTATGTATTGAATTTGTTTGATCTTTAGGTGTTTCTTTTATTTCCTTTAGTGACTTCTTGCTACTGGTTTTGAAGGACATTGTGTTGCAGAGACCAAATCTTCAAGTTATTCTAATGAGCGCAACTTTAAATGCTGAACTCTTTTCAGAATATTTCAGTTCCTGCCCAGTTATTACTATACCAGGTGATTAAAATGCATCCTTAAATATGCACTGTTCTAATAAGCAAGTGTAATTATTTTTGAAGTTCATTTGAGATATAAAATAACAGGTATTTATACTTATTTTTTAGAAGAGTGATTCACTTATAACAAAATTATGACCAAATAACAAAATTAACAAAGAAGTAACATATCCATTTGCTAAGAGATTTCAGTTTTATATGTGCTTTTTATTTTTTTTTTTTTAAGATTTTATTTATTTATTCATGAGAGACAGAGAGAGAGAGAGGCAGAGACACAGGCAGAGGGAGAAGCAGGCTCCATGCAAGGAGCCCGACGCGGGACTCCATCCCGGGCCCCCAGCATCACACTCCGAGCTGCAGGTGGCACTAAACCGCTGTGCCACCGGGGCTGCCTTATATGTGCTTTTTTAAAAAGTCTAGACTAATAGGATTTCTAGGATTCCATTGTGTTTAACATCAAAGTGTAAGTTAATAATGGTAAAATGTCATAAAGAGGGAAGTTGTATCTGTATAGCATGTTGATTCATTGCTAGAATCTGCTAACTTTCTGGAGGTTGGTCTACTCTGAGAGAAAGTAAAATTGAATAGTCTGTGTCTTTTGGTGTTTCAGTCTCATTGTGGGATTGATTTATCACTATGGGCTTTGCTTTAACCTTTTGCAGTTGATTGCCAAAGGAAGAATTTGGGGATAATTTTTTTTAAGATTTTTAAAATTTATTTATTCATGTAAGACACAGAAAGAGACAGGTAGAGAGACATAGGCAGAGGGAGAAGCAGGAGCTCCCTGCAAGGAGCTCGATGCGGGACTCGATCCCAGATCCCGGGATTATGCCCTGAACTGAAGGCAGATTCTCAACTGCTGAGTCACCCAGGCGTCCCATTTTTTTTTTTTTAAGATTTTATTTATTTGTTCAGAGAGGCAGAGACATAGGCAGATAGAGAAGCAGGCTACAAAAAAGAAGAAGAAGAAGAAGAAGAAGAAGAAGAAGAAGAAGAAGAAGAAGAAGCAGGCTACATGCAGGGACCCTGATGTGGGACCCAATCCCAGAACTCCAAGATCATGCCCTGGGCCGAAGGCAGGCACTCAACTGCTGAGCCACCCAGGTGTCCCAAATTTGGGGATAATTTTGAGGATAATGATATTATTTCTTCTAGTTGTTGGTTAGAGGGAGGAAAGGGGGAGGGTGGGAAAAGTGTGTAACTGGTTTTAAAAAAAGAGGTTAAAAAAAGTCTTATTACCAAATGAGCATATCTTCACCTATGCACTCCTGGAGTTTTTTATGAGCTGGAATCTATCCTTTCTAATTAGTTTTATCATCAAAAGCTTTCTTTCTTTCTTTTTTGATATTTTTAAGACCACAGAACAAACAGCCCCTTATTGTGCCAAGCTTTGTTTTAAGAGAATTTTACACATACAAGTTATTTTTACATATACAAACTATTTATTTCAAGATAGTTGAAACTGAGGCTTTTCTCGTTTATTTTTTTGTTCTTCTAGGTCGTACATTTCCTGTTGATCAATTTTTTCTGGAAGATGCAATTGCTGTGACAAGGTAAGGAAGACATTAACGAAGGTTTGGTGAAAGACTTTGAAAACAATTATTATTTTACTTCACTGAGCCAGCATTTTAATAGATGTGTTAGTTTTTCTTCTAATTCTCTGTTTGAGTATTTTATTTTCCCTTTTCAGCAAATATTATACAATATTTGCAATTCACAGACAATATTGTATATTGTTAGTACTGACTGGAACCCTAATGTAAACTATAGGCTTTGGGTGATCATGATGTACCTTGTAGGTTCATCAGTTATAACAATTACACCACTCTGGTGGGGGATATTGATAATGAGGGAGGCTATGCATATGTGGGGAACAGGGGGTATTGAGAAATCTCTATACCTTCTGCTCAATATTGCTGTGATCCTAAAACTGCTCTGAAGAACAGAATCTATTTAAAAAATGATGAAGGACAAAATACATGGACAATTTAATAAGAAAAAAAAAAAGACCAATTCTGCAGATAGACTGCCAGTATTTAAATCCCTATACTTACTAGGGGCACCTAGCTGGCTTAGTTGGAGGAACATGCAACTCTTGATCTTAGGGTTGTGATTTCAAGCATGTTGGATGTAGAGATTATGTAAAATAAATAAATGATTTTTAAAAATCCTTCTACTTACTAACTGTAACATTGATAAGTAGTTTAATCTCTCTGTGACTCAGTTTCATCATAGGTAGAGTGATCATACTACTAATAGCTGCTTCACAGGGTTGTTATGAGGATTTATTTATTAATTCTTGGAGGTAATAGCTGCCAGTGTCTAGAACTGTGCCTGGTGCATAGCAAATGCTTTATAAATGTTAGCTATTAGCATTCTACAAGTCTCAGGGAGCTTGCAGTATAGTGTTAAGATGTCTGTAATTTAAGTACTGGATAGAGAAGGTCATTTCCATTGGATACAAATATATTTCTCTCCTTTGAAAGCCCTGATTTCTTTTCCCATTCTTTGACCTTGAAGATTCCCCATGGTTTTATCCTTGCACTACTTCTTCTCACTGTTAAACTTTTTCATACCTCTGTTAGATTCATGTGATTTCAAATGTTACCTCTGTGCCAAGAATTCCCAGATCATTATCCGTGTTCCTGACCTCTGAGCTCCTTGATATCTGGCACCTGAATTCAATTCAGAATTTTTCTCCTCCCTGCTCCTTCCCTTTCTAATAAGCCCCACTCCTAATTCTCTATTGATTTAATCATACAGTATTCTCAAGCTAAAAACCCAGAAACAGTGGCTCTCAAACTTTGGTGTGCAATAAGCATACGCAGGGAGCTTATTAAAATTGTTATTCTCTGGGCCCCATCCCATTTCTATTGAACGTGAATCTCTGGGGAAATTAATCTTTCAACTAGTTTACCTGTCTTTATTCTCTCACTTTTTTTTTTTATTCTCTCACTTTCAGACTCACTGCCTCAATCTCACTGCCTCCAGAATTATCTTGAAACAGAACCAAAAGCATTCCAGTGTGTTCCCTATCAGAAATAGGGCACAGCTAGCAGACTGGTGGAAGAGTAGCACATGAATTGGGCAGAAACAGAGTAGCATTCTGGTGAATGAGCATATAAATAGGTGAAAATTTTCATTTCTCACCATCAGACTCAGGTACACACAGACCCATTCCTTTGTCTTCCTTCCTCAGGTATGTGTTACAAGACGGAAGCCCATATATGCGCTCCATGAAGCAGATGACAAAGGAGAAGCTAAAAGCAAGGCGCAGCAGAACCGCATTTGAAGAAGTAGAAGAAGACCTGAGGCTCTCTCTTCACCTCCAGCACCAGGACTCTGTCAAAGATGCAGTGCCAGATCAACAGTTAGATTTTAAGCAGCTCCTGGCCCGCTATAAAGGTAATGCGTTCCCTAGGGGAATATTACAGTTATACTGAAAGGCAACCAGTTCCCCCCACCCCCAGGTGATCCAGAGGAAGAAAAACGTGGCTCTTGTTTCATATATATTGTCTTAATTCATCAGAACAACTTTAAACTTAGAAAAGTAGCAATTCCAACACGTTTTAGGTATAATTGTTACTATAGTTACCAGTAGGCTTTTTTTGTGATTATAGAAGATGTATTATAGGAAAATGGGATAGTGAAATATAAATATATTCTTGAGTATTTTATTACTTTTTATTTTGATACAATTGTAAATTCAAAATTAAAGTGGGCAGGACTATACAATGAACTCTCCTATATCCTTTACGCCCAGTTCACCAATTATTAATATTTTGTTTCATTTGCTTTATCATTTGCTCTGTGTGCATGTATATATTTCTTTCCTGAACCTTTTGAATAAGTTGCAGATATGATGTCCCTTAATTCCTAATATTTTAATATTTCTTTTCTTTTTTTTTTTTTAAGATTTTATTTATTTATTCATGAGAGACACACACAGAGAGAGAGAGAGGCAGAGACACAGGCAGAGGGAGAAGCAGGCTCCATGCAGGGAGCCTGACATGGGACTCGATCCCTGGTCTCCAGGATCAGGACCTGGACTGAAGGTGGCACTAAACCACTGAGCCACCCGGGCTGCCCCTTTAATTATATTTCTTAAAAGCATAAGTACAGGATATAATCAAAATGAAGATTTTTAACTAATATAATACTATTATTTAATCCATAGTCAATATTCTAACTTTGCCAATTATCTAAAAAAATATTCTTTACTTCTATTTTTTTCTGGTTCAGAATCCAATCCACAATTACATATTGCATTCATTGTTACGTGTTTTTAGTTTCTTTTGATCTGAAAAAACTCCCCAGCCTATATTTTTCTTTTAAGAGTTTGGGCCAGGGCAGCCCAGGTGGCTCAGCAGTTTAGCACTGTCTTCAGCCCAGTGTGTGGTCCTGGAGACCCGGGATCAAGTTCCATGTCAGGTTCCCTGCATGGAATGGAGCCTGCTTCTCTCTCTGCCTATGTCTTGGCCACTCTCTCTGTGTCTCTCATGAATACATAAATAAAATCTTAAAAAAAAAAAGAAAAGAAAACCACAGAAACAATGTTGATCCTTCTTTCCTCTCTGTACCTCAGTTTCCCTAACCATAAAATGGAGTTGTTTAGGGAATTAAATGAGATAATACAAACTCCCAGCACAGGGCCCAGCTAATCAGTGCACATTTGTAATTCTAATCCGAATATGTCTGAGTCAAAAAGTTTGTGTTCTTTCCATACGTCATACCAGCTGATAATTCCCATTTGTTTATTCTATTAAATTCTGTTACAGGAAAACCCCCTTGATTTCTCCTTTGAAATTTCAGAATTTTCTTTAACAATTATGACTGGATGGGATGACTAGGTGGCTCAGTGGGTTAAGCATCCAGCTTTTGATTTCAGCTCAGGTAATGATCTCAGGGTCGTGAGCTAGAGGTTCACAAAGGACTCCATGCTCAGCGTGGAGTCTGCTTGAGATTCTTTCTCCCTCTGCCCCTCCTCCCATTCACGCTCTCTCTCTCTCTAAAATAAATAAATAAAATCTTTTAAAAGTAAATAAATAAAAATTATGACTGAATTAAGCCAGACCTTTCTAATTTCAAGTACACAGTTTACCAAGTTCAAAAAGCACTTCTGAGAACTCCTTTCTGAAGGAAGAGGATGGAAGATTTGGGGTCAAGAAACCTGGCTCTGCGTGATAGTGGGCTGACCGCTTAGCTTCTCCCTTTCCGTATAACAAAAGACCAGGTCTAGTTGATGTCAAGGCTCCCTGACTTTTCAGAAAATTACATGTTTCTGAGCTCAATTTTTAAAACTTTTCTAGTTAAATAATCATAATCAGTCCTTTTAAGTGTATGATTGTTTAGCAAAAACTGTCAAACTAAAATTTTTTTTTTAATTTTTTTTTATTTATTTATGATAGTGACAGAGAGAGAGAGAGGCAGAGACACAGGCAGAGGGAGAAGCAGGCTCCATGCACCGGGAACCCGATATGGGATTCGATCCCGGGTCTCCAGGATCGCGCCCTGAGCCAAAGGCAGGCGCCAAACCGCCGCGCCACCCAGGGATCCCTCAAACTAAAATTTTTTAAAAATTATTTTCACTTCTCTTTTTTTCTGTTAGCTAATTCTTTCTCCTTTTTGAAAAGTTTGCTTTTTGGAATCTTGACATATAAAAATTATTCCTTCTCTGCCTTCCACACCTAGCCACATCCATATTTATGTAGCTTGTATCTTCCTTTCTTTCATGTTTGACCAACATCAGATTCATACTGCCAGAACAACATTGTTTAGAAACTGCTTTTGCCACTCTTCAAACTTTTCAGCATAATATAGGAAGCTTCCCTTCCTTAATATCACCTGCAACTATTTTGTTCCAGTTAGACTATATTTAGGGTGATAGGCTATTAAGAAGACCCAAAAAGAAAGGCCAGTGGTCTTTGGAGAGTTAGTCTCCCCAGGAATAAGCTATTTATTTTTAAAAGAGCTCAGGCTTAAAGTACAACCCAAAGAACTCTGTCTTTCACTAGTCCTAGATAAATTAGGAGGAGACTGGAGACCCTTACCTAAAAGTCTATGACTAGATTTCAAGGGTTCATGGTGAAGCCATTAAAATCATATGTATTTTTCAGGGAAGATCCAGAACTTTTGCCATTTTCTCAAAGGAACTTAAAGGTGAAGAGTCACTGTTGTGAGGATGTTGGTGAAAGCTGTGGTCTTTGTCCTTTTATTCCTTGAATCACTGTTACCTGGACTTCTATCTGATCTGACTCATGACTTGATGAATCTGGAAAGGGTTTCTAAACTGTATTTGACTTGAATTTTGTTTCTAAGATTTAAATTGTCAATAAATGAGTGATAGATAAAAGAGGGGAAGGAAGAAAGGAAAAAGTGGCCAATCTGGTCCTTTTCAGCAGGGTCAGGTGCCTATTCTTTAAGTCATTGTTCAGGCAAAAAGTGCTCCTAGTAAGAACGTATTTTCTGAGAGACTGAAAGAAAACAATTCATTTCGGTGAGTAAATGTGAACATCTGTGTTATTAAATGAAGAGACTCACCTAGTTCACAGGCATCATTGCTTTAATAAGGATAATTATCCTTCTGATGTTTACCTTTCTTTCAGGAGTTAGCAAATCAGTCATCAAAACAATGTCCATCATGGATTTTGAAAAGGTTAATCTCGAATTAATAGAGGCCTTGTTAGAGTGGATTGTAGATGGAAAGCACTCCTACCCTCCAGGTAACCACTTGTTGTCTTCATTTGTGTGTAACATGGCAAAAAAGAAGGCAGCTCGCTTACTGAGACAGTGGGTACTGTGGGGCCGACCTCCCTTCCTGGATCCCTTGCTCCCACCCTCACTTTTTCACCCCTAGTTGTGTGTAAAGTTGCTTATGAGGCTTTTCAGGAGGAAATTTTACCTTTTACTTTTTGAGGTTCACCGACTCCTTTTTGCTTGCTATTCTCTTGTTCCCACTGAGCAAAAAGATGTTAACAATACAAAGTCCAAAAGGAGGAAAGCTAAAAAGAAGATCTGGGTACTCCATATATTAAACCCTCAGTCCCAGGCTAAATGAGAATCTGGTAATAAGTGTTTGAATCCCATGAAGACTCTGCATATGGAGGTCACAGGGCAGGGGGGTTAAGAGAACAGGCTTTGGAGTCTGATAAACTTCCAGCTCTGCTATTTGGGAACTGTGTAGCCTTGGATAAAGTCTTTATCCTTGCTCTGCCTCAGTTTCCTTGTTTGTGAAATGAAGACAGTCATAATTCCTCTGACATTCAGCTATTTTTAAGATTAAGAGAAACCATATGTAGAGGGTGCCTGGCTGGCTCAGTCAGCAGAGCATGTGACTCTCGATCTCTGGGTTGTGAGTTCAAGCCCCATGTTGGGCATAGAGATTGCTTAATAATAAAATCTTTAAAAAAAAAGAAAAAAAAGAGACCATATGTAAAGCACTTAGCACAGTACCAGACATATAGTTAATGCCCAGTAAATACCATCTCTAATAATGGTAACATTATAATCATAACATATATCGTCATTATTGCTATGATCACTGTTGCTACTGCTACTAGAATGACCCAGAGCAATCACTACTTTCCCCTTACTCAGTGACTTCCTATCCCAGTGGCCTTCTTAACCTCATTTGCAGCCCCTTATCTCCCAAATCTCATAACTGAATCCTTCCCATCATTCAGGTTTCTGTCAGATATCTTCTCTTCAGAGAAGTCTTCTCTGACCACCTTGTTTTCCCACCCCCCCTACTCCTTAAGCTATTATGATATCCAAAAATGATCTTCATTTTCATTCTAGCACTTCATTATATCCATAATTATAGGTCTGTTTGCTGACAGTTTCCTTCAATAGAATGTAAACTCCTTAAGAATAAGGATTTATCATACACGACTGTGTTATTCAGACTCTGGGATTATATCTGGAATATTTAGGTACAGAGTAAAAATTGGTCATGTGCATGAATAGATGCAAGCCATTGTTGGGTGACCATAAGTTGATCAAACAGTTACGTCATGTGCTCACTACACAGTGCTTTAGAAAGTGGGAATGGCTTCCCTCCTCTGCTTAGACTTTAATAATAAATTTAATAATTTAGTAATTATTATGGTAATTATTACCACATGAAAGGATTGAAGTGCCTTATTTGTTACCATCATGAGCCACATGAAAGAATTAAAGTGCCTTATTTGTTATCTTTTGGCAAATAGTTAGTGTTGGCTAATGCCTTATCACTGGGGTGAATGTCTTGTTCATCCCAAAGGAAAAGATGATTGTTGAAAAACATCAGGCATAGCAGACAAAAAGAACTGTTAGAAAGTTACCTGAATTCACAGCAGAGTAACTGTAGTGAGGGGACTCTGGGGACTCTGATATGTTTGTGGATGTTAATGATAACCCTGATACAGGGACGCCTGGCTGGTTCAGTTGGCAGAGCATGTGACTTTTGACATTGGGGTTGTGAGTTCAAGCTCCATATTGGATGTAGAGCTTACTTTATTAAAAAAAGTTATCTCAAATACAGGTCACCAAGCTGTGAGGGCAGAACAGATCAGGAGGCACATAGAAATATAGACCAAAAAAATTTCCCCATCCATATAGATTATTTTACCACTCTTTTTAAGTTCAATTTATTTATGGGTGTCTCGGTGGCACAGTCAGTTAAGCAACTGACTCTTGGTTTTGGCTCAGGTCGTGATGCAAGGGTTGTGATGTACAGTTCCACATCAGGCTCTGTGCTCAGCATGGAGTCTGCTTGAAATTCTCTCTCCCTCTCCCTCTGTCCCTCCTGTTCATTCTTTCTTTCTCTGTCTCAAATAAATACATAAAGTCTTTAAAAAAAAATCCCCACTAAGTAAATAAGGAAACTAAATTATTACAAAAATGGAACTCTGAAGGGTGCAAAAGGTATCTTTGAGGATTGGTTTCAACACTTCATAGTATAAAAGCATTAGTTTCCCTATTTACTTAGTGGGGAGAATAACGGTGATAAAGAATAGGTCCTGAGTTCCTTGTGGGCAGATCTTTGGTTTATATGCCGTTGTATCTAGCACAGGGCTGACATAGGCACCCAATAAATATTTGTGGGATTAAAGGAGGGGCATCAATCTCCTCTCTGAATAAAGCACAAAAGAAGGTGACTCTTGTTGAGTGCCCACTCTTGGCACTGAAATATTCCACAATTATTCAGTGCACTGAAGAAATATGTTTAAAGAGTTTGGCTAATGATTGTTGTATAACTTAAGGTATTATATTTTTCTACACTTAAGTTTTTCCTCTTGTAGAAAGATAATTATGCCCCATTCATTTTGGAGCTAAGTCAGAAAATGTATGAAAAACACTGTTATCCATTAAATCCTTGGGGACTTTACAACAGAAACTGACAGTGAAAAAAATCTCAGTTTATTACATTTTTAAAATTTAAAATAGCTCTGTAGTCCATATTAGTTTTTCTTTTTTTTGCATCGATCACATTGATTCTTTTTATGTACCCAGGTGCTATACTCGTATTTTTACCGGGACTAGCAGAAATCAAAATGCTATATGAACAGCTACAATCTAATTCTCTTTTCAACAACAGACGCAGTCATCGGTAAGTTAATTGCTTTCCCTATCCTTAATCGTCTGTTGCAGTTATATGCAAAGATAAATAACCAGAACAGTCTGACAGCCATCACCCTCTTTAGACCCTGGTGTCACTCCTCAAGAATACGTTTGGTTATGCCAGCTGGAAGCAGACAAACCTATTTGTTCCAGGGAATCAGTCATTCCCATTCCATTAAATAAAAATATTTCTCTTTACTTAGCGTAGTGACTCAGCAAAATTACATATAATTTCAGTTGCCATGTACAGGGGATGGAAGAAGCCAGTGTAAGTAACAACAAAGAAATGCTGCCATTTGAGAAAGTTATTTGTAACAGTTTCTTTTCCAGTAGCAAGACATGTGTTTTCATATCAAACTTTCAATCTAAGTTTTCATATTAAATACTGAAGAAATGAACACTCCCTAGAAATACAAGAATTAAGTTTCTTAGCATACATGACTGTCTCTGCCTCTTGTTCTCTGGATTTAAAGATAGAGGAAAAATAATTCTCTACTGGTTAATGTGCTCTAGGCTTGTTACTTTATAGAATATCAACTATCTAGTCCTCTTGATTATTTACTACTAAGTTACACTCCAGTTTTTCCCCAGTTAGTGCAAGATTTTTAATTCATAGAACTGAGTAAATGTTTTGTAAGGCTCAGAAGGAACCTTCCCATTTGGAAGAGCTGGACCCTGAGGGCAGGTTATAGAGAGGCTGCTGATGCTTGGAGTCCTGTTGTTAATTTTAATAGAAATTCACCCATCATTAATCCAATTTCAGCCTTTTGTGCTAGAACAGTAAATGTGCTTTTTATTTCCTTTCAGATGTGTGGTTCACCCACTTCATTCATCTTTATCCAGTGAAGAGCAGCAGGCTGTGTTTGTAAAACCCCCTGTGGGTGTTACTAAGATTATAATTTCCACCAACATTGCTGAGACATCCATAACCATCGATGATGTTGTCTATGTCATTGATTCTGGGAAAATGAAAGAAAAGAGGTATTCTCTTTTGGCGATGTAAGAGAAGGGCTAAAGATGGCTTAGTTAGAGTGACATCTTAATTATTAATGCTACTGAGCTGCATGGATTGCCATTTGAAAAAATGTTTTATGAAAACTATGTGAGTATATATGAGTGATTCTATACCAGGACCATAGTCTTAAAGTCAAATAGAGATGCAAAGTTGAAGGTTTTTACCTTGAAAGTAATTATTTTTCCTTTCTTTCATATGCTTTACATGTGCTTGAATGAAAAAGAGGTGATATAGGTGGTGATGGATGTGTTGATTAGTTTGATTATGGTAACCATTCATGGTGTACACATATATCAAAACATCACATTGTATAGCCTAAATATATACAATTTTTATTTGTCAAAATAAATACAAAAAAATAAAAAGAAAGGTTGCATAAAGGAACTGTATGTAGTCCACCAACATCTGACACCACATAAATCAGCACTGTGTGCTCCTACCAGGGACTGAACTATCTAGAACACAGAGGACACTGGGTTCTTCTGTGGAAGCAGGGTATTTCTTCTATTCTCTCCATGCAAAGTAGGGTCTTAGCCATGTTTTTAAAAAATAACTCCGTTTTACATTTTCTTTTTCTCTGTAGATATGATGCCAGCAAAGGGATGGAGAGCCTAGAGGATACTTTTGTCTCTCAAGCCAATGCTCTTCAAAGAAAAGGTCGAGCGGGCCGTGTTGCCTCTGGGGTCTGTTTCCACTTATTCACCAGTCATCACTTCAATCACCAGCTTTTAAAGCAGCAGCTACCAGAAATACAAAGAGTACCATTAGAACAGCTGTGTCTGAGGTACATCTTGATCTTTGTGTTCTGGCTTCTGGAAGGTCTTCATGTTTCTCACCCTAAGTTCTGTGTTTTCTTTTTCTTAGTAGAAGACATTTTGCTAAGAGTGAACATGGATGAACTCATTCATTTGCAAAGAGCTCTTCAGTGTTGCCTTTACCATTCGTTTTCACGGTCTGCACAGGAAGATCTCTTACATTGCAAAAAAATGGCCCTAAAATAGAGCTTAAGAGTACATTTGTAACTCAGGAAAGTAATCTGACTTCTCAAATTTCTGCTAGGAGCAACACCAATATTAAATCATCAAAGGTAGAAAATCTACAGCCTCATTATCAGAGCCAGCTAAACAGAAACAACTTGAAAAACACCATTATTTATCTGACAAACAAGAACAAATATCATAAAATAGGGTTTAATGAACGAATGATGGAACTCAGTGTTATTGATGCCAGGGAACCTTTGGTTCAGCCTTTCTGAAAATGCAGGTCGTGTGATGTTAGAACTCACACTATCCATGCCCTATGACCCATTCACTACTTGGAGGGAGTATGCTCATAAAATAATAGCCCAAAGCAAAAAAAGTTCCTTGTACAAAGATGTTACAGCTCTCTTTTTATCCAGCGGGTATGTTTTGAAAGCCTTCCATTTGCCAGGGTTGAGCTAAGCACTAGAGATACATAGGATACAAGACCTAGGCCCTGCTTTTAAGTGTCCACAGTCAGGTCTTAAGAAGTTGGGCAAGCAGATGCCTTGATCTAAGGTAGTAACAGTGCAAATGAGAGGAACTAGGGGATTTAAGAAAGCTTTGGAAGTTGAATGATCCATGAGGGAAGATGAGAGAGGGGAAAATGTAATTACATAGCACATATAGTTTAAAAACACCTCAGGGACACCTGAGTGGCTCAGTCAGTTGGGCGTCCAACTCTTGATTTCAGCTCAGAGTCAAGATCTTGGGGTGAGGAGATCAAACCCTCCATCGGGCTCTGCACTCAGCTCAGAGTCTGCTTAGGATTCACTCTCTCCCTCTCTCTCTGCCCGCCTCCCCCCACCAAAAAAAAGAAAAAGAAAAAAAAGATGTATTTAAACTAGCATTGTCTGGCTTATGAAAGCATATGTCTGGGAAATTATCAACTATTTTCTTTCAAGAAAGAAGCTTACTTCTCTGTGTCATCTCTCCAGAAATAAAATGGCCAAATTATTATTTTGTTTTCTTTTTGTAGAATTAAAATTTTAGAGATGTTTAGCACTCACAATCTCCAGTCTGTGTTTTCTCGGCTCATTGAGCCGCCGCACACTGACTCTCTCCGCGCCTCAAAAATACGATTACGAGACTTAGGAGCATTAACTCCAGATGAAAAGCTGACCCCCCTAGGGTATCACTTGGCCTCTCTGCCCGTGGATGTGAGAATCGGCAAACTGATGCTGTTTGGGTCTATCTTCCGCTGTCTGGATCCTGCCCTCACCATTGCTGCCAGTTTGGCTTTTAAGTCTCCTTTTGTAAGTAAACAACATTCATCTAAACTGGAGTCCATAGGTCTCTAAGGGGACCATGGGGGCTTCAGGGTTATGTGAGACCCCCGCCCCCACATTTTCTTGTGAGGATGATATATGGGAATTCTTAGGTCACAATGTCTATAACTTTTGTCTGATCCTCAAATCCATACCTCAAATAAAGATTAAGAACTAAAGATCCATCTTATCAAAATAACCTAAATGTGCTTTTTATTGTATCTGCTACATCTTTGCTCATTAAAGAAAAATCAGAAAATGCAGGCAAGCAAAAAGTGGACTACTTTTTTTAAACAGTTTTATTGGAATATAATTTGCCCATTTAAATTGTACATTCAGTAATTTTTAGGTCCTCGCCATGGTCAAGTCTAAAACATTTTTATTACCTCATAAAGAAACCCCTTAGCAGGGGTGCCTGGGTGACTCAGTTGGTTAAGCATCTGCCTTTGACTCAGATCCTGATCCCAGGATCCTGGGATCAAGCCCCACATCGGGCTCCCTGCTCAGCGGGGAATCTGCTTCTCCCTCTCCCTCTGCTGCTCCCCCTGCTTGTGCGCGCGCTCTCTCTCTCTCTCTCTCTCTCAAATAAATAAAATCTTTTTAGAAAAAGAAACCCCTTAGCAGTCACACCCCTTCCGCCCTCTAATCCCTCATCCACCACAGCCCTAGATAACCACCAATTTGCTCTGTCTTCATAGATTTACCTCTTTTATACATTACATATTAATGAAATAATATAACATACGGTCTTTGGTGACGGCTTCTTCACTTAGCATAATGCTTTTAAGGTGCATCTATGTTATAGCATAATCGGTACTTCATTCCTTTGCCAAATAATATTCCTTTGTATGGACGTTCCTACCACATTTTGTTTATCCATTCAGCACTGGATGGACATTGGGATTGTTCCCATCTTTGCCTACGAACGTTCATGTACAAGTTTTTATGTAGATGTAGGTTTTCATTTATCTTAAGTATATACCTAGGAATAAAATTATTGGATCAAATGGTAACTCTCTATTTAACTTTCTGAGGAATTTCCAGGCTTTTTTTCAGAGTAGCCTCACATTACATTCTACCAGGATTTTATCAGGATTGCAATTTCTCCCTATCTTCACCAACACTTGTTATTATCTGATTTTTTTATTATAATCATCTTAGGGGTTGTGAATTTGTAGTTTCGATATGTGTTTCCCTAATGGCTAATGATAATAAACATCTTTTCATTTGCTTATTTGCCATTTGTGTATCTTCTTTCAAGAAATTCAGATCCTTTGCCCATTTTTAAAATTGGGTTATTCATCCTTTTATTATTGATTTGTAAGAGTTGTTTATTCTGGTCCCTTATGAGAAATAAGATCTGCAAATATTTTTTCCTATTCTGTGGGTTACCTTTTTCACTTTCTTGATATTTCCTTTGAAACACAAAAGTTTTTAATTTTGATGAAGTCCAGTTTATCCCCTTTTTTGTTCTTTGACCTTCCATTGTCATAGTTTAGAATCTTAAAAAAAATAATAATAAAATAAAATAAAATAAAATAAAATAAAATAAAAAGAATCTATTACCAAAATGGCTGAAGGGGAGTGGAAGATACAGGCTTCCAGATATAGAATGAATAAGTCATGGGAATAAAAGGCAAGCATAAGGAGTATAGTTAACCATATTGTAATAGTGTTGTCCATTGACAGATGATAGCTACACTTGTGGAGAGCATTGGCATAATGTATAAATTATTGACTTGTCAAATCACTGTGTTGTATACCTGAAACTAATGTAACGTGTGTCAACTACACTAAAAAAGAAAAAAAAAAATCCAGGGGTGCCTGGGAGGCTCTCTAGGTTGTCTGCCTTCAGCTCAGGTCATGATCCCTGGGTTCTGGAATTCAGACCCTCATGGGAATCCCTGCTCAGCTGGGAGTCTACTTCTCCCTCTCCTTCTGCCTGCCACTGCCCCTGCTAACATGTGTGTACATGTGCACATGCTCCTTCCCTCTCTCTCTAAGTAAGTAAATAAAATCCTCAATAAAAAAAAAGAAAAAAATCCATTGCCAGATCCAGTTATGAAGATTCATCCCATTTATCCCTATGTGGTTTTCTAAGTTTTATAGCTTTATTTTTATTTGGGGGTGGGGGCAGAGGGAGAGGGAGAATCTTAAGCAGACTTTCAAGCTCAGCACAGAGCCCAAGATGGGGATTGATCTCACAACCCAGAGATCACGACATGAGCTGAAATCAAAAGTCAGACACTTAACTGACTGAGCCACCCAGGTGCCCCAGAAGAGTTTTATAGTTTTAGCTCTTACATTATGGTCTTTGGTGTATTTGAGTTAATTTTTGCAAATTGGCATGAGGTAAGAGTCCAACTTCATTCTTCTGCATATGACGATTCAATTGTCCCAGTACCATTTGTTGAAAAGACTATTCTTTCACCATTGAATGGTCTTGGCATTCTTATCAAAAATCTTGGGGCACCTGGCTGGCTCAGTTGGTGAAGCATGCAACTCTTGATCTTGGGGTTAAGTTCGAGCCCCACACTGGGTGTAGAGATTACTTAAAATCTTGAAGAAAAAATAAAGAAACCTCAGGTTAAATGAATGTGCCCTTCAAACCTGGTTTTCCTCATTTAGGTGTCTCCCTGGGATAAAAAAGAGGAAGCTAACCAGAAAAAGCTAGAATTTGCATTTGCAAACAGTGACTATCTGGCCCTTCTACGAGCATATAAGGTAAGCATATAATAACTGAGATGTATTACTAGAATTGGCACTAACGACAGAGTAAGTTCACTTTTATTTTCTTCAAAATGTAGGGGTGGCAGCTAAGTATGAAAGAAGGAATGCGTGCAAGTTACAATTACTGCAGACAAAACTTCTTGTCTGGAAGAGTTCTTCAGGTGAGTTGTGCCCATGGCAGTTTGTTTTCATTCATTTTCTGTTGTAGCCACACAGAAGAGGGTGTTGCAACTTTGTCTCGCTTGTCCTGCCTTGACATTAAAAATGTCATTTCTGGAATATGGTTGGCTTTACCAGCTGTGTAAAACAGACTCCTGTTTTATATCCTCTGAGGCCTTCTGTGCTGAACCTTTCCACTGATACATTTTTCCTCTTTTCAGTGAATCTGTGTTTGTGTGGAGGATCAGAGAATACAGACACTGTGAAAATTACAGCTTACTGGAAGTCCGTTTTTTAGTAATTATACCAGACATTCTTAACCTGGATCCATAAACCCCGAATTTGTATGCAAAATCATATGTTTAAACATATGTGCTTTATTTTGGAGACAGGGACCATGGCTCTCATCATATTCTCAGAGCAGTCTATGACCATCCCCAAACTCCTTACCTTCTCCACAAAACCAGAGAACAAGTACTGAACCAGATTTTGTTAATTTTTCTTATGTCCACTTCTGTGTGAGGGAGAGGGCTCTGTGCTCTGTTATGACAGTGTTTTAGGCACCTTTCCAAAGTGGTATGGAAGCCAGAATAGTGGTGGTACACATCTTTTTAAAGCATTGTTTTACTCAAAGATTTTGAGGCTGGGGAAGGGAAAGGACTTTATTTTCCTATTAAAAGATGTCCCAGGGCAGCCCGGGTGGCTCAGCGGTTTAGCACCGCCTTCGGCCCAGGTTGTGATCCTGGAGACCCAGGATCGAGTCCCATGTCAGGCTCCCTGCATGGAGCCTGCTTCTCCCTCTGCCTGTGTCTCTGCCTCTCTTGCACGTGCGTGGTCTGTGTCTCTCATGAATAAATAAATAAAATCTTAAAAAAAAAAATGTCTCGGGGCACCTGGGTGGCTCAGTCAGTTAAGATCTGCCTTTGGCTTGGGTCATGATCTCAGGTTCCTGGGATTGAGCCCCATGTGGGTCTCTCTGCTCAACAAAGAGTCTGTGTCTCCTTCTCCTCTTCACTCATACTCTCTCTCGCTATCTCTGTCATTCTCTCTCAAATAAATAAATGCTTGAAATTTGTTTTAAAAATAAAAGATGTCTTGGAGTAGAACACAAAATTAATGTCCTTAGTGCTTCCCACTACCTGACATTTATCTATCTATCCATCCATCCATCCATCCATCCATGTATCCCAGAAGCCCCTTCAGAGCATAGACCTTACTATTGTGTTCAACACTGCAACGAGGAACAGTGCTTAGCACACAGTTGATACTGAGTAAAGACTCATTGAAGAAATGCACAAGTGAATGAATTTGGTTATTTAAAATGAAATAAAAGACTTCAAAAGCATCTCACTGTTTGCCTTCCTTCTCTTATGCCTTGGGGTGTACTATAATGAAGCATCATTTGTTCTAAGTATATCAAAAGTAATAATTTTCAATCCTGGCTGCATATTAGATTCACCTGAGGAGGCTTAACAGTATAATAAGGAGGGATCCCTGGGTGGCGCAGTGGTTTAGCGCCTGCCTTTGGCCCAGGGCGCGATCCTGGAGACCCGGGATCAAATCCCACATCGGGCTCCCAGTGCATGGAGCCTGCTTCTCCCTCTGCCTGTCTGCCTCTCTCTCTCTCTCTCTCTCTCTCTCTCTATCATAAATAAATAAAAATTTAAAAAAAAAAAGATTTAAAAAAAAAAACAGTATAATAAGGAAAACTGCCTAGGTTCCATCCCAGGTCAGTTACATCTAGATCTCTGTGGGTGGATTCATTGTTATCATTGGGTGCACCAAGGGATTCTAGTATGCAGCCAAGGTTGAGAACCACTGGTCTGGAGGGTATGTTATCTGTAAGGGGCAGTAGTAGATATGCCCTCAGGACATTAATATTTAAGTGTAAAATGATATTTCTTTCAAATTACATTTCTTATGAAATGTATTCGTTTTCTTCATGATGTATGTACATTTTGCTGTGATCTAGAAGGTCCATCCAAGTTCCCTCTTCTCCCTAAAGATATTAAGATTTATTAAAATACCAATGAGAACTTTGTCATGATAGAGAAATCCTAGCTATATTTTGCCATGTCATCCACGTGTACCTGAGACATTCCGAGAAAATAGTTGAGCTGTCATCGAGACAGAGTAGTGTTGCTTGGCTCTCGGTTCCCCTGACTGTCCTTACCTCCTTCCGTGTTGTCTGATACACAGCCTATATTTGACCAGTGGCAGAAGAAAAATAGGTCTGTTCTTTTCTTTCTCACACTTGTGCTCGGCTACACAAAGGGGTGTCTGCATCTAAACCACTCAGTAATATCCTTATTCCTAGGAAAAGATGTGAGCCCAAGGATCATTAGGTCATAGAAAGTAAGTTCAGAGCTGGGGATTCCACATCCATTGAGAGAGAACACTACCAACCCAGGCTCCAGGAAGGGGCCAAGAGGATCTGCTCAGAAATGCAAGTGAGGTGATGTTGCAGTGCCTTGAGCTAGGGACCCAAAGTAAACTGTTCTGCTGTCCTAAGAATGGCCAGGAAAGTCAGACCTACCCCAAATCCAATGAGTGTGTTTTTGAAAATGTGATTTTGGGGGCAGCCCGGGTGGCTCAGCAGTTTAGCGCCACCTTCGGCCCAGGGCATGATCCTGGAGACCCAGGATCGAGTCCCATGTCGGGCTCTCCCTCTGCCTGTGTCTCTGCCTCTCTGTGTGTGTGTGTCTCTCATGAATAAATAAATAAAATCTTAAAAAAAAAAAAAAGAAAAAGAAAAAATGTGATTTTTGAGTTAAATAAATGATCCTTGGGTTTTCTGAAATTGGTGAATTTCTGGGTAGCTCTTTCACTCTGTCTGCCAATTCATCTAAGTAAAAATTGCCCTTCTGGAAATGACCAGACAAGATAATCTTCATACCTGTGTGATGGACCTGTGTGAGCCTCACTACTATCCACTGAAGTAAACACTCTGCACGCATCTTCAATTTGCTGATGCCCGGGCTTAAAGATTTTTTCTATTTCTTTCAGGAGATGGCCAGCCTCAAACGACAATTCACTGAACTGTTATCAGATATAGGCTTTGTAAAGGAAGGACTCAGAGCAAGGGAAATCGAGAAGAGGGCCCAAGGAGGAGATGGTATCTTGGACGCCACAGGAGAAGAGGTAAAGAATGCGTAGTTAGTTCTTTTATTTCTCTTCAATTGATGCATGAACCATATATGAACTCCCTTAATTCTTCACCTAAGCCCTCTGAACAGTGGGCTTAGTGGCATTCTTGATTTTCTTTCCACAAAGTATCAGGTAACACTCCTAAAAACAGAAGGGTTTTTCTGTTAATTGCTACATTTTTTTTTTAATTTCATACCAGTTCGTTCATTCGTTTGTTCTTTCTTTGAAAGAGAGAGAAAAAGAGTACATGCATAAGCAGGAGGGGCAGAGGGAGAGGGATAGAAGAACTCAAGCAAACTCCTTGCTGAGCACAGAGCCTGATGCAGGGCTTGATCTCACAACCCTGAAATGATGACCTGAGCTGAAACCAAGCTACTTAACCAACTGTACCCTCCAGGCATCCCCGCACTGGTTCTTGATAAGCCTATAAGAGGTGAAATAGATGTTTCAAGAATGTCTTCTTAAATCACACCAGCCTTTTTCCAACCAAGGATAGTTCTTCTATATGACCGTGGGAAGAACGCTTCTTCAAGAGGAACCTGATGCCACTCTGTTCTCAGTGCATTTAGTTCTTTCTGCAGATGATGAACATCTCATGAACCAGAATCTCTGTCTACTGATCCTTAGAAGCACTGGCTTTGTAATTGCTTCGCAGAGACCCAGAGTTACTGGGGCTTCTTGGAGTGGGTCCTGTGTGCATATGGTCTAGTAGACTTATTTTTTACTTAGAAGGAAAGAATTTCTCTAGCAAAAACATAGAAATTAGGTATTTTAGTTTTGTTTTAAGAAAGAAATCATATGTAATCTAATGATAAATTCTAGGGTACAGACAGAAGTAGCCACATTACTTATAAGATCAATGCTTGCTTTCTCTCATAGGCAAACTCAAATGCTGAGAACCCCAAGCTGATATCAGCAATGCTGTGTGCTGCTCTTTATCCAAATGTGGTGCAGGTAACAAAACATTTTTTTCTGGGTCCTACCACTTCTTGTTTGATTTGTAGCCAGGGGACATAAGTTAAGACATACAAATTAATTATCTTAAAGAGATGCATGCAAATAAACACAGAGCCTTTTAAACTTTGTACACATTTCCAATCCTTCAATTCCCCAAATCTGTTTAATACATCATTCAAGAATACATTTATTGTATAAAATGAAGTGCCTTTTTAATCCTTCTGACAGATTACGACATTCCAGAAATTTAAATGTACATAAATGTGACCCTGTCAGTAGTTTGTGCATAACTAGCCTTCTATGTTAGATAGAAGCTTGATTCTACCACAGTTTCCCTTATGGCCTCCGCTCTGGACTACAGTTAGATAAGAACAAAATCAAACAAGCTAGGGCTCTGGCATGGGACCACCTGTGGCCAACTTTCTGGAAAACCCTATCTGTACATTGCTGTTGTACCTGAGTTTTAATTTCCCAGCCCTTGTCAAACTTAGAAAGACTGAATTTGTCAGAGTACAAACTTGTTTCTCGTTTATCATTTTGTTAAATGCTCAGTTGACATCTGATGAATTTCTGGCACATTTTCTGTTCGGTACTTGAATACTTTTCAAACCGTTTGAAATTTATTTAAAAAAATCATTTGGAGCAAAAGCATGGAGACAAAATAACCCCAAAGGATTGGGGAGAATAAATAAAAAAATTTTAAGGCAATGAAAATACTCTGCATGATACCATTGTAATGGATACATGTCATTATACATTTGCCCAAACCCATAGAATATACACCACCAAGAGTGAGCCTAAAGGTAACTATGGGCTTTTGGGTGATTACGATGTACCACAAGTTTTTAAAAATTGTAATACTACTGCTATCAGAAGCCCCCCACAATGAACATTCTTACTGTTAGTGGGAGTGTAAATTGATATACCCTTTCTAAATTTAATTGCTGAGGACTTATTAAAAACTAATTGCATGTATGCATAAAGCTACAGCTAGAAGAATGTTCATTCTAGTTCTGTAATTGCAAACAATCAAAAGTACCAATAATAGGGAATTTATTAAATGATTATAGATCCTTACAACTAGATACCATATAGCCATTTAGAATTATGTTTTAAGAAAATAACATGGAAAAATGTTCTCAAAATATTAAGCTTAAAAAGATTATAGAAAATGATCCTATGTTAATTTCAGTACCTGTGTACTTTTATTTATGTTTATAGATTTGTTTCTGTATAAAAACAAATCTAACACCAAAAATGAAAATATTTATCAGATACAATTAAGTTATCTCTTAATCATGTGATTACAAGATATCTTTATTTTCTTATTTTTTCCTAATATATTATTTTCTATAGTAAACATGTATTATTTTTGCAAAACATATATATATATAATTCATATATATGTGTATGTACATATACATTTATACATATATAAATATATGTGCACATATATTTAAATTTTTTTAAAGATTTTTAGTTTATTTATTCATGAGAGACAGAGAGAGAGAGAGAGGCAGAGACATAGGAAGAGGGAGAAGCATGGAGCCCCATGTGGGACTCGATCCCGGGACTCTAGGATCTTGCCCTGGGCCGAAGGCAGGCGCTCAACCGCTGAGCCACCCAGGTACGTCCCTAAAATTTTTCTTTTTAAATGAGATAATGTGTTTATTCATTTTTTCCCCCTCATTTGGAAAGAAAGGCATTTGGAAAAGTAGGATTACTTCCAAAAGTAGCAGATTCGTCCTCCACTGCTGCCAGCTAGATGCAGCTGAGAATCGGTTTCAGACCTCCAATTAGCAACATCCATCTACCCCCATATGGCTGGTGTGCCGTAGAGTCTCCCAGGGCTACTGCACCTACATCCACACTTCTTGGTGGTCAGAAAAAAGAAATAAAAGGGGGAAAGTATGCTTATACTACCTTCAAAAGGAAGCAGGGAAGAAACAGCCAAAGCATTCAGACAAGACTGGTTTTGTGCCAAGGGATGCTTCTGGTCATAGAAATAAATACATACATACATACATACATACATTTATTATTATATTTTTTTCCAAAAACCTGTTGTTTAGGTGAAAAGCCCAGAAGGGAAATTTCAGAAGACCAGTACCGGAGCAGTCAGAATGCAACCAAAATCAGATGAGTTGAAGTTTGTCACCAAGAATGATGGATACGTGCACATTCACCCTTCTTCAGTGAACTACCAGGTAGGAATGGTGGGAGACACCTCTATTTACATACGGCAGGTCTTGTGGGGAGCAGCATAGTCCCTTCAAGTGAGCCAGACCTCCTTCTATCCTTCGCCATCCCCAGCAGCACCACTGTCTTGGGGGAGGTTGAATAAGTATGAACAGACTAGAAATTGGGCAGTTTGGGGAAAGACTATTTCCATTTCAAGAAAATTCTACTGGATACCAAAAAAAATGTTCAAACCTGCTTTCAGATGTTTCTTTGCAGTGGGGATTTAAGAAGTCAGGATGTAAAAAAAAAAAAAAAAAAAAAAAAAGAAGGATGTAATGAGATCACTAAATCTGTGCCTTAAAAGGGAATGACCTGTGCTTGCTGATGGCACTTCCTCGGTGCTTTCTCCCGAGGCCAGGCCTGCTGCTGAGGCTGTTCCCAGCGCTCCACTGAACTCACCACCAGCTATGCATCACCTCCTTGGTGTCCTACCCAGTGAACACCCCCTGGTCCTCATCAGACTTGACTCTTGTGTAGTATCTGACACCGCTAACCTCCTGTCCTCTTGAAACTCTCTTTCATGTGGTTTTGCTTCTGAAATGCCACTTTCTTCCCTTTCTCTGATCATCCCCTGACACCTCTTTTAGGAGTTTTTCTTCCTTTGCTCTGAAATAGCGGTTCTGTCCTGAGTTCTCATTTCTCACCGTAGTGCACTTTTTCTTCCTGAACCATCAGAGCATAGCTCTGTGATTCTCACTGCCGCCTGTGTGCTGTCACTGAGCCCCTGCTCCTCTCTCTCTGGGCCTGGGCTCTTTCTGAGCTCTCCTGCCAGAAATCATCAGCCAGATAATGAAGATTCAAATTCCGTATTTTCCACTTCATTCTTTTCTTCTTGTATTCCGTCTTGGTGAATAGCACCACCCAAACTAGAACCCTGCGCTCGTAGAGACCCTGCCACTTTTCTCTTTACCCCAGTCCTTGTGGACACCAGGTCCCAGCAGTTCCGCCTTCTGACACTCTCAGATGTGCTTGTTCCTCTTCTTCCCACTGTCCCTTCCTCATTTCAAACCCCAACATCTGTCTCTTCTCTAAAGTGCTATAATGATCTGACTTCTGGTCCTTTCTCTCCAGCCTTTTACAGTACTGCTGCCAGAATTAACTTTACAAAACATACATTGGGTCACATCATCCCCTTGCTTGAAACTCTTCATATATGGAGTCTCCTGCAAACTCTCCCATGACTTTTCAGGCCAGGCCCCTCTTTTACCATGTCTCCCACTGCTCCTCCCTTGATCATTCTGTGTGCCATGACATGTAACATGCTTTCTTGGAACCTGGAATACATTCTCATTCCCAGCAGGCTCCTCTAATTTGAGCTTCCATTTAAGCAACTCTCCCTCAAAGTTGCTTTGTTTCTTGGTCCACCATCAGGTGTGCATTTTATCCACAGTTGTGCTTACCATGTTATTTCATGGTTTGTGGTACATCATCTTCATGGAAGTATGAAATTTCTAAAGACAGGAATTGTATGGTTTTCATTTTTATGTTCTTGACATGTAGCAGGGCGCCTCCCTGAAAGCAGACACTCAATAAAACTTTGAGGGGAGATGGAGAAAAAGAGGACAGGGGGATGGAGGAAGAGAATTTGAAGTGTGAGGGCTGGCCAACCCCTGGAACTACTGAGTAACGTGTCAGCCAAGCACTAAAAGGGTCTCCTCAGCCCAGAAGACTTTGAGGACCAGATGGCCATCTGGTCTTTCAGCTACATACGTACTTAGGAGCCAGCGGTCACAGTTAGTTCTACCTCCTCTTCTGAGTTTACCATGACATTCATGCAATGATTCCAAACTATTCAGGCATCCAATTCAGTATCTCCTAGCAGTTTCTCTGTGCCAGGCACTACTCTGATCCATGGAGGACAGTGGATGAACTAGACAGACAAGGTCTCTGCCCTCAGGGAGCTTAAGTTCTGCTGAGCAAGACAGGAAAGAAATAAGTAAACAAATCATCTCAGGTTAGTGACAAATGCAATCAAGGAAAATAAAACAGAATAAGAGATTGAGAGTGATAAGAGACAGGCCATTTTGCCAAATATGGTCGGGGAAAAACTTGCTGAGGAGAAAGCAACTGAGCATATCCTAAATGAAGTACAGGGCGAGCCATAAAGATATCTAGGGAGAGAGCATTCCAGCAGAGGAAATAAGTGCAAAGACCATGAGACAGAAGCATATTGGTGTGCTTCCGGAGATGCAGACCAGTGGTTGGGAGAGGTGGAATGGGATGATGAGGTGCCAGAGGAGCAGATGTGTCGGGACAAGTGGGCAGGGTCAGGTTGTGTGGGACTGTGTGGGCCATAGATCTGAGATTTTATTCTTAGGAAGTCACTGGAAGGTTTTGAGCCTAATTGGATTTATGTTTTTAAAAGATCATTGCAGGGGTATCTGGGTGGCTCAGTGGGTTAAGTGTCTGCCTTCAGCTCAGGTCATGATCTCTGGGTCCTAGGATAGAGCCCCACTTTGGGCTCCCTGTACAGTGGGGAGCCTGCTTCTTCCTCTGCCTACTGTTCCCCCTGCTTATGTTCTCTGTCTCTGTCAAATAAATAAATAAAATATTTTTAAAAATAAATAAATAAAAGGTAACCGTGGCTGCTAGGTGGGAGACTGAGATGTAAAACAGAAGCCAAGCAGATGCTTAGGAGGCTGTGGCAGTGGTCTGTGGGAGGCAGTGATGCTCTGAACTGAGGTGGTAGCTGTCACATTGCGGGGAATATGTCCGTTCATTATGTATTTTGAAAATAGAACTGACAGGACCTAGTGATCATTTCGACAACATGAGAAAAATTTCTCAGTTTGGGACGTGAGCAGCTAGGTGAACGGGAATATCACTTACTGAGCAGGAGGGGAGTACTGTAAGTTGGGGAAAATCAAGAATTCTTTTTGAACATGAGTTTGAGATGATTATTAGATATCCAAAGTGAGACGTCCTGAGGTCGATGCATGTAGAAGTCTGTCCTCAAGGGAAAGGTACAGGCTGGAGATAATTTGGGGAATTGTCAATGGACAGGTGGTACTTAAATCCATGGAGTGGGTGGAGTTCCCCTCAGGCTGCCAGTGCCCTCATCTGAGGTTTCCTGTTCCAGGTCAGACACTTTGACAGCCCCTACCTGGTGTACCATGAAAAGATCAAAACCAGTCGGGTGTTCATCCGAGACTGCAGTATGGTGTCCGTGTACCCGCTGGTCTTGTTCGGAGGAGGCCAAGTGAGTGTGCAGCTTCAGAGAGGGGAGTTTGTTGTGTCCTTGGATGATGGTTGGATCCGTTTTGCGGCTGCTTCCCATCAGGTAAAGGCTAGCAGTTCCGTCTCTGAAGGAGCCCCCCTAAGGGCTGTATTTCAATTTTTCTAGTAGTCACGTGTAAAAAATACAAATAAGTGAAATTAATCTTAATTTTATTTAACCTAATACACCTAAAAAGTTTTATATTCAACATGTAATCAATATAAGAATTTATTAGATATTTTATACTCTTTTTTTATATTAAATCTTTAAAATCTGGGATGTATTTTACATACATACACCAGCACATCTGTTTGAACTGGCCATTAGATTAGCCACATGTGACAGATGGCTGTTGTATTGCACAGTACAGGTCAAGAAAGCCAGAAAGGGTTGGTTTAATTCAGCAGCCCAGGGACAACAAAAGCCTGGTTGACCTCATGATAGCAGGATGGCTGCCATAGCTCCAGGCCTCACATCTGTGCAGCAGCACACTGTCCAGCAGGGAGACAAGAAACTTCTTCTCTTAAACCAACTTCAATGACCAAAGGAATGTCATAAACTCTAAGGCCGTGATGATCTGAGCCACTCTGGCAGAGCTCATAGCATGAGCCTTTTTGAGTTAGGCCAGGTGCAAACTGCATGGTTACCAAATAATGGGGGAGCAGCAACCATTTTGGGAAGACATCTCCAGTGCCCGCTGTACATCAGCATTAAGAAAATGCCATAAAAAAGGTGGAGTTGTTTCTTCCCATGAAAGCATCAAATGTATCCCAAAGCTACAGATTTTTTGGCTTTAATATCTAGCATTTTTAATTCTCCATTTTCCTGCTTCTCTTGGAGCAAATTGTAAAAGTTGACCAAGCCTTAATATGTAGAACGCTACATAGAAGCCATTCTTCCAGATTTAATCTTCTCTTTAAATGAGATGTGATAGAGGAGACTTTTTATAATGGACCCCATTTATTATATTGCAGAGCTGACATTGAGTGAACGTTCTTAGAGCTGCATCAAGAAATTTTAGAAGTACTTCTAGAATAAAAATGTGTTAGTTTCTCCCCTCCCCCCACCATGGAGTTAAAATTACTACCAGAAATCTAAAATAATGACAGTCATCCGTGAGATGTTTCCCTTAGGAACCTTTCCTCCCTCATTGACCCAATCACGGCTTACATTGCAACTTTCATTTTAGGTGGCTGAATTAGTAAAGGAACTGCGTTGCGAACTTGACCAGCTCCTCCAGGATAAGATTAAAAACCCAAGCATAGATCTGTGTACATGTCCGCGAGGATCTCGGATCATCAGCACAATTGTGAAACTTGTCACCACACAATAAAGACCAGTCTTAGGAGAGTGCTTGCTACTCCCCTGCTTCTTGCTTACCTGGGAAATAATAGCAGCACCTCTACCTCCAACCAAGCTCTGTGCTGGGGCTGCCCTGGAGGGGCCCAGGCACTGCCCACTCAGCTGAGACACCACATTCCCTTAGAGGAGTTTCCCAGACAGTGTTGTTAACAGCTCAGGGGCACTCCCAGCACAATTTGGAGTGTCGATGTGAGGCAGTCTCAAAACCAGCTTGCTGTCTTTTTCTCTGTGACTATTCTGGGATAAATGAAATTCCCCTCCTAATACAAAAGTGAATGTTTAATACAATTCTGTTTTAATGTACGTATTTGTTTTCTCTTGCTTTTTCCTGGGGTAAGATAGGAGCATGGGGAGAAATACTGAATGTTTTATCTATCATAAAGGCTCATCTGAAAGAAGTTAGAACAGAGGACAAAAAAAAAAAATCATGTGAACAAGAAAAATTAAGATTTCATTTTAAGGCTAGGCTACAAAGTAAACTTAAACCTAATTTCTGAGGGATTTTTATTTTTACTCATTAAAAGTCGGCCTAAAAAAAACAACCTTGAAGAGCTCTTGTTATTAAATGCAAGCTGGTTTTATACTTACCATTCTTGTTCAGAAAAGCAGAACAATCCAGGTGTCTTTGTTCTGTTTTCAGTTTTCCAATTAGGAATCTTTGCTCTCTCTTAGGAACATGCTCAGATCTAATGGCCACATTTCACGATACCCAAAGGGGAATTTTGATGGTATTCTCATCCAACTTGGCATAGTCGAAGTAGAAAAGGTTGCCACACTAGTGTCAGATTTACAGCCATAAAAATATCTTCCATGAGACTGCTTATTTTCAGCTGCCACTTAGGAGAATGGGGAGCTAGCATTTTTGAAAACTATGAATACATTTACATTTTCTCTGGACATTTATCAGTGTGGCTGGAAGAATCCCGAAGAGCTGCATAGAAAAAATATTCTTGTGTTTCTCTGGCGCCCAGGTAGAGTCACTACAGATTTCATATTATGGATACAATCCAAATTAGTCAGCAAAACCAATTCAGTGAAGGCTGTTCCCTTTTCAGCATATTACTTCAAATGTTTAAGTTTTCAGAAAACCTCTCAGACTGTCCCAAATGGCCAGTGTCAAGTGTGTTGAAGCTTTGGCATGCTTGAAATGTTTAGACTCTAAGTAGTATTTTTAAGAGGCATTAACTCATGTCCTCACTTTAAGTAAAAAAACATGGATATGCATAGCACCCGCAGTATTCAAGTTCTGACTTGCTATTGAAACAAGGCTCATGTTACAGAACCGCTCAGGAGAAATGAAGGAGAAAACCGCACTAACCCTCTAAAACATTTCTTAAACCAGTTTTGACTCTTGGTGCTATAGTGGAGCTCGTGCTGGCTGCCCTAGCTGGAGCCATCTGCCCAAGTGGACCTGCAGCTTCAACACAAGTTTGCAGCAGAGCGTACAGCGGGGCGATAAACAACAGAACTTTCCATTCAAAGTGCTGCGAAATCGTTCCCCTCGAGGAAGTTATTCTTGGGCTTGTTACTTGCAGCCACATACAAACGCACAAGTCATTTCACAGATGTGCCAGAAAGATTGGAAAAGATTGGGAAGCCTTGATTGAAGACACTGAATAAGAAAATCCTCCCCCACCCCCAAAACTGAACTTCGTAAGCCCCCTCATTAAAATTATGAAATAAGTGAAACGGGATTACTTCTTCGCAATTGAAGATCAGAATGTAGTATAGCATTTCAAGGTGAAACCAGATGTCTAAACCCCAGAAAGATGGTAAGCACTTCATGTTAATTGTATGGAGAATTCTGTAAATGTTTCTTACATATTTGTTTTACCTTTACTGGAATCTAGCTAGGAAACAATATTGGTAAAGTACTTGCTACAGAAGTAGTCCCCTCGTGTTGCAGTCTGTGTCAGTGGGGAGTTCTCAGGAGATGAAAACAAGGTAAACATTCTTGCAGAGGTGGTCATAGGTTGGCAAAGCATTAGGTTGGTCTTCTTCCTACTTGAGTTCCATATCTGAATATTACAATTCAAACTCTCTGACAAGTAGTGAACTTTGGTCTTTATCCTCCCATTCTGTTAGTGAGCAGTTTAAATAATATGCCAAAGCACACAGCCTGTGGATCTGTAGGCATATATGGTAAATGTTCTTTTTCCTTTCTGGGCAATGGTTTTAATATATCCCTAAGAGGTTATCATAAAATAAGACCTTGTGAAAGTACTTTGTAAAATTAAAATGTAGCAAATGTAAGCAAATTGGGACCAAGGGTGTGGTTTTCAGATGCAGCCCAGGCTGGCTTTTTGAAAACTGCATTCTGTCTTGTTCTCTCAATTGCTGGGCTGAGCTGGGGAGCTCAGGCGTCACATTCTTGACATTGTCCTTTGTGTGTCACCTAATTGCCACATAAATAAAGATCCCTGGGGGCAGCAGAATTATATTATGTTCATGGTGCCATTGTACGTAAGCCTATGTATATTCTGGTGGTTTCCTCCTAAGTCCTGCTAGAATTAGGCATAATTCCCAGGGTTTATTTTCTCCCAAAGTGGGGCGTGGGGGGGGGGGGAGAACTTGCTTAAAATATTTAGCCAGTTAATAAATACAGAGTGAGCTGTTGTTTTCAGAAGTTAGATCTTGATCCTGAAACTGTCAGTATTTGAGTATTCACAGGACAGTGCCTCAGGTGGAAACACTGTAGAAACAGCTCAGTCTATTGCCACAGCAGTCGTTTCAGACTGTTCCAGAGTGACAGGCTTCTTCGTGTCTTTTTAGTCTTATGCATGTAAAGCTATGTAATGACTGTGTAAACCATTAACCACAGTGAGTCATTAACAGAAGAGACCTTTTTCTTGCCATTTATAAGTTATTATCCCTAAAGTGATTTATCAAAGAGATTGGTCTTAAATAGGATTTATAGCCAATCATTAATCTTCAAAGTGCTTTAAAATCTTAGATGTCTTAATAATTTGTTCTGTCAAAGAGCAGAGACAAGGAGTTCTGTTGGAGAATCACTCGCTTGATACTCTTTAGGAAAGATACAGGACAGCAGCCTAAACATGAACTTGTCCCCACAGACAGTTCAGCCTCTGCCCCATCTTTGCCCGTGGGGCCATCCCCGAGTCTACTCCTGAGTCGGTTCCAACCCAGCTGATTGAGTATATAAGCTAGGACATAGTGCCCCAGTGAGATAGCTACAGGAGAATGGCTTAGATTCATTCACTGGATTTCCTACCTATATTTCAACTTTTTAGGAAAAAAACAAATTGCAACAAAGACAGTATGAGGGATTTGTTTGAAAAGGCAATTTCCCCAGGGGTGCCTGGGTGGCTCTAGTCATGATCTTGGGATGAGGAGATGGAGCCCCGTGTCGGGCTCCATGCTCAGTGTGAAGTTCACTTGAGATTGTCTCTCTCTCTCTCCCTCTGCCCCTCCTCCCAATCATGGGTTCTCTCTCTCTCTCAACAAATAATCTTTTAAAAAGTAGGGGGCAACTTCCCATAAATACCAACAATGAAAATCAGTGTTTAGGATGATGATCCTGACATTATAAATAACGATATTCCTAAATATGGTGCAATTATATATTTAATAAATATTTTCAACAGAAGCATTTCAAACAGGTTTTTAAAATTATTATTCCTTATGCAGATTCCTGCATAATCCTTATAACACAGTTACTGCTACCTCCAACCTGGGTTTTACTGAAAATGGCCTAAAGGAGTTTATTTTCCTTCCATGTTGAATGAACTTATTTTATGAAAGGGAGATTATCCATGGCCAATTTTCTTCTACAATGATTCAAGACAGGATAACATAGCCAAAAAGACTCATTTACTTCCTGAGAGTCCCCTTGTGGTAAGTTTTGCCTCATTCCATCCTTAACTTTCAAATGTATTAAAACAAAAGTTGTGTTAACCTTTCAAGTAAGACTGTATTTGTCCAGAGGTTGATAACTACAATACAGGATCTTATCATGTACAAAGACTATAAAGAAGTTTTCTCATAAGAGAAAATGTATATTTTACTTGTTTTAAACCAGTGGTTCTCAACTGGAAGCAATTTTGCCCACCAGGGGACATTTGGCAGTATCTTGGAGATGTCACCGCTGAATGGGGGATTGGGGTATACTCCCAGCATCTAGTGGTTAGAAGCCAGAGATGCTGCTAAATATCCTACAAGGCACAGGATCCGCCACCCCCCTCAACAAAAAATTATTCGGTTCAAATCATCAGTAGTGCCAAGGTGGAGAAAATCTAAACAAAATGAGATAGGTAACTACTTAAAAAGTCTATTAATTAGATACAAATTATGCCCATAGTTGTCTCTGAAAATTATGCCCAAATCAACTCTAATAAACATGTACTGTGTGCATAAGAGCTTATGAATCCATCATGTTGTTACCAAAATACAGTGCTTAATAATTTGAGGAAATTATATGTACAAATGGGAAAAACCATGCACACCCAGATGGGTAGGGATATATATATATATATATATATATATATATATATTTTGAGTTTATTTATTTGAGAGAGCAGCGAGAGAGAGCACAAGTGGGGGAAAGGGAGAAGCAGGCTCCCTGCTGAGCAGGAAGCCTGATGTGAGGCTCCATCCCAGGACCCTGGGATCATGACCTGAGCCAAAGGGAGATGCTCAACCAACTGAGTCACCCAGGTGCCCTGGGATATGTTTATTTTAAAAACATGTTCTACCATTAAATTTAGTTTTTATAAATATCACTTATTTTGAAAATGTGAAAAGTTAAAACATGGTTTTTGAAAATACAATTTGTATATGACACTCATATTGCTAATGTTTTTCACTGCAAAACTGAAATTCTCCCGTGTAGGCCCACATTAAGATGTCTGAAATGTGCACACCCTTACTTTATCTTTCTGTTATTTGAACAGAGTCCAACTTAGTAGACTTTGGCCAATATGGTATAACACAAATAGGGTTTTAAGAAGGGGGATGGGAGTATATAGCTCTCTAGGTAGATAACTGTAAAATGTTGAAATCTAACATGAAGTCTCATTGGGAACTGTAATTTCTAGGCTCAGTAACCCTTCTACAGTTTGAGCTGGAAAAAAAAAATCAGTTTGTTTTAGGACTTGATTATTAGCAAGATTACCAGACTGAAAATCAAAGATACATTATGCTCTTTAGAAGACAGATGTCCTTACAAATCAGGGGCCATGCTATATCATGGGCACCAAGGAACTATCCCATATGAGGAGGAAACTAATCCATTGACTATAGACGCAAAACAAAACAATCTGTAATCATAGACGTTGCTGTTAATGCTACCCTTCTGTCTCTGAAATTCACCTGTGCACTTTCCCCTTTAAACTCCAGCTGTCCCCATTATTTCTGGCCCATAAATCTTTATACCACCCTTTTCCATAGTAAGCATGGCGAAGATTAATTGAAGCATGCAATCTGATTAGTTAAGAGGGAGGCTGATGGTCCAGTTTATAACTAATGTGTACTACATGGCTAGTTTGAGACCCATACTGGGGTTGCAGACATTCATCCGACATTTATGCTCGTAATTTCAATATAACCAACATTTTAAGCAGGTGCTATGTGCCAGCCACCCTAGGAAGTCAGGATATAAACAGGAACAAAGGAGAAATAGGACAATGGAGAAATAAAGTTTCCTTGAATAAATTCAATCAGGAGCATAATTTACCCCCTGCAAGAGCCTTTGAAGGTTCTAAAGAAACTAGATGGCCTATTTGTTGACATTAAAGGAAGGATACTAATGGCTTTAAGTCTTTTATTCTGCTTTTGAAAGATCTCATCTCATTCAGCAATTACGTGTGCTTTTTTTTTTTTTAAGATTTTATTTATTGAGAGAGAGTGTGCAAGTGAGAGAGGGAGAGAAAGCATGAGCAGTGGGATTGGGAGAGAGACAGACTCCCTGCTGAGCAGAGAGCCTGCTGTGGGGCTTGATCCCAGGACTGACCCCAGGATCATGACCTAAAGCAATGCTTAATCGACTAAGCCACCCAGGCACCCCTAGGTGTGCTTCTTTAAACACTGTAAGGGGAAATAGGTGGAAGGAGAAAGGGGAGAAAAAAAAAAAAAACACATTGTGAGGAAACTTCTGTATATCACCAAAGAAGTAGCTGTAGGGAATAAATGTATGGTTTACGTCCTCTTGAAAATGTATTTGAGGGTGCCTGGGTGAATAATTTGGTTAAGCACCTGACTCTTGGTTTTGGCTCAGGTCATGATCTCATGGGTTGTTAGATAAAGCCCCACCTCAGGCTCTGTGCTCAGGGAGGAATCTGCTTGAGATTCTCTCCCTCTGCCCCTCCCGCCAATCATATGCGCTCTCCCTCTAAAATAAACAAATGTTTAAAATTAGAAAAAAAAAAAAAAAAAAAGAAAGTCTATGTGAGGGCAGCCCGGGTGGCTCAGCGGTTTAGCACCGCCTTCAGCCGAGGGTGTGATCCTGGAGACCCCGGATCGAGTCCCACGTCGGGCTCCCTGCATGGAGCCTTCTTCTCCCTCTCCCTGTGTCTCTGCCTCTCTCTCTCTCTCTCTGTCTCTGTCTCTCATGAATAAATAAAATATTTTTTAAAAAGTCTATGCGACCTTAAGTTAGGCAAAGAATTCTTAGCTACAAACACAAAAAGCATGATAGGTAACATAAAACAAATTATAAATCATACTTAGTCAATTTCTTAAACTTCTGCAGTTCAAAAACATCGAGAAAATATAAGACAAGCCACAGACTGGGAGGAAATATTGGTAAATTATATTTTGATAAAGCACTTGTATCTAGAATTGTATATCTAGAAATATATGTTTAAGACCTCTTACAACTCAAGTAGAAAACTCAGTTTTTAAAATGGGCAAAATACTTGAGTAAACATTTCACCAAGGATATACAAATGAGTTAATAAGCACATGAAAAGATGCTCAACCTCATTAGTCTTTAGAGAAATTCAAATGAAAACCACAGGGAGATACTACTTCATAACCTCTAGAATCACACATAACAGGTACTGATAAGGGTGCAGAGAAACTGGAGCCCTCATTACATTACTGATGGCACATAAAATGGTGTGGCTATATTAGAACATAGCTTGAGTTTCTTAAAAAGTTAAACATAATTTATCATATAATCCAGTGACTCCACTCCTAGGTTATTTCACAAGAGAAATGAAAATATATGTCCACACAAAGGTTTTTCACAAATATTCACAGCAGCATTATTCACAATAGCTCCAAACTGGGAACAATCCAAATATCCATGGTGACTGAATAAACAAAAAGGAGTATATTCACAATAGGATATTATCCAGTCATAAAAAGGAACCTGTGACACATGCTACAACATGCATGAATTTCAAAAACATAATGCTAAGTGAGAGAAGCTAGACACCAAGACCACATATGGTATGATTCCATTTATATGAAATGTACAGAAATGTAAAAGCTACAGATACAAAAAATTAGTGGTTGCCTGGGACTGAGAGTGGGAATGGGAATTCATTGCAAATGAGATACAGACTCTTGTGAGGATGGAAATGTTTAAAAAAAAAAAAATAAAGGATTGTGGTGATGACTGCACAACTCTAAATGTAGTAAAGATCACTGATATCTATACTTCAAGTGGATGAATTTTATGGTATGTTAATAATACCTCTCAATAAAGTTCTTTTTAAAAATATATTGGGTGCCTGTGGTGCCTGGGTGGCTCAGTCAGTTAAGCCTCTGACTCTTGGTTTCAGCTCAAATCATGGTCTGAGGGTGGTGAGATTGAGCCCGACATAGGGCTCTGTGCTGGATGTAGAGCCTGCCTAAGATTCTCTCCTCTGCCCCCCATTACTGATGGCACATAAAATGTGCTCTCTCTAAAAATTAAAAAAAAAAAAAAATGTGGTGCCTGGCTGGCTCAATCAAGCACACAACTCTTGATCTCAAGGTTGTTGAATTCGAGCCCCATGTTGGGTGTAGAGTACTTAAACACAAAATCTTTAAAAATAAATAAATAACCCAGCAATTGCACTGTTGGGGATTTACCCCAAAGATTCAGATGCAATGAAACGCCGGGACACCTGCACCCCGATGTTTCTAGCAGCAATGTCCACAATAGCCAAACTGTGGAAGGAGCCTCGGTGTCCATCGAAAGATGAATGGATAAAGAAGATGTGGTTTATGTATACAATGGAATATTCCTCAGCCATTAGAAACGACAAATACCCACCATTTGCTTCAACGTGGATGGAACTGGAGGGTATTATGCTGAGTGAAGTAAGTCAATCGGAGAAGGACAAACAGTGTATGTTCTCATTCATTTGGGGAATATAAGTAATAGTGAAAGGGAATATAAGGGAAGGGAGAAGAAATGGGTAGGAAATATCAGAAAGGGAGACAGAACATAAAGACTCCTAACTCTGGGAAACGAACTAGGGGTGGTGGAAGGGGAGGAGGGCGGGGGGTGGGGGTGAATGGGTGACGGGCACTGAGGGGGACACTTGACGGGATGAGCACTGGGTGTTATTCTGTATGTTGGTAAATTGAACACCAATAAAAATAATTATTTAAAAAAATAAAAAAATAAAAATTAAATAAAAATTTGTTGTTAAGATCCCTTTATTAAAAAAAATATAGTGGGGCACCTGGCTGTCTCAGTCAGAAGAGCATGTGACTCTTGATCTCAAGGTCATGAGTTCAAGCCCCACACTGGATGTAGAAAGGAGTTAAAAAAAAAAAAAAAACTTAGAAAAATAGTAACTTCACCGTGGAGAAACTTGACAAACACCACCTTCACCAAATGATCAGTTAACATCACCAGAAATGGGACAAACCAGTTTTATGTGCCTCCCAATATGATTTATTGAAAATACACTATCATTTCCAGGGTATTCCTACCAAAAACATCATACCAAATTATAACAAAAGGAAACATCAGACAAACTCAAATTGAGGATCATTCCACAAAATAAATATCAATGTCCCATTAAATCAAAGAAAGACTAAGGAACTATTCCAGATTAAAGGAAGGGACATGACTGAACATGATACATTGTCCAAATTTTAAAACTCATTTTGTGGGTTTTTTTTGTTTTTTTGCAATACAGGACGTTGAGATTATATGGATAAGGTGTGTATTAAATCACAGCACTGTATCAATGTTACTATTCTGATTTTGATGGCTGTACTGTGGTTATTTAAGAGAATGTCATTTTTCCATCATGTCCATGATTTACTCTCAAACAGTTCAGGGGGATAAAATGAACACACACACATAGAAAATACAAATGTGGTAAAATGTTAACATCTGCTGAGAAAAGGATATATGAGATTTGTTTGTTCTGTTCTTGCAAAGTTCCTATAAATCTGAAATTACATTAAAACAAGCTAAAAGCAGTGCATGTATGCTGTAGTTACATAATTAGTGTGTAATTGCATGGGAGTAAATATTAGAAATACAAATAGATTTGACAAAATGATAAGAATATGAGGTTTCCATGGCAGAGCCAGATCATTTACCCTCTTGGGCACTCAGGTTTTGTTCACAGGTGCATTGTTTAAACAATCGGAGGACTCAGTTGCCAAGAAACAGTCTCTCTCCCAGCTCACTAGCCTGACAGCAAACAAATCTACCAATACCAATGCACCTGTCCTTGGACCAAGGCGCAATTTCCTACTTGGCTTCCCTCATCTCGAGGTCTCCCCGTATTTTGCCAAAATCATTTCCACACTAAATTTCTTATTCTGCATCTCCTATTTGCTTTTCAAAGATATTCCAAGACTTGAACGAGGTCTTAGTCACAAGGAGAAAGGCTACGCACTAAATCCCTTTAGGATCATGGGAACTTCAAAGTTGTGAAGGAAGGACTTTGTTTCCCCCAAAGTTCCTGAATTACTTTTGCAATTGTGGCCCAAGACAGGTAGCATCACCATTATCTGGGAGTTTGTTAGAAATGCAAATGCCTGGGCCCCAACCTGGACCTACTGAGCCAGAGTCTGCTGGGGGTAGGGCCCTGCAATGTTTTAACAAGCTCTCTGGCTGATTCTGGTGCTTGCTCAAGTGTGAGGAGTGTGAGGCTACATCCTGTCATTAGACAACCAGGCAGAGAAATAGCTGTTACTGAGCTGCATTCAAAGACCCCCTAAAACCTGAATATATTTTTTTAAGATTCTATTTACTCATGAGAGACATCGGAAGAGGGAGGAGAAACAGGCTCATGCAGAGTCTGATGTGGGACTTGATCCCAGGACTCCAGGATCACAACCTGAGTGGAAGGCAGACACTCAACCACTGAGCCACCCAGGCATCCCTAAAACCTGAATATCTTGAAGTCTTTCTTCCAAAAGGTACCGCTTCTCTTTTCTTTTGAATAAGGGGCATACGTGGGAACTCAAGGGCTGTGTGCACAGATGATCCCTGAGGACAGACCAGGGAGCAGCGAGTGAGGCTGCCCTGTAGCAGCGCACATGGCCTATCCAGTTCCAAACTGCCTTGGAAGTCTGCTCCAAGCTCTGGCACATCAGGCTGCTTCAAGGATTTCCTAGGGCAGACTTTCTGTAAAGGGCTCTATTTTTCTGTAAATACAAGCCATATAGTTTGTCACAATATTCAAATCTGCCATCATGACTCAAAAACAGGCACGGAAGATACGTAAACTGGTGGGTACGCTGTGTGCCAGTAAAGCCTACCAAATGGAGGCAGCAGGCTGCATTCGCCCCAAGGTCTCCAAGTCTGCTGACCCATGTCCTCGGGAATCAGAGGCCTGGGGTTCTAATCTGATGTCAGAACCCCGAGGTCACTCTAGACCTGCCCCTGAGAACACCCTCAAATGACAATCTGAGATACCGCCCTAGGTTTCTAGGCCAGAAACCTCCATATCGAGCCCTGGCCCCTGCCTGGCTTCCACTGGGTAGGGCCAGCTGTAGTGAAGCGTGTTCCTGCATCTCTCCCTCCAGGGAAGCCTGACCCGGGAATGCGGTACAGGCAGAAAGCAGCATGGGCCGAAAGCCTTGGTCAAATCCACCAAGCACAGGAACCACGTTTCAGTTCAGTGCAAAATACTCGTGACACTTACCTTTTTTTTTTTTTTAGAGGTATCAGCCAGTGCTCACTTTGAAAGGCTTTAAAAGTTATATAGCTTATGTGTTAAGATTTTACAAGTAGTTGAAACTTTCAAGCTTCAAACAAAAAAGCACATATTCCGCTATATTCTGATTCAAAAGCTATTTCATCCTTACACAATAAATAATATTTTAAAATGGACACATCCAGTTAGTGCAAGGGACTTAACAAGACATCTTATATTGAATCTAACGTGTTGCATTTCTTTCAAATACATTTCTTGCCTAACAGAACCCGAGGTGTGCTACCACCTGTGCAGGGTCTTGCAATTCTAATGTTCTTGTGCTATTGTTTCATGTGATGCTATCCCTGCCATAATTCCCTTATTTATTAGCACTCATAATCCACATCTTTGATTTTACCAAAACAATGGAACACACACACACACAAACACACTTGTGTGCCTCTGAAATCTTGTAATATCATGGATTTAACATTCAAAACATTTTATGAAGGAATAAAAACTAAGTGTTATTTCAATCGATGTATCCATAGGTCTTGGCCTCTCATTGGGAAGCTGCAAGATGTCCTTGAATAAGATCCTGAACACGGGACAGAATAATCTCATTAGGACTGCTGCAATTTTCTGGACCATAGGGTGGTTCTATAGTCAGAACCCCAGCCACACACAAAGTCCTTCGTGAATCTCCCTGCTCAGTGATGGGGATGTGGTTCTTCTCGAGCCATTTCTTTAGGCTGTTCTTTCTCTTCTCCAGATCCTCAGGGCTGTAGGCCTTGCAGTCTCCAGACATGAACAAATGTTTCAGCTTCTCTCTCACTCCATGGTCCCCTTCGTTCACAGTTTCAACAGTCTGCACAGCATGGCCCATAATTCCAGTCACAGACATGCTGCCATCTTCCAGGAAGTTCACCAGGACAATACTTCAGAGGGAAAGTTAAGTTCAGAGCAGATTTTTAAAAGAAAAACCCAAAGGCCCATAAAACTATGGAAGAAGCAATGGAATGAGAGGCATCACCAGCCCCAACAGGCAATTACAAATAGGAAATAAGAACTTCCCTGTTTAAAATTAATCCCCTTACTGCCAAACGTTTATAAATACTCATTCAATAAGTATTCACTGGGCAGCCTGGGTGGCTCAGTGGTTTAGAGCCGCCTTCAAACCAGGGCGTGATCCTGGAGACCTGGGATCAAGTCCCACATCAGACTCCCTGCATGGAGCCTGCTTCTCCCTCTGCCTGTATCTCTGACTTTCTCTCTCCCTGTGTCTCTCATGAATAAATAAATAAAATCTTAAAAAAAAAAAAAAAGTATTCACTGAGAGTCCTACATATCTAGACTTTTTTGTCTAGCCTAAAGCCAATCATTGGGGGATACAGTTAAAGCACTGAAGAATTATAAATGTCTTAAATGTGTATCACAAAGAAAGAAAGGGTACAGACTTAGTTTTAGAGTTAACAACTGAAGAACTCGCCTTCAAAGCAGACCAAAGAAAATAACAAAGCACAAAATTGATGGAATAGAAAACAAAAGAGTTAATAACATGATCATCAAAGCCAAATGTTGGTTCTTAAAACAGGCAAAATTCACAAAACTCAGGCAAGATTAATTAGAATAGGAAAAAAAAGACACATACAAATAACGTTAGAAAGAAGGCAGCAAAGATTGGCAGTTTAAAGTATCAGGAACAAATTTATGCCAATAGTCTCGAAAACTAAAACAGAAAACTTCCTAGAAAATATAAATTTCTGCTTCCCGTGGAGGGGGGAAAAAAGGCCCAATTTTACCAACAAATTATATACAATTTTCAAAGTTTAAACATTTTTTCTAAGATTTTATTTTTAATTAATCTCCACACCCAATCGGAGCTAGAACCCACAATCCCAAAATCAAGAGTTGCATGCTCCACCGACTAAGCCAGCCAGGCACCCCAAGGTTCAAACATTTCTGACCTGACCAAATTCTTCTAGACACTTTAAAAGGACTGTACCTTAACTCGTTTAATAAGGCTAATATAATCTTGATACCAAAAGCAGAGAAGATGATTAAAATATAAAAACTACAAGCTAATCTCACTCAATACAAATGCAAAACTCCTAACTAAACAAAATATATGATGTGATGTGATGTGAATTTCACTTGTGTGGTCCTCTTCCCAAAGTCTATAATCCCAGGCTATTTATGAGAAAGCATCACACAAATCCAAGTTGAGAGATGTTCTACGAAATACCTCACCAGAACTCTTCAAAGTGTCAACGTCATGAAAAACATGGAATAACTGAGAAATTGTCACAGTTCAGAGGAGACTAAGGACACAATTATTAAATGTTATATGGGATCCTACATTGGATCCTGGAACAGAAAAAGGCAAACAATTAGTGGAAAAACTGTTAAAAGCCAAATGATTGCAGTTTAGTTAATGTAATTTTAGTTCTGAGGAATGTACCATGGTTGGGTAAGATGCCAACAATTAGGGGAGGCTGGGTAGATGGGTCCTCTCTGCACTCTTTTCTGTAAATCTAAAATCATTCCAAAATAAAGCGTGTTGTCTGTGTATCACCACCCTTAAAGTTGTCATGCAAAAAACAAATCTGGTCCTAATCAAACCTCTAGATATGAATACCAGTTTATAGGAAATATGGAGGCTAAGAGACCATGTTAAACTACACCATGATAATACAATAAGCTAAATCCAGAATGTGTTCAATTCTGTAAGACAAATGATTCCATTTCTTCAACAAATAAATGACACGGAAAACTAAAAAAAGAGAAAGTGCAAAGTCCTAGCTTAAGATACTTAGACATATCAACCGCATTAATAAACCAATAAGGGAACCCTGGGTGGCGCAGCGGTTTAGCGCCTGCCTTTGGCCCAGGGCGCAATCCTGGAGACCCGGGATCGAATCCCACGTCGGGCTCCCGGTGCATAGAGCCTGCTTCTCCCTCTGCTTATGTCTCTGCCTCTCTCTCTCTCTCTCTCTCTCTCTCTCTCTGTGTGTGTGACTATCATAAATAAATAAAAATTAAAAAAATATATAAATAAATAAATAAACCAATTAAAGAGATATTTTGAGACAACCAGGCAAACCTAAAAACAGACTGTTAATAATAAAGTTATTATTACTTTTGCTTGGTATTATGTTGTTGTGGTCGTTAAAAAGTCCTTATCTGCTAAAAGATAAAAAGGTATTTGTGAACAGAAGTATGCATCTGCAACTGGCTTAAAGATATTTAGAAGGGGAAAGTAAGGCTAGTGTCTGTTAAACTATTCCCTCTACATTCATGGATGTTTGAGATTTTCTAATAAAAATGTAGTAATAAGTGTTTCCCTTCTACAAACCTGGCTGGTCTGCCAAGGTAATCCATTGTTAGAACAACACTTGGATTCAAAGGCAATACAGTTCTTAGGTGTGAATAACTAGCCTTTCATTTATCGACTTCCTTAAATTGGACATGACATATCGGCCGCACAGAGGGGTGTCATCAGGATTTCAGGGAAGGAGGACCCATACTCACTTGGCAGAAACGGGGTCTGTGGTTAAAACCCATCCTTTATACTCCTTCTCACTGGCTGTCACTCTGACTTCTTTGTACGTGTAATCTTGCCATTCTAAGGGGCCTTTCTTCATCCATTCATTCATGGCTGATCTAAAACCATCACCAGTTCGGGTTAACATAGATGTTCCACTCAAGCAATGCCTTACCCCTAATCTCCATCCGAGAGATAGAGCGCATCTGTGATTTGCCTCACGGTCCCTAACAGGAAAATAGCTTATCAGCTATTTCACAACTCAGTCTGAAAACTAAGGAGACCCCGGGTTGCCACGGGGCCCAGCCTCGGGTAACTCATCTGGCTTCCTCGTTCTGGCCCATCCCCCACTACCATGCGCGATCGCCTTCACCCCGGCTTCGAACTCCGGTCGGCAGGGGCTCAAACAATTTAACTCTGCTCTCCTGCGATCAAAGGAGCTCACCCATCACCGTCAGCCACAACTGAGAAAGAAAACGTTGACACCCACCCACTAGCGCTCTCCAGCTGTTTCTCCGCTGGATTTGACCATTTCCTAGTAGTCCGGAGGATGCACCAACCCGGGGGCAGCAGCAAAGGCTCTAGAGCGAGGCACATTCCGTAGCCCCGCTTGCAGCTGCATGACGCTTAGAACGGTGCTCAAACCTGGTGCTACTTAATGGTTTAAACCCACAAACGAGAGAAATACCAGGTAGAACTCCCAGCAGCGCCGAACACGCAGCAACCACGCGGAGAGGAAGGAGGCACTCTAGCCCCGCCCACCTGAGCCCCGCCCACCTGAGCCCAGCGTGCTTTGCGCCACAACGTCACTTCCTTCCCCCAGAATTCTCTGCTTTGTAGTCCTTGGTCATACCTAGAGGTCTGAGAGGCGCCAAGTGTGGGGGAAAAAAGGCCAGGTGTCGGGTGCCGGCAGCGCCTGAGGTGGTTTTGTTTTTGTTTTTGTTTTAAGACTTATTCATTCATTCATTCATTCATTCATTCATTCATTCATTCATTCATTCGAGACAGAGACACAGGCAGAGAGAGAAGCAGGCTCCACGCAGGGAGGCCGACGCGGGACCGATCCCGGGACTCCAGGACCACGCCCTGGGCCAAAGGCAGGCGCTAAACCGCCAAGCCACCCACCTGAGGTTTTTGTATGGTGATAATAAGGCTCCTTGTTCCCCTAGAACCATCCCTCTTCGTTCTCACGATGGACATTTCAACCTTTTTTTTTTTTTTTTCGATCTTTTGTTTTTAAAGAGGAGACGTCTCCTTCCAGTTTCTCGTTGACAGTATTCCTGGAAATGCATCCTTGCTGTGGAATCAAAGCGCAAGAACCCTCTAGGTAGATCCTAAAGCTTTAGAAGTGTGAGATGAAAGTGCTTTGGAGAAGAGCGATAGAGGCAAGATCTTTGGTTGGTTGGTTGGTGTAAGGCAATTAATACGTCTGCTCCTTTGGGATGTGCCCTTGCTACAGTCCTACTAAAGGCACAGAAGCCAGAAACAAAAAGCACAGGATTGGCATGAATTCCACCTAGCAGACCACTGACTAGTGCCCTGCTCACTAGGAAAGACCCGGCCTCTCCTCTAACTCCTCACCCAACCGCCCCCTCCCCGTGGAAAAGTGCAAAAGACTCGCTTCTGCCACAGATTTCTGTTCTGGTATGCAGTTGGCTCCTGGCATGGTCCAGATAAAGTGTGATCCGGAAAGTGGTACATGGTGTTAAATGTTGAGTTTCTGCAAATGTGAACGCCAGAGGAGATTTACAAAAACTGAATTAGAGGACTCTCAAACCACAATGTAGAAAACATTGAAAATTAGCCAGCTTTTCCGTTACAACTTGGGATTTGAGTTCACAAAATCCTTGCAGTATATTGTGTCTTATTGCCATCATTTCAAATAATCCTTTGGCAGCCTTCACTTGTTGAGTGATTGGCTGATTATATTAATGTGGCTTTAGTAGACTCAGATTATGCCGGTTGAGTCCTCTGTAAATCTACAAAGAGCTAATATAAATACCAATCGGGGGTGTCTGGCTGGCTCATTCGGAAAAGCACGCAACTCTTGATCATCAGGTAGTGAGCCCAAGCCCCATGCTGGACATAGAGATTACTTAAATCAAAAACATAAATACCAGTTGTTATACTGTGAAGTTGAATATATGACTTCATAAAAACTCAGTCCAAAAGAGTTTCAACCAACTGTGACAACTAGTCATTGGGATTTTAAGCCTTCTATCTGTACTGCAGAATCAAAGACTTTGGAAACTAGTTTCAAACTTAAATGACACCCTTTTAAATTGATAAGACTAGGGCAATTTCTTCCCCTTCTCTTACCCCCTCCCTTTAGTCTCCTAGATGAAGAATCATTCCCAGCATCTGATGATGTGAGTCACTGACTGACAACAGGCTGAGCCAAGCCCACTCCCTAATGCAGGGTTACAGAAAGACCCTCTCCTGTAGTCCACCCTCAACAAGTTCAGATGTACCATTTCCTTTCCCCGTCACCCCTTACCCTTGGTCCCCCTGGGGCCTCCCACAGACCAAGAGATGTTCCTTCTCTTACATTTTCCACTTTCCTCCCTCCCTTCCCCTTCCCTCTCACTCCATCTCCTTTCTAATGTCTACCTCCCCCTCAAACCTTCACACATACACGCTTAACTCTTTCCTCTGCCAAGTGCAGAATTGCTTATTCTAGATTTGGAGTACATTTTGTTTAATTTTAGCAAGACAAGTTTGTTTTTTAAAGTAATCTCTACTGCAGCCCAGGTGGCTCAGCGGTTTAGCGCCGCCTTCAGCCCAGGGCCTGATCCTGGACACCCGTGATCGAGTCCCACATCAGGCTCCCTGCATGGAGCCTGCTTCTCCCTCTGCCTGTGTCTCTGCCTCTCTCTCTCTGTTCCTCTCATTAATAAATAAAATATTAAAAAAAATAATCTCTACACACAACATGGGGTTTGAACTCACCACCCTGTTTAAGAATTGCATGCTCTACCAACTGAGCCAGCAAGGCGCCCCAGCAAAAAACTTTTCTTAAAAGAAGCTTTTCTTAACTGCCCTGAAGAAAATTAGAAGTTTTAAAAAAAAAGTTGTCAGTAGTTTTAGCACTGTTCTTTATCATGGTGCAAAGATAAACCTGCCCTGCCTGGCTAGACTATCACAATTTTATTCACATTGTTGACTATAATAGTAGGTAGATAAAGAATGTACTTATCATGGAAAAAAAAACAGAAGAGTAGGTAGAAAATGAGTGGGAGTGGGATAGATATTTGCTGAGTATATTTCATGCAAGGGAAGATCAGAAAAAAAAAACCAACTCTGGTCATTTGGGCCCCAATTTTTTTTAATGTTCTGGTTTTTTCATTTATTCAACAAGTAGAACCCACTAAAAGTGTCTATTCTTTATTTCTATATTTATTCATCAAGCATATATTGTGTAGCTATACATGCTACACTTTCTGTTAACTAGAAATTCAAAAACACATTTTAAAAATGTCTTGCCTTTGGGAAGCTGATGTCTCCTTGTACTTGTAAATGAGTAAGCTATCATTCTACCTGGAGGTGGTAATAAATGGGAAGGGTGGGGGAAGAGGTTCTTAGAGAAAAGCTTCCTAAAGAGGTAACCCTTGAACTTGATTTATAGGTAATGAACCAACCACAAAAAATTCTGTGTCTATGGGACACAGAACCTTACCAAAGGAGGTGTAGATGGGAGTGAAAAGCAGTAGGCAGGGAGTTTTAGCAACCTTGGTTTCAATTTGGTTAAATCTGTAATGTCCTGGTAAACTGGTTCTCCTGGGGAAGAAAAGGGCTTGATTTGTACTATTTACTGATTTCTATGGTGTAAATATTCCCACCGTATGTGATTTCAAGGTACCAATGTTTTAAACAACTGTCTCAAAAAGATTCCTGAGTATTTAACAATGGGCTATTTTGAAACAGTTTAAGCTGGTTCCTGCACACCACTGACTGTGTTCCTACCAGCTTTATGACTTTGGATGTCATTTGCCTCTTAGATTTCAGTTTCCTCATTTATAAATGAAAATTTGGGATTAGATGACCTAACATCCTGTCAGCAATAAATTTTCATGACTAAGCCATACACAGTCACTGTGAACCTCTAAGGGTAGGGGCCACGTCTGTTGTATTTACTACTGTATCTCCCACCTTTACCACATTGCCTGGCATATAGTAGGTGCTCAATTTTCATTCAACTGAATTTTCATTTCTTAGGCAGTTACATATCACCTAATATGTGCCAGGCACTACTTTAAGAACTTTCAAATATTAACTCAAAATGAGTTATACATTATAGTTATACTATACAAAGAGAATGGAAAGAATTTGAGTGATAGAATAGCGTGATTAAATCAGTGTATTAGAGGGACGCCTGGGTGGCTCAGCGGTTGAGCATCTGCCTTCGACTCAGGGTGTGATCCTGGGGTCTGGGATCAAGTCCCACATCGGGCTCCCTGCAGGGAGCCTGCTTCTCTCTCTGCCTATGTCTCTGCCTCAGTCTCTCTGTATCTCTCGTCAATAAATACATAAAATCTTTAAATAAATCAGTGTATTAGAAAGGATGCAGATAAATTAGACAATAGAGGTGGAGAAAAACGGCAAGTACAGAGTATATATACACAGCATGAAACTTTATGTAAAATGTAGCCTCTCTATCCAAACAAAGCAGTGGTATCAGGACAAAAAAAAAATTTCCAGAATCACCTTCCAAATGGAAATCGGATTTAGGGAGGCAGTGTCTCTAAGTTGATTAGTTATCTGCTTTGACCAGCACTTCCCAGGCCTACCCAGAGGGGACATTTTACAACCTCAGAGAAAATTGGTTTCCCTAGTAGTAGAGTGAAGATAGGATTGTTTTCCCTGGATAAAAAATGCTTTGAATAGACTTTGTGAACTCTAAAGCACCAAACACATGTAAGGCATGAAGGTTTGGCAAACTGCTTCTGTAATTGTTTTTCAAATATGCTCAGATAATATCTTTAGGCTGGCTAAAAATCGGTGCTATTTTTTTTCATTGAGTTCCTCTTAGTCAATGACATAATCTAAGTGGTATGAATATACATGTTTTACATAGATTTTATTTTGTTTTGAAAAAAAAGCAGGATTAATTATTTTTATTTTTCCCTGGACTTGCCTTGGAACGACACAAGATATTGACTGCTGAGCTAAAAATTAGTGCAGGGGTCCAGACAGGAAATAATAAAGTCCTAGCCTAAGCTGATAGCAGTGAAAATGAAAAAGAAAAAAGGAGTAGAATCAACAAATATTTCAAAGGAAAAATCAACAGGATTTAGTGATTAATTGGACTGGGGCAGGGCATGTTGAGAACTTTGATCCTTTAACAAAGCTTTTCTCTGTTCTTCATTCATAATCCCTTCCTCTTTTTCTCAGGATCTCAGGCCTCCAAATAGTTACTATGTTTACCAAATCAGGTAAGAAATTTCTCCCCAGAATAAAAAATGCTTCAATAATACTTTGTGTTTATGGCACAGGAAGGCAACAGTGAGGTCTCTCCTCCAAGCTTTTATTTTATTTATTTATTCATGAGAAACACACGGGGCAGGGTGGGGGGGTGCAGGCAGAGACACAGGCAGAGGGAGAAGCAGGCTCCATGCAGGGAGCCCGACGTGGGACTCGATCCTGGGTCCCCAGGATCAGGCCCTGGGCCAAAGGCAGCACTAAACCGCTGAGCCACTGGGCCACCCTCCTCCAAGCTTTTATAAATTAACCCTAAATGTTAAGTAAAATGGTATGGTTCAATCTGTGATTCGTTTGTACAAAGAGACCATCTATAGCCTGGATCACTAGAGAAGGTGGGGATGACCAAAATTCAAAACTAAGTGACCTGGTTGTACTCTCGTGGAAGCAGGACTGGAATGGGATTTTATGTTAGTAAACGGAAACTTATTATACCCTACTGGGGCTTTCGGTACCCCAGGGTTGGCAGCAGAAGGCGTAGAAGAAAGGTCAGTAAGCACAAGATTGGGAGGTATTTCTGAGAGACTCTGTATCTGCAAGGTAGGGACTTTCCAGAAATATATACATATTGTGGGGAACAGATGCTTCATCAGGTCTCACGCTGGCCTGGAATAGACATTCCTAAAACTATTGGCTTCATATTCTGATTCCACCCTCACTATGCTGCCTTATGACTCCTCCCTGCTGGTTTTCTAGGTACGGTGTTTTTTTTTTTTAAGATTTTATTTATTTATTCATAGAGATGCAGAGAGAGAGAGAGAGGCAGAGACACAGGCAGAGGGAGAAGCAGGCTCCATGCAGAGAGCCTGACATGGGACTCAATCCAGGGTCTCCAGGATCACACCCCTGGCTGCAGGCGGCGCTAAGCCGCTGTGCCACCGGGGCTGCCCTGGGTATAGTGTTTATCAAGAGAGGTGGTTCTTGAGAAGAAAACATGAGCACTTTCTAGTCAGTAAGAATGAATAGACCAGCAATCACAAATTAGGCATCCTATCGGGACGTGCAGATGGTTTAATATCTGCACAGTTTAAAATCTTTTAAAATTATTATTTTTTAATTTGAAAGCTTTTAGATGGGTTTCCTCTGTCTTCTTCACAGCTAGTTTCTACCACCCTTATTGTTTTTCTGTTCATCTGCTTTATATTGTTTACATTAACTGCCTGATCCCACAGGAAACTGAGTTTGCAACTCTGGAATAGTCCCTAGTATAAAAAAATAAATTAGCAAAGCAAATTATATCTTAATCTCTTGTGAATCTGACTGGTAAGAATCAGCCCTGATGTGTCTAGTCAACCCTTGGGCAGTTAAGGGTGAGAAAGCAGGGCTTTGAATAGCAATTTCACCAAGGAAATGCCAATTTCAAGATTTCCTGTTGGAGCCCCAGAGTCTTCTCCAGGTGATTCCTTGATTTCATTGTTGCCTTGTTCCCTTTTCAGCTGTACCCTTCTTATACCATTTTGTAGTCTTCTAATTTACATATGTGTTGTGGCAGTTACTGTGGGTTTGGGTCACTTAACAGTCCTTTTTCATGACCTCCTAATGAGGCTGGAAAGCTCCAACTCAATCTTCAGCTTCCCTTGCAGGTAGAAGTGGCCATAGAAAGATTCCTGGCCAATGAGATATATATGGAAATTCCTGGTCTGTTCTGAAATAAAAAGGCAAAGCCTCCTCAGAAGGAGAAAGCCTTTTTTGCTTCTAAACCATTCCTCTTCCAGCTTGTCTGGTTTGGACATAAGGCCCAGAGATGAGGTAGCCTCTTTCCACTGTGTAAGGAGAAAAGCATGAGAAGACTGGCATGCCAAACAGAAAAATAAGAGCCATACCAGACCTGAGCTATCTACCTTCAGATTTCTTGTGTTTGAGACAAATTCCTACTTGTCTAAGCAACTGTTTTTAGTGTTGTCACCCCAACAAAATCCTCTTCTAACTTGTCTCCCTAATAAAGCCCTCAGAGAGAGAACATACTTTATATCCTAAATACCCTGTTCAGTGCTGCAAATGGTAGGCATTCAACAGGTGTTTATTTAACCAATTAATAAATTTACTCTTCATTGGAAGAAGCTGGGACAAAACACAAAACCATAATTTAGGCAGTTTCTTTTTTTTTAAATGGTGTTTTTTTAAAAGATTTTATTATTTATTTATTCATGAGAAAGAGAGAGAGAGAGAGAGGGAGGCACAGACAGAGGGAGAAGCAGGCTCCATGCAGAGAGCCTGACATGGGACTCGATCCTGGGACCCCAGGATCACGCCCTGGGCCAAAGGCGGCACTAAACCACTGAGCCACCTGGGCTGCCCCATTTAGGCAGTTACTTATTTCATAAGTGACCAAGATCAACTAAAATAGAAAAAGCAAAGTAACAGGTCAAGCTTCAGATTGGCAAAGCAGTAACAAGGGCACCTTTGCTTTTTCTGAGGAAATAATTTAAATCTTCTGCACTGGGTAACAATGTATTCTTCTTCTTACTATTAGTAAGAAGAGTAGTAGTAATAATACATGTGTATTAACTCAATCTTAATTAACCCAGAAAAAAACATGAACTAGGATCTATTACCCCTGCTTTATAGCCAAGGGACACTGAGGCGCAGAGGCCCAAGAGCATATGGCTAGCTAATGTGGGAGCAGGGGTACCAGTCCAGGCCACCAGCCTAGAGCCTACCCTCCCAACCACTTTACCCTACTGATTAAATAATGGAGAAAACTTAAGGTCTTCACCTGACAGTCTATTTTTAGTTAAGGAGAAATGTGCTTTTCAAAGTAAAGCATTTTAAATCTGAAATCCTAGCTCCTCATTGTGATCCAGTCAATTGCTTGGATGCCCAAAACATTAATATAACGTGTTTCACTCACCTGTTTTAGCAAACCAGACTATCCCAGCAAGGTCTGTTTACAAGGGTGACTTTCCAAGGGAGGATACACCCAGCCAGATTTAATGGTCTGGAAATTAAATGGTCTAGGTACTGATTTTACCCCCAAGGCAGGTAAAGCAATATCCCATTCGTACAGCTGCCGTTTACTCAGATTAGGTAGCTAACAATGGCAACTGGATAGATGCAAGGGTTTAATTATGTTGTCACTTCTTAACACCCTAGGGAGGGTCGCTAAGGGAGGGCCAGCAGTAATTCAAGCCTCCATGGGCCTAGTCTTTTCTCTTTTCCTGCCTAGTGAATATCCTCCCTGGCTTCTTCCACTTCTCTACAAAGGGTTTGCTTGTGTGTGTGTGTGTGTGTGTGTGTGTGTGTGTGTGTGTGTAAGGGGGGCCTTTTCTTTTCTACCCTGTGACAAATTATAGACCCCTATTTGAGCTTCCTAGTGAAAAAGGTAAAATAGACTACTGGTGCAAGGTAAAGTAGAAGTGGGGGAAAATATCTTCTCTGGTATAAAAAGCCAATAGAATTTACTATAAAAGAGAAAACTATTCAGAGTCCATGCTGTTTGGTACATCATTGTTTTGAAATGTCAGTAAGACCTTAAGGGGTTTATTCTTTCTTTTAACAGTAAAAACATTTATAGGGCACTGGGATTCCTGGTGTAGCTACTTTTCCTATTTTATTTGCAAGTGTATATATATAATCAAGTGAGATGTTAAAAAAATATTTTTTGAGTTTTTGAAAATGTTATCTAACATAATTGAAAAATTCATAACATAGAAGAGAGAGTAGATTTTATAATGTACAGTTGGCCCTTGAACAACATGGGTTTGAATTATGTGGGTTCATTTAAACATGGACTTTTTTTGATATGGTACTGTGTACTATAAACGTATTTTCTCTTATGATTTTCTTAATAATTTTTCTCTAGCTTACTTTATTATAAAAACAGTGTGTAATACATGCAACACACAAAATATATGTTAATTGACAGTTTTTGTTATTGATAATGCTTCTAGTCAACAGTAGGCTACTAGTGATTAAGTTTTTGGGGAGTCAAAAGTTATACACAGATTTTTGACTGCACATGGGTCAGCACCCATAATCTCTGTGTTGTTCAAGGGTCAACTGTACATTATTTGCCTTTTCTTTTTCAAGAAAATGTGCATCACTCCATTTGCCAGTCTAAGACATTCCATTTTATAGGTAAGGAGAGGGAAAGAGGGAAAAGTAATGGCCAATTCCTTTCTTGTTCCTGATCAGATTCTTAGCAGCTGCCTCTTCTTGGATTTCTTCAACAAAGAAATAATTTTTTAACTGCTAATTACCTTGCTGATTGCAGATACTTCACTCATAATAAACAAAATCACATTTTGTGTCAAAACCATCGCTTTTCTTTAGCTATTTGTTCAAGAGCTACGTGAGTCCTAAACTGTAATCGGGCTTCCATGGAATAGTCTTTGTAGTTTTTTATGTTGTCTAGGTTTTTTGTTGCACTCTCATAATCTCCTTTTAGGTAGTGAAGAATTCCTAGTTCGTAATAAGTGTATGGCACCAAATAGTGGTCATATTTTAACAACTTCTCCTTTTGAATGACACGATTAAAGTAATGCTCAGCTGTCGAATATCTGCCTAAATGTTTCAGGCATAGACCTTTCAGTAAATTTAACAAACTTATGTCATCTGTGCCATACTCTTTATTTGGATTTTCTCGTAAAAGGTCTTCTCCTCTATTAATTATTGATAGCCAGCTTGAAATAAGGTCTAGTTTTTTACTCATGACTCGGAAACCACTCCAGGCGTAAATGAATTCCAGGATGGGCTGTGCAGTAAACCAGCCTGTAGTAGTGCCATAGCGCTGGCCCTTCTCAGCAACAAACTTTTCTATTGGCACAGAAGTTCCTAAAATTTTTATTCTCAGGCTATCCACTTTTAAGAAGAGAGAGTTTAGGTCCTCACTCCCTGATTTGACAGACTCAGAAGGAAGCAAGGCGAGTAGCATAGCTTTACTGTATACATATATTGCCTTGGACCACCTGCTGTTATGAGACAGTAGGTCAGCACAGTGGTAAGCCTGCTTCCAATTCCGCAGAAAAACATGGCACCACATGAGTTCCCAATAACAGAGGTGATGAACCTGCTTCCATTCATTTTGAATAAAAATGCATTGCTCTAATACTAACTGTGCATTTTCAAAACTTCCTTTCAGCATACTAAAACGTGCATGAAAAAATTTAAGTATGACACAGTTTGGAAATTTCTGGAGGTAGATTAGGAAGAGGTCCTCTACAGCAGAACTGTGACCCTTTTCAACACCAAAAGCTACATAGATATAACTGTAATAAAAGAGTAGAGTCAGAACACTTAAGATATTGTTTATATGGGATTCAGATGCACTCTCATAAAGCAAAGTCAAGCCCACGTCTCTATCACCAGAATATCCAACAATATTGAGTAGTTTAAGGGTCTTTGGTGGCACGAGTGATAATATCAGATTGAATGCTCCAAGTCCAAATTTTACTCCTCCAACCAGATGTCTGTAGGTTTTGCTCTGGTTGTTAGGTATCTGTGTTAATACTTGTTGACAGTCTTTGTATATTTGATAACTTAACCTGATGTTGATTGCACTTTTAAAGAAAGCAAACATACTGTCGTCTTGTATAAATGTTACAGTGGATTTCAGAATCAAGCACTCAGCATAGCAGACTTCTGCATGCAATTCCTCTTCTTTGATAGCCTTTATTCCCTGTTTACTCACTAGATGAGAAAAACTTGTCATCCTAGATTTTCTTCGGAAACCATTGCAGGTTTTCAAAGCTTCCTTTGTGGTAGTCATTCCAATCTGTATATCCAGTGGATCAAAAGTCAAGATGGCCTTAACAACCATAAGGATATTATAAATTAGAGCATGGTATATACTGTTTTTTGACCATGGATGAATAAGATCTATGGCCTTTGAGAATCTATTATTTAGAAATAAATACAATCCAGTTGTGCATTCTTCTAAGGAAGACATTAGATTCATTGTTGTTGCCACAGGGATAGTTTCATAGGCATCTTCAAATTTGTCCTCATCACTTTCTGCCTTACTTAGAGTAAATGATGTAAAGTCATTCTCCTTATCATTTTCTCTTTTACTTAGAGTAAGTGACATATTTGCTTCCTTACTTTAGAGATGGGCAGTATCTGACAGGGAGTGATGTGGCCGCAATGAGGGTAGCTCCTGCTCTCCCAACTGAGCTCACTTCTTCTACAGCCTGAGATGTCGCTGTTACAACGGAGGCAAACTAATAGTGTGGGTGCAGCATTAGGATATTCTCATCTATGACAGACAAGATGGGGAGGGGAGAGAAAGAATTTTATTTACTCAGAAGAGGTATTTCTGAGAAATTCAAATCATTTGTAATATATAGAAAACATGTGAAGTAAATCCTTTATAAACAAAGAGTTCTTTCAGCAATAATACACATTTTCAGAAATGTTGATGGGGGAAGGCTTATTCCCTTTAAGAAATGTTTTTTTCTTTTTGTATAATTGATACACTCTCTATTCTCTGCCCCCCCCACTCAGTTTTACTGAGAAAAAATTGACAAAACTGTAAGATATTTTTTTAAATTTATTTATTCATAGAGACAGAGAGAGAGAGAGAGGCAGAGACACAGGCAGAGGGAGAAGCAGGCTCCATGCAGAGAGCCTGACATGGGACTCAACCCAGGGTCTCCAGGATCATGCCCTAGGCTACAGGCGGCGCTAAACTGCTGTGCCACCGAAGCTGCCCAAAACTGTAAGATATTTAAAGTAGATAACATGATGGTCTAGGGGTGATAAGGACATTTTTCTACTTTCCGCAAATTTCAATTATACAATACAATGTTATCAACTATAGCCACCATGTCATATATTAGATACTTAGATCTCATTCATCTTATAACTGAAAGTTTGTGTTCTTTTACCAGCTTCTCCCTATTTCTCCTATCCCCCCAAGCCCTTGCTCTTAATGTTCCCATAAGGGGATTTTTCTGCTAGAGGAATACTCTGGGCTGACTTCTGGCTGGGAGCTGATAAAAAGACCTGGAAGAGTGTTGCTCTATGCCTTCTGAATTCCTCCTTTTGGAATTGGCCTGAAACCAACAACCAGAAAGAATTTGTTTTCTGCTCTCTAGCTGTGCCTGGGACCAGATGGGCAAAGGTTTAATTAGGGGGTGAAGCATCGGTGAGCCCAGTTGGCAGCACATAACGTCTTTTTTTTTTTAAAGATTTTATTTATATATTCATGAGAGACACAGAGGCACAGGCAGAGGGAGAAGCAGGCTCCCTGTGCAAGCCCGATATGGGACTCTGGGATCACACCCTAAACTGAAGGGCAGATGCTCAGCTACTGAGCCACCCAGGCGTCCTGGCAGCTCATCACATCTGAAACCACAGTAACTGTCAACTTAATAAAAAATCAACTTTGGGATCCTTCGGCCTGACTCTTGCATCTATATTCCATTGGTTCTGAACTCAGACAGGAAAAGGCATGTTATTTATAGACCCTTAAGACTATATCCTCCTCCTCTAACTCTTGTATTCTCTCTTTAGATGATTAGTACTATCATCCACACTAGATCTCTCTCTTTTTTTTTCTCCTCCCATAATCCATCAGTGACCAAATCCTGTCAGATCTACTTTGTTGAATGCAGTACCTCTCTGTTGTCCTCCAAATCACCCTGGACATTCTTCTTTAATGAGGTTATAATACAGTAAAATGGTATGATATGGTAAAATGCACAAACTGTTAAGTTAGACTGCTTAGGTTTGAATCCTGATTCTCCACTTGCTTGCCTTTACTGTGCTTCTGTTTCTCATCTGCAAATAGGGAATAATAATACTTCTACCAAAGAGTGGTTGGGAGAATTAGGTAGATTAATATATGGAAAGCAGTCAGAACAGTACCTGGCATATAGTGTAAATACTCAATATATTATTTTATACAAATCCCCTCATATCCTGGCATATAGCAGATGCTTGCCAAATTGTTTTATTTTTTTTAATTTTTTTTTTTTTGCCAAATTGTTTTAAATGACGTTTGGGATGCAGACTGCTGTCTGAGGAGTTTCATAGCTTTTGGCGATAGAAGTGGAGTCATTTTATCATTCTTTTGCTTAAAATGTTCTGTCTGAGATGTCCTCTTTACCTCTGTCCACTTGTCTACTTTTAAAAGATCACTCTAGCAGGGTGCCTGACTTGCTCCATTGGTAGAGCATGTGACTCTTGATCTCGGGGTTGTAAATTCAAGCTCCACATTGGGTGTAGAGATTACTTAAAAATGTAATCTCTTTGTTTTTGTTTTATTTTTTTTAAGGATCAGGGACACATGGGTGGCTCAGTCAGTTAAACATCTGCCTTTGGCTCAGGTCACGATCCCAGAGTCCTGGGATCAAGACTCACATCAGGCTCCCTGCTCAACGGGGAGTCTGCTTCTCCCTCTGCCCCTCATGTTCCCTCCCTCTCTCTCAACAAAATAAAATGTTTTAAACAATTAAAATTAAAAAAATATCAGCCTAGTAAGAATGGATTAGGGAGCACTAATACTGAGCCAGGAAGATCAGTCGAGTAGGGGCTTGAGTAAGATGGAGAGGAAGCAGAGAGGGATACAGAGCACACGTGTGGGGAGGAAAGCCTTGGATGAGATGAGAAAAACCTCTTACACTAACAGAGAAGAGCCTTCCTTTCTGTTATTCATTTAATACAGATTGAATTGAGCCCCTTCAATATACTGAGCACTATTCTTGGTGCTAGGGATATAGCAATGAACAAAATAAAGACCTGGCTACCATGGAATTGGTTTTCTTAGGGGAGGGGCATTCTTGGCAGGGAGAAGGATGTTGTGATGTGGAGGAAAACACAAATGAATAAACAACATGTCAGCAGTTAATATATGCTATGAGGAAGACTATAACAGACTAAGACAGAATAAGAAATTTAGAGAATGATGGAGTGTAAGGTACTTGGTATTTTATGTAGGGTAGTCAGAGAAGGCCTCCCCAATAAGGTGACATTTGAGGAGAGATATAGAAGATGTGAGAATCTCTTGATCTCTTCTTTCAGACTAAGATAAGTGAACATCCTATGTATTCCCATGATGCCTTGTGCTTACCTCTATACCAGCACTTGCTGGTATAGAATATATATATATTTTTAAACATTGGTCTTTTTTTTTTTTTTTTGCATCTTTTATATCTATCTTCATCATCAAGTATAATGACTGGCACTTAGTCATCAAACTAAATTAGCATTTATTAAATGGCTATGACAGTTTTCAATTTACATATACTAAGATAAATTCAAGATGAAGTAATCCTTTTACTTTTAAAACTATGATACTAAAAAATGTAACAATGAATACTACAAAGAATTGGTGTCCTTAATATAGTAAGAGTTCCTAGGGATCACTAAGCTAGGAAAAACACCCCAACAGAAAAATCAACGATGGACGTAAATAAATTAATTACCAATAAGCATAATGTTGAATCTCATTATAAATAATAAAATGAAAAATTTAAAAATATCTCCATCTTAAAAATGAAATTTGGTAGATTAAAAAAATTCATCCAGTGTTAATGAAGGTGCAGAAAACCAAATACCTTTGTGGACTTGTTGGTGGGTATATGTAAGTGGCTGCAACCATTTTGGAGAGCTATTTGGCAACATGTTTTAAAAGCTTTTACATTTTTTTAAATGATCTATTTATTGTGGGGGGGGAGGGACAAAGGGAGAGGGTGAGAATCCCAAGCAGACTCTTCTCTGAGCATGGAGCGGGACGGGGGCTCAATATGGGGCTCGAGATGGGGCTCAACGTGGGGCTTGTTGTGTTTGTTGTGGGGCTTAATCCCATGACCCTGAAATCATGACCTGAGCTGAAGGCAAAAATCAGTTGCTTAACTGACTAGGCCACCCATGTGCCCCAACATTTAATTTTTTTTAATACTCTTTGACCAAGTAATTTTACTTATGGAATTATCCTAAGGTTATAATCAGGGATGTATATAAATATCTACAGAAGGTATATACACTTCAGCATTATTTATAATACAAAAATGAAAATCTAAATTTCTTACAACAGTGGATACTGATGGAATACTATCGCAAACATTATAATGTTGTAGACTATTTAATGACTTAAGGAATTGTTTATGGTATAATGTACTGTATTAGTTGGGGTTCTCCAGAGAAGCATAACCAATGCCAGATATATACAAAATAATACATAAAATAAGGAATTGGCTCATGCAGATCTGGAGGCTGAGGAGTCTCAAGATCTGTAATTGGCAAGCTGCAGACCCAGGAGACCCCATGGTATAAATTCTAATCTGAAAGCCGGCAGGCTCAAAATCCAGGAAGAGCCAATTTTTCAAGCAGAGTCCTAAGGCAGGAAAAGACTGATGTTCTGGCTCAGACAGTCACACAGGAGGAATTCTATCTTGCTCAGTCTTTTGTTCTGTTCTATTCAGGTCTTCAATTAATTGGATGAGGTCCATCCACAATAGGGGAGTCAATCTGCTTTACTCAGTACTGCTTACTACTGATTCAAATGTTAATCTCATTCAAACACCCTCACAAACACATCCAGAATAATATTTGGCCAAATGTCTGGTCCTGTGGACCAGTCATGTTGACTCGTAAAATTAACCATCACATATACTAAGTAAAAAGAGAAGGTTTTTACAAAACTATATGATATGATTTTTTTTCCAAAGAAGTGATATATGCATAGGTAAAAATTGGAACTATAAATTTCAGATTATAATAATGATTATATCTGAGTGGTGGGATTATGGATAACGTTTATATTCTTTTTTTTAAGATTTTATTTATTTATTCATGATACAGAGAGGCAGAGACACAGGAGTGAGCAGGCTCCATGCAGGGAGCCCAACGCGGGACTCGATCCCGGGACTCCAGGATTGCGCCCTGGGCCGAAGGCAGGTGCCAAACCGCTGAGCCACCCAGGGATCCCCATATATTCTTTATTTAACAACATTCAGTAAATATTGAGCACCTACTATATAAGGACTATGCTATGAAATAGGCATAACCTAGTTAATGAAATAGAGTTGGACCCTGCCCTCACAAAATTCACAGCCTGGTATTTGTACTATTTATAATTTCCACAATCAATATGTTACTTATATTCGGGGGGGGAAAGCCTATAATAGTTTTGCATGCTTATTTCATGTAATTCTCACAACTGGATGAAGTGGGTATTATTGTCATTTCTCTTTTATGTACGGGGAAACTGAGTCTAAGTGAAGTTAAGTGACTTGCCCAAAATCATAGTTG